AAACCAAAAATAAAGATTAGTTTCTCTGTAAGCCTCCACTGCCCCTATTAAGAAAATAGTAAGCATTCTAATAGCACTGAAATCGCATATTCTCAATTATAACACCTTAATTCCATCAAAATCTAGAAAACTACAACAGCTCTAGTGAAACAAACCGAAAATAATACCAATTTGATGAATACATGATGTAAACAAAATAAGGGAACTAATCCAAAAAATTTGAAACATTTATTAAGTAAAGAAATTCATATTACTTACATTGTCAGGACATTCACTTAGAAATCTTGTGTCTTGTATATCATTCACATTGTCATTACAATTCTTTGATTGTTTATAAGAGGAAGCAGATAAATCTAGCAATGCATCTAAAGCCTACAAAAAAAATCATTAAATTATAATGACATTCTTTAAAAAGATGATAAAGCAGAAATAAACATACCATCAAACTAAAGTACCAACAAATTATATTTTAATAGCTAATTAGTTAATACCCTATTAAAGAAGCTATGTTTTCTTCCAAACATAAACATTGGAAAGATAGGGTTCTATATATATAAATGTTATGTTATTTCTAAACAAAACAATGGTAATTAAATCAAGGAATTAATCATTTGAAATAAAGGAATTAATTCATTATTAAACAATTGAAATTTTCACCAATGACTTCTATATATTTTGTTTATCAAGCATAGTGTTATAGTTTTAGAATTAAAAGTTGAAACCAAGACAAATCAAAGTATTTTTGTTTGCTAGATTTTGAGACAGCAATATTTGATAAAAGAAACCAATGGATCAATAAATGACAAACTTACACATACAAACATATGGTATTTGATATAAGGAAAAATAGAAAGAATAATAAGAGAAAATTGTAGATATTTGTTTTAAGTTTGACCACAACACAAAAATATTTCAATATTATCAAGGAGTATAATCAAAAAATGAAAGAAAATAGTGCCACCAGTAAAAAACTTATTGAAAGAAGCCCACTTTTGGTAATCAAGTATTGCATGCTAACCAGAAGTATTACTAACCCTATAAACAACAACAAACAAATAGCAAAAAGAGTCATTATCATGAACATAAACATTGCATTTTTAGTAAAAACTATAGCTAAACCACCAAATGAAGAGGGACAAATCAAAAAGATTCAAAACAAATTAATGATAAAGTGACTTCTCATACTAGTCAATTAGCTTGAAACTCAGTCATTTTTTAGATTTGAGAGATATCAAACTTCAATTTAGCAAAGAAGTTGCCAAGGAAAAAAAAAGATGGTTAATAGTTTTTTTTCTTTTATTTAGTGCTCAAATTTTGCTTGGATTTCTCTTAGCTAACCCTTTAAGCAAAATGAGTAAGACATTCATATAAAACTTTTTCTTTTTTATTATCACCTTACTAAGAAAAGATATTCCTAAAAATATTTTGCTCTCATTATCTTGAATTGGCAATATTTTGATAAGAAATCAAATCCACATTAGATTTCTCTCATAAGAAAACATGTCTTGCTATAAAATTGAAGTAGTAGAATCATATATCTGTTAAAAGAAGCAGAGATAATACAAATGCACTGAGGAACTTCCCCATAATAACCTATTTTTTTAACCATGAACATCATTACTGAACTCACATACATCAAACTGGTGTTCGATGATGGTGCACCAAACTTTAAAAAAAAAAATTCATGAAGGAAATAAAATAAAAAAACTACAAAGATAACAGAAAAGACCAATTGACATCGAAAAAGAATATAAAATCATAGATATATCAAATGTTAATATTAAAAAACCAAATAGAACTATAATAACCACCACAAAAAACCTTTCAAACACTATGCTTAAAACATAAATTTACAACCCACATTACAAAAATTTAGTCACCAAACCAAAAAAAAGCAATTCAAAGTCGATAAAAATATTACAAAAACTATAAAAGACTCTTACATGCATAAAATAAATACAAACAGAGATAAAGTGATACCCAACAGAATCTATATCAACACACGGAAAGAAAAAAGCTCCATCAACAAATGTAAATAGGCTAATGCATTAAAACCTAAACAACAAATAGCAAAAACTAAGTCCTACACATGTAAAGGAGCTCTGAATATAAATACATTCAAAATACTACCTTTTTTTTATTGTCAAGTTGGCTAACTTTTGATTGCTCAATAATTTGATCATTCTCTTTTAATTTTAAGAGGAGTTAATTTTTTGAAAAGCTTCCAACTCTTTTGAATTCTCAAAGAATAAATCAATAGAATGTTAACTTTTTAAATACATGAATATAGATATAAATGAAATACAAACACTAACATAAATATATGTATATAAAATCAAAACTTACCTTCATTAGCAGCTTTATATAGTGGAATATTCAAAGAAAAAATGTATTTAAATATTTTATTATAAGCAACCTTCCTAGATGAATATAAGATGTGCTTTTCAACACTAAACTTAAAACTCTTTGAGGGATCCAATTCATATTTAATAGCATTAAAAAGTTCAACTTGGTTAAAAAAATAAAGAAAAAACTCCAAGGCATCTTATAGAATAATTCAAGTGCCCATATGAGACAGTAATGGCTACATGTAAAGAACATCATGCCCCCTAAGACACATTCATACTGTGCAATGAGAAAATTAACACATTGAAGCCCAGATTACAAAGATGTATATGGTCGGTTAATGACATTACTATATCTACAATTAAAATTTTAAGTCATATTCTTTATGAAATTTAAAAAAACCATTTTCATATGTACTAGCAATGAGGAAAATTCAAGTTAAAGCTAAAAACTAAATGATAATTTCTTAGCATAATTACTAAAATCAACATACCTATTGTCTTATGGTAAAAAACTTAAGATAGATAGCTGTAATAACTACTTTAAACATGTAAGAAAAGATATCTTCTTGTTTTTAATATTTTGGTTGACAAATGAAAAAAGAAAAGAAAAGAAAAGTTAAAAGGTAACTGTTAGGATTATTCAAACATAGCAAGTATAAATGATATTAAAATTATCGATAATTTAATATAAACAATTATGTTAACCATATCAAAATTGCATAGCACAAATTCTATTGTTGAACCTATGCCTAATCATAAGCTTTCAGGTTGCAAATATAATTAGATCAAATATACTTGGTAATTCAGGGACATCATCTAAGAATTTTCAAGATTAGAATAAACTCAACAAAGTATACAGTATGAAGCTTACAGCATCTGCTATTAAAGGTGAAGTAATTTCATCTTTCTGAAGGACTAAAAAATTAATCGATTAATTCATAAATCAGTAAAAAACCAACTGTACTATGTCATAGTTTTCTTACATTTTCAAAGCACCCAACTAGAACCTAAAAAAAGAATATATAATAAAGAAATGAGACCCTTTTTATTTATGAAATGATGGAACACTAACCATTTTTGGAGCACAACTTAAACAAAAAAGAGAAACCAAAAAGATAAATCCCAAACGAAATACCAATGCCATCAATGGAGAGTGGGTTCATTTGAAATGTTACAGTTAAGGCTACATATGGGGTGGTTTTCTCAATATAAATTTTTAAATATTTTCTTATTCTTTGGCAATTTGATGAATCGGAGAATGGATGTCTGTTTTACTTGGTAAGCAGTCATGAGAAAAAAAAAAAAAAAGGGAAAGTTAGCTCATTTATTTCTTTCTCTCTGTCTTTCTCTTTCTTCTTTCCCTTTTACACCATTTATCCTCATCGTCATTTTCTGAATAATAAGGAAGGTTATCAAACACTTGGCCTTCATGCATAAATAGATAGCATGAAACAAGTACACATGGCCTTCATGCATAAAAAAGTAGTATGACATGTGAACAACAAAGATAAAAGAGGGGACTGCTAGAACAAAATAAAGAAAAGCGTAGAAAAACTGAAAAGCATCAGATACTTAAGCTAAAATCCAACTTCTGTAAGATAAGCTAAGCTTATATGAACACTTATGTAATATTTTCTTTATTTAACACATAAAAAAATTTCTAAAGCTTAACATTTTACCAAATTTAAATAATTAATAATTATGTGATTTGTTAGTAAAATATTGAATTTTTAATTCCACTGAGAAGAATTTAAATCTTAATAATCTTAAATATATAAAAAAAAATCAAAATAGATGATCAAATATTTTATTTGAAAATTTGCTTAAAATTTTAATACGAATGAATGATTTGTCAAGAGTGTAAATCTTGATAACCTTAAATATGTAAAAAAAAAAATCCAAATAGATGATCAAATCTTTTATTTAAAAAATTGCTTAAAATTAACACGAATGAATGACTTTGGCAAAGATTAAAAAGTATATATTATATATATAAAGTTTGTAATTTAATATTTTTTACTAATGTTTTCTGGAATTTATGATAATATTGTTTTCTCAATTTTTTGTTTATGTTTTGATGCTATTGTCTATGTTATAATTGAAACTTATTTTTCTTCAATCTTTGCTAGATCACAAGTTTTTATGGAATGTTTGAGTTTAAAATACTCAATACACATATATAGAATATTTCAAAATCAAGAAATTGTAAAATTCGTGCATATATAAATATATATTATGCGTTATCACATATATTATTTTAATATATAATTTTATAATTTTTTTACATAAATGTAACTTAATTTTATTAATTGATATAAACATATAGGTAGATGAAATTGTAATTTATTTTCATCACGTATTTTCTTATTTTATAATCTTAATATTATTTACCATATATGTGTTTTTTAAAAAGTTTATGTTTTTATGATATATTTTAGTATTTGAATTTTATATATGTTATGATTTTGAAATTTTTATATTTAAGTATGCATAAAATTATAATTTTTGCACGTTAAAAATATTTAAATAAACAAAAATATCCTATGCATTGCATAACTCACAAAACAAGATGGTTAAGCTAAATATTTAAATTAAATGTAAAAATTAATTAGTATTAAATGTTTGGGCCTTTAGACAAGTTTGGGTTAAACGCCCCAATGAATCATGTTAAATTCGGCATTTCGACTCAAGCCCGTTCAAAATCGGGCGATGATAACCTTCAAAACGAGTCTTCATCTCCCAAAAACTGGGTAGGAGTTTGGGTTAGGCCAACTAATTTGGGCGAGTCGGCAGGTCTTGTCCCCTCCCAATTATAATTTTCCCTTCGAAAGTCTCTCCCTTTCCCTCTCTCTATATCAGTCCCTTCTTTCTTGAGCAATCAAAGTCTAGTTTCAGTTGAAGGTTGGAGCCTCAGAATTTATAGAGATGGAAGAAAACCCACCACGCTCTCATCTCAAGCGCCAATTCTTGCAAGACGAAGACTCCAACAAGCCTCCCGCGTAATCACTTTTTTTTTTTTAATTTAAAAACGAAAATCTGCCATATCTCAATATATTGATGCAATTGTTTCAGCTCGTAATTCTATTTGTTTTCTCTTGTATATTCGCTCCTCTTTTTTTTTTCTAATTTTTGCTTCGGCAATTTTATCTGCAAATATGTTTAAGAGTGTTTATTAATTTATCGAAAATTTTAGGGTTTATTTAAAGTATTTTTGGGGATTTTTTCCTTCGAATGTAGTCGTCAAGTGACTCAAGTCTTGATGATATCCCTAAATTTAATTTCTTGGAGAAAATTAGGGTTAAATATCTCTCTTTTTTTTTTAATGATTCGCAATATTTGAATTTTAGAATGAAATCAATATTTTGATTTACAGGCAAAAGAGGATTAGGTTTCCCAAGGGAAAGAAGGTGAAACCTGGAGAAGAAGCAGCAAATAGAGTTGCTGTTGAAGACGGCTCGGGTGACCTGAAAGATCCCCGTCTTGCTGCTAAGGAGCGTGCCAAGCGCCGCAATCAAATTACTACAGAACTATTCACTGAAGATGGACGAGGCATGCTTAATGATGTCTCTGTTGCTGAAGTTGCATATGAGGTTGGTTTCCCATGCTCTTTGTCTGTCCAATTTTAGATTCTATGTCTGACTTGACTGAAACCGGCCGTAAGATGTTAACTATTAAGTCCATATTTTGTGAAGTAATGTTAATTTGTCCCAACCGTCTAAAGGCAAGAAGCAGATTATTCGCATATGTCCTTTACATTTTAGCTTAGGAATAGTTGCCACGTTGCATGCTCGTCCTGCCAGTTAGGTACTGTAGCTTTTTCCATGTCTGACTCTAATAAACGTTAAAAAGGCAATTTTCTTTCATTTCTAATGCAAAAATGCATTTCTATCATATTTATTTTGCTGTAGTTTAGGTGTGTTTAATTGTTGGATTGTACACTCTTCAGTGCCACTCTTAGGTGTAGCAGTTATGTACAGCTGGTGCGTGATTTTAATATGGAGTGAGTTTATAATTTTAGGATGCTTCTTTCTTGAATTGGCAGCATTTTTTGCAGTCAAGATGACTGCCAGATTCCTCATTTATTGGTTGAGGAGAAAGGATAGCCAATGATGTGGAATTTCTTTTGACAGGATAATGAGAACTTCATTGATGATGGAATTCAAATAGAACCCTTCAATCTGAACAAAGAAAGAGAAGAAGGATACTTTGATGCAGATGGAAATTTTGTTGAATATATCAATGACAATGAAATCAAGGTAAAGAATTGTATTGACCTGAAGCTTCTAAATATAATATCAAAACTTCTATTGAGCACCATATTTTGATATATTGTAGGATGCGTGGCTTGATAGTGTTGAAGCTGATATAAAGTATACAGGAAAAACATCTGCAACAACAAATGAAGATAATAGTGAAGTTGCGGCACAGGATCTTTCCCCCCAAGACATTGGAATAATAAAAAGACGTATTGCCAATGTGCTTGAGCCTGGAGAAACGGTAATCTTAAATGATGATAAATATTATGTCTAAAATTTTAAAAAAATTGGTACTCTTTAATAGAATACTTTGTTATGTATTTTTTCCAAATTTGCATTTTACTTTGATTTTCAAGATATGATTACATTATATATGAAGTGAATACTGAATACCTGGTGCTTATGTTAGATTATGATACTTTTGCGGGCATATGGACCTTATCCTATTTAGTTTTGTTGTAATGATGATTATTTGCGACACCCATGTTGATTCTATTGAGGGGAGTCATCAATTTTTATGCTAATTTGGATTTACAAAAATGGTCACATAGGGCCTATGTGCAGAGTTTTTTCAACTGCCTATGTACTGGATATTAAATTTGTTTTCTCTATAAGGTAATTAAACAAGTAGCAAGGGGACAATTTAAAGCTAATTTTAATTTATCTTGGCAGGTTTTGCAAGCTCTGAGAAGGTTGAAAGGAGCCACAAATAACAGAAAAGAGAAAATGTCAGCTGAGATAAAGCATGTATTTGACCAGCTAACTGAGGATGCCATGAAGTTGATGGATAATGGTGACTACAGTTAAGTCTGTTACTTTCTTGGGCTTCTAGTTCTCTAGGACTGAGAAGTTACCTTGAATATTCTAGCTTAATGCCACCACCTTCATCGACCAAAAAAAAGGTGTTTGCACACTTTGAAGCAAAGTGGCATTGAAATCTGTCAGGGCCTTAAATGCCAGCTTCACCTTTTAAAATACTGGTGCTTGCTAATGGCAATGATGATTTCTCCTTGAATGGAGCTTGTTTAAGATTGAGTCTTAGCTTAGTTGAGGTTTATGGCTTTGTTTGCCACAAATTGCCCTTATCTCTAATGAAGCAAATTTTCTTTTGTTTGCTTTTCTCCCCTTCTTATTGTGAATATTATAAAGGTAGTTGAAGCTTTAGGCATATATCTTTGGCCATAGTGTATGCTTATTGGTTTAAATTTTGTTTTGCAGATGTGTACCATGAGAAGCAGAAGGTTTTCCAGCGTGAGGCAGGTTGGTGCAATGTTTTAGTATTTCTTTTAATATATTTTATTTGTTTTATTTATAAGGCTTAGTTTATTGTTGTTGTTGTTGTTGTTGTTGTTGTTGTTGTAAGTATTCTACAAGTAATTTTGTAAGGTTAGGTGTATATTTGACTAACTTTTATTAACTCTTGATATTGCTTTTTCAGAAGGATATGAGAAGTTAGCTCTGGCAAGGGGGAAGGGTATATCTGTGAACGTTGGGCTAGACAATTCTGACCCTAACTTGGGAAGTGACATACTTACAGATATAAATTATCCTGGAGTAACTTCTTCTGTACTCCCTGACTTGGCTGTGGGTACTTCAAATTCAAATCTAACTCCTGCAGAAGTTTCAAGCAATGCTGCCGATAGTTATGATATGTTTGCAGATGATGAGGGTGATGAAAATCTTAAACCGTCATCTGAGCCTAATTCTAATGCAGTCACTCAATCATCATCAGAAGCTGCAAATACTTTTTCTGAGAGTATATCTCGTTATTGATCATTTGATTGTGAATATTACAAAGCATTTTGGATGAAATCAGTGTCTATTTGTTTCTTGACCTGCTCATTTTATTTTTGTCTTTGCTTCATTTGCAGCTGGAGAGGCACAAAATGATTATGTCTATGATGAGTCTTCAGGGTATCCCCTATCTGATCCTTCCCTGCTTCCATATGCTATAGTTTCACAATGTGATTTGGAAGACAGAATTTGGAACTACTTTCCTAGGAGTTTATTAATGTTTGTGGAGCTGTGATACATATTTGAAGACAGGATTTTTCTGAATATACATGTATGTTGGTATTTGGTAGTATTTGATCTCACTCCAGTAATCTTTTTTTCAGGTACTACTACAGTAGTACTTTGGGATATTATTATGACCCATCTACCGGACTATATTGCTCAGCAGCATCAGGGCAATGGTAATGTTTCTGCCATCACTTTTTGGCTCCCCAGTTTTAGCACTTGCATTTGCATTTATGCTGGTTCATTCGCAGTCCTAACTCCTAAGTTATGATCAGTGGTTTAACTGAATTTGAAAAGTGTGGAGAGCAGAGCAGGTTCCATAGATCACTTTACATTTTAGATACAAATAAGATTCTTACTTTGTCCAAAGATTCCTTGCTCATGTGAATTATGTGGTATTGTGCATAGTCATACTGTTTCCTTTAAAGTTAAGAACTATGCCTCAAGAACATTGAATGATGGATTTACTTAATTGCATAAGAAAAATGGCTGAACATGAGCAGGTCATTTTTTTAAATTATGGTTTTTGTATTAGATTTAGCAAATTACTGTTAATTAGTCTGAAAGAAAATTTATAAGATCTGAACCAACGATCCATGAACCAATTGGATTTAGTACATTATGATTAATTAGTTTGACGTAAATTTATAAGATCTGCATCAAAGGTCAATGGAGCCCAACCATTTTAGGAATATTTATTTATGATAACAAGTTATAGCCATGGAGAATTCACATATCAAGGCAGTTTCATCTTTCTAGATTTAACATCTAATGCTTTCATGTTTTGACTTTTAAGATTTTGACTTCATATTTATTTGTGTGGATCCTTTTGGGGTTTTGTTCATTGCTCATTAAGCCTGACTTTTAAAGTCTGCCGAAAATGTTCATGTGAATGATTGTTTTAAGCTTTAAGGCGTGGGTTTGAAAATTGTCTGGATAAATGTTGCAAGCTTATGCTGTTAGAGTCTCATCTGTCTATCTCTTCTGCTGATATAGGTATTCCTTTAATGAGGCGACTGGCACATATGATGAAGTTCAGGAGGTTGCATCTAGTACCAATTGAGAGTTACTCCTCCAGTGAGGATGTTGTACAGGCTATAGAGTAGGTCTTGATGTGTGAAATTGGCATCTTGAGTGCTTTTCATACGATAGGCTCCATACTTTTTCTTGCCTTCTAGATTTAACATACATTTTTAAAGTTATACTGTGGCAGTGAGTGCATTTCTTTTCTTGGTTTTAGTTTTAACTATTACGGAGAGAAAGTCTTCATTTGGATTAGCTTTAAGTTGTTTGTTTACTGGAAAATTATAGCTAGTGTTTTTATGATGCATTCTGTTTAACACCTTTATTTTCTCTTCCATTATGATGTTCTTCAAGTCTTGTTCTATAATGTGTAGCCATTCAACAAGACACCTTGCAGATGTTTACATGATTGGATATTATTCGAGGTCTACTGCACTTCTCAAATCATCTATTCCTAGCAAGCTTAAACTCATGAGAGTACTAGTAGTGACCCAAATTTCCGAAGGCAAATATGTAATCAAACTAACCATGCTTGCTCTTTCAAAGTTTCAACAAATTGAACAGCCAATAAAATAATAGTCGCCAAATAATGCAACGGCTAGCATCTGCCTTCTTTTGTGACCAAGCGTGGAAATGGAGGAATTTTGGAGGTCTGACAATATTTCCAAGTTGGTGAGTGCTGATCATATTTGTTTATTTAATAACAAATAAACAGCAGGATCCAAAGTGAAGAAAGAAAAACTCAGGTTTCAAATTGTAATGAAGATTGCAGAATTAATTAATCAATGTCAATCTGGTTATTCATTCAATTTCTGGTCTCAAAAAATGAGTGTTGCAGTTCAATCCAGTCCCCCAAGCAACCCTTTTGTCATGGCAGAACAAAATGACAGAAACTTAACACTAATCGCATTAAAGCAATCAAAAAAGTAATTTTCCTTGTGAAAATACATAGTAATTTTTCATTACAATGACAGTAAAAGATTTGGGTTAATTTCTTACATTATATTAAAAAAGAAAATCTGACACATAGTAGAATCAGAGAACAAGCTTTATTATGTTTGTTTTCATCCAACGTTGGTAGAGCTAGAATCTTTTCCACCAAGTGTCTGAATTATAGCTTCGAGTAGTTTAATTTCCGTATCACGCTTAGAGATTTCTTCTTGCTTTGCTCGCAACTCTTCCGTGTGCAGTTCAAATACTTCTGCAACCAAAGAATGTCCAAAAAAATACCGAAAAAAAAATATGAACATATCATCCTTCTTTTGCTATATCCTAAAAAACTGGGTGGGTGAAGTAAGAAACATGAGCTGAGATAGGGGATTTCTACTTGTGGTGTTCTCGAGCTCTTTTGTAACCTCTTGAGCACGCAATTCGGCAGCCTTTTGTGCGGCCTCAGCCTGTCGTTTCTCTGAACGAGCACGCGCGGCTGCTGTGATTGCAGCATCTACCTCTCTTTCAAGCGTCTCAACCCTTTGTTCAAGAACCTACACTCGCTAGATCAGGAACTATCAGCCTCAATCCAGCGCATGAAATGAAAAATTAAGAGACCTTGCTCGGCCTTCAATTGATTACATCAATAATTATAGTTTTTACCTAATTGATGGCGTGTAGATCAAGTCAACAAAAATCCAGATCAGGAATTCAATAATAAAGACAAAAAAAAAAAAGAGCGAAAAGAAGTAACCTTGATGGTTCGGGCTTGTTCGGAGGTAAGAGAGGCTTTAGCAAAGGTATCTTCGTCAACAAAAACGGCTTTCTTGAGAAGTAGTTTTTGCAGAGAATCAAGATTTGAGGCCATCTCCGTCAGATTTGCTATGGCTCCGCTCCATCGCTCTTCGCTTCCTTTGCCCTTGATCTCCTGCTCCATTATTTCTTTGCCTTCACACTTGTACAAAAACGATACTGCTACTAACCTAAACATCAATCTCTCAACAGTCAACTCCAGTCTCTTGTAAATCTTTCTTGGGCTTTTCTTTCTTTTTTCGTGGGCTTTAATTCAACCATCTGTTCTGTTCTGTTCTCTCTTGAATTTCAGTTAGTGAAGCCCATTTAACTATCAATAAAATTCAAAATTTAATCCGAAGTTATTTTTAAGATGAGATATTTAATAAGATTAAAATTAAAATTTTAATATGTATAATCTCTTCTTCAATTTTTAAATTACAATCTTTTTATATAAAAAAATTCTTTTGCTAAGTAAATTATTTTTTAATTATTTAAAAATTATTTAAAAAATTATTAAATAGTCACCAAATTAGGCAAAATTGGTATCCCTCATTTAACTTAAAACCCACTCATAGGAACCCAAAGTTTAACAATTAAAGTTTTTATATATAAAATTATCATTTGAAATTAAAAGTTTAAATTAGTAAGCATTCGAATATTTAATTTAATAATATATATTTTATTTCATTCAAAAACTTAAAGTTTGAATTTTTTTTATTTTCTAATATATAAATGAAAATTAAAGTTATTTTAATTTAACTTGTAAAATTTTAAAACGTTATCGTCAATCCATAGAATAAAAATTCCAAAAGAAAAATAGTTTGCATTTCATTTGAAAATAAAAACTGTTACAATTTTATTAAAAAAAAAACTATTTCCATAGCGAATTTTTACTTAAAACTAAAATTATAAGCAGAGAATTAAATAAACTTTGTGCTAATTCGTGATAAAGCACAGGAAGAGGCGGCAGAAGTAGCGGAGCGGAGTAGCTCAACCTCGTCTCCCTTCATCCCAAAAATGAAGGAGCTTTTGCACGAGTTTTTGCCAGTTGGGTTCGTACCCGCCAGGAATTATATTGACACTTGCGTTAATCTGATTGGACAGAAGATATGGAAGGATGACCGGATCGGGTCTAACTGGCCAAAAGAATCGGATCTGTGGGCCCTAAAAGTTTATCGCTTTCTGGCGAAGGAATGTAAAAGGGATATTTACCTTTTTCATTTTTGGTTAACTTTTTATTTTTACCCTTAAGAAACGTTGAAATGACTCCCATATCCCTTCCTTCCTTGGGAACAAAGGAAGAGACCAGGGTTAGGCTAGTGGACGATATCACTTGCCTTGAAACTTCATCGGTTGCGACCAAATACTTGCCATTAAATCGGAATAAGGTCAATTTTTGCAACGTCATCAGAAGAAAAAGAAAAAAAAAGTTTAAAAAAAAGGCGGTGCCTTTACACGATGCAATATAACTTTTTTTTTTTTTTGAAATTTTCACATTTCAGTACAAATTGGTTCTTCATTCCTAAAGTTATTACATTTTTTCCTATGTCAAGTATAAGAATAAAACGCATATTATTGAGCATATATTTTGGAATCTTGGTGTCTCAAGTACAAATATATATATCCATTTACATATAAAAGTTATATATTTTTTTATCTTTAAATCAAATTGATTAAGTATAAGTGTCATACATTTAATTTTGATTAAAGAATAAAAAAATATGTAACTTTAATTAATGTAAATGGATTTTTACCCTTTATAAAAAGCCAATATGTAAACTTTATATGTAACTTTAATTAATGTAAATAGATTTTTACCCTTTATAAAAGCCAATATGTAAACTTTAAGAACTTTTATGAAAAAAGGGAGATTTAAATACTTTTGACTTTGAAATTTGAATCACTCCGAATGTTTAATAGAAAATTTTGTGTGCTTTGTGGTAGAAAATATAAGACTCAAGGAATACAAGTACTTGATTTTTTAACTTGTGATTTTCTTGAAGCCTCTCTCTTTTGCAAGTTAGTGGAACAACTTGAACCCTTTTATCATGAATGGAAATGGTTTTAAGGTGTACCATAAATGTCACTTTTTTAAGATTTATTTCACCTTCTACTAGTAATGATATGCAAAAGAGGTTGAATTGAAATGCCTTCAAGTTATATTAAAACCTATATTTTGTTTACTTTGCAATAGAAAAATCAAACCACTAAATACTCATTTACAAGAGATGAAAATACATTATTTTTAATAAGATTTTCTATACCAAACAATGCCAAAGAAACATATCTTTAACTTGAGTAAAAGAGGAGAAAAGATAAGAAGAAAAATATTTTTGAATTATGTCAAATGAACTCACAACAATCTCTACTTATAGAGATATAATTCTAAGGTTGTGACTTTTTTATTCTATTATTTCAATCAAATATTACTTATTTTTATTTAAAATATGTCCTTCTAAATAATTAAAGACGAATTGGTTCATTAAACTAATTGATTTTTTCATTCTAATAAATTTTTTTTCATGTTTTAGAAAATTATAATTTTTCATGTAAAGTAGTCGACTGATTCTTTGTAATTTTAACTTCCAAAATATTATTCGAAGCAAGGTAGTGACTCCTCCTTAGAGCAATTGACTTCTTTCAACTTCTAAAAAATGTTTCACTTATGGCCTCCTATTGGATAATCGACTCTTCTTTATTAATAGTTGATTCCTATAACCTTATGCCACTTTCTAGAATACTTTTAATAAATAATAATCGATTCTATTAGGGTTTTATAATCGATTCTACTCATATTTAGCTATAACAGTTGATTGCTCAAAGTTGGCAGTTCAGTGCTATTTTGTAAGAATTTAAGTCTATATTTTGTTTCTCAAAATAGTTAACTCCATGCCAATGACAATTGGCTACTCTATCTAAAAGCCTAAGATAGTTTACTCCATTGAGTAAGGCTATTAACTACCTATATGATCAGTCTTTTATATTTGTTTTCTTTAATTCTATAGTCACATTTCTTGGAATTATATCTTAAATTAAATAACTTAATGTGATATCTCTTTTGATTAAGTCAATTATTTAATCATATTATTTTTCATATTTTGAAAATATATTTCTAACATTTTATAAATACTTTTTCACTAAAATTTTTATAACATTTTTTTCTTAATAACAAACCATGAAATGCTAATTCATTTTTACTTTGAATGCACATTTGTGAATGTTGAAATGTATGGTTATTCAAGTCGAACATTTCTTTCAATTTTGGATTTTCATATTTTAAAGTTCTAACTTCAATATAAATATAAATATAAATATATATATATATATATATATTACATTAGTGTAAAAGTTACATATTTTTTTACTTTGGATCAAAATTAAATACATAACATTTACATATAACCATTTTTATCCAAAGGTCAAAAAATGAATAATTCATACATTAATGTAAGTGGATTCATTCACTTTAACAAAAGAAATTATAAAAAATTTCGAAAAGAAAGTATTTGTAAATTCAATATAAATTCTTACTTAGATATGTTATGACCTTAGAATGGAGTAGCTATAATCTCCCCTTACCAAAACTTTTTTTACAAATCAGATAAGGAAAAGTTTTACTTCTAAATTTATGAGCTAAATTTGAAGGTTCATAATATATCAATTGGATTCTTTGAACAAGTTGAAAAAGAAAGATCACTTACGTGAAAAACTTGAAAATTGTTATGAAAATGAAAGCTTTTCTTAGGAAAAATAAAACATTTAAGAAGTTATGGTCATATTTAGTGCATAAAATTATAGCTATGATAAAATAATAATCATTTTATAGATAAGATGATAGATATGATATAATGATAATTATTTTATATTATATTTGATTTATATATAAAAAAATCGATATGATTATAAGAAAGATTAATAATCCTCTAAGTATAGAATAATTCAATTCTTTTAAAGTGGAGAGAATTATTTTTAATTTATAAGATTAAACTTACATATTTTATTATATTCTTAAAAAATTATATTAATAATTTAAATTATATAAATTTTGAAAAAATATAATTTGACCAATAAATAAATTATATTATTTTAATTATTACACACATGAAATATAAAATCGAATAACATTATTTAATTTAATCTTATTTATAATATTTTCTTTTTCTATTTTATCTAATGTTATATATTAAACACATTCTATAATAATATAATAATAAAACATTTTTTTTTGTCAAGCAATAATAGAACATGCTTAATATTGAATTTTGATACATTTTAGTTTCTACTCAATTTCATGATGTTAAACAAAAGTAGAAAAATATGCCATTATTTTTATTTTGAACATAGCCAAAGAAAAGGACAAAAAGGAAGCCTTTAATTAATTAACACAATTAATGAGTTAAAAGCATCTCTTTTCGTGTGGTAGTTATGTGTTCATTAAATTTTATGTAAATTAAAAATTAAAATTTAAGTTAATTAATATTTAATAGATTTGTGATGCAACTATTATTATTTAGAGTCTTACATATTCACATATTATGATATTTTTTATATATAAAAAGAGAAATTATTTGATATATTGTTAGTAAAATTTTTTAATTTTACAAGTAGAGTTAATATAATGACATATGTCTTATTTTGTTAATTAATTAATTTTTATTTTTTAAATATACACTAAAACACTTAATCCGCTTATAAAATTAAAAAAACTATTATAGTAAGTGTATTTGATAATTTTTCATATAAAAAAATTCTAGCTAACCTACGAAACTAAAAGAAAAAAAAATCAATAAATTCTTAAAAAAGGAAAAGATAGATGTAAGTGTGTGTGGCTTTTTATTTAAAGGCTAAAGGATAGAAAAAAAATCATGAATTATAATTAAAAATTTATTTAAAATTTTATTTTTTATTATAATCAATCAATTCCTTTAATATTTATTTACATCTAATTAAATTTTTGTTTGGATAAAAAAATTAATATCTTTAAATTTTTTATCAATTTAGATAAAATTTTATGAAATATCAATAAAATAAATAAAAATTTATCACGTGACATAATTAATATATGCAAAAATTAAATAACATAAATATTTTTTCTCTATTTTCTTTTATCTTCTCTCTCTAAGAGTTTTTAAGTGTTTTATAGTTCGAAAATTAATTGATTTAATTTTATTATGTAATTAAATTTCATTCGATTAAAAAATTAATTGAGTTGAAATAAAAAATTGAGAGCCCAATTTCAATAAAATATTAAGAGTTTAAATAGTTTTTTAATTATAATTCAGTGATATTTTTATCTTTTAATCGTAAAAAAAAGGTGATTTGGCAAGGTCAAAACCAAAAAAGGATAATTTAGTCATTCAAATAAAAATAAAATTCTACCAATAAAAAAGAAAATAAAAATCTGTTAACCGTTAGGAGAGGAGAAAAATGAGACGGGTTGTTGTTGCAATCCGTTTTGCAACAGAAAGTCCATTCCAAATAACAAATATAAAATTAAAAATTTAACAATAGAAAATTCAAAAGCCAATTAATAAATACTGTAATAAATTACATACAGGCATAATATTTTACCAACAATCAATTAGTAGTATTTTTATTTAAAAAAATTAGTAGTATAATAATAATTAATTAATAGTAGAGTAATAATAATACTCCTTTCTCCACGCGCCACCTGACGTGAGTGGACCCCAAAGTCTCGTACTTGAAGAGACAAAATGCTCAATTAGGAATGAGAAGCTCAACAGTGGGGTAGGTTCCACATTCGATGGAGAGAGTGTATCTCACGCACAGGAGTAAGACTGTCGGATAAATAATTTACTTTCCTATTTAAATGGTAGTGAAAAGGTTTCCTAAGTAAAAATTGCTTGAGAAAAAGGAGTGTTTATAATTAGATTTTAATCTCGATGAATTTAATTTAATTTGATTAATTAATTGATTATTTAATTAATTATAATAAATTAATGAAAATAATTTTAAAAAATATTTAATTTTTTATTATGTCAGTTTAAAAAATTAAATTAAGTAAAATTTTAATTGAAATATAATATAATTTAAATATAAAATAAAAAATTTATTTTAATCATTTTATTTTATAAGTTATTATAATTTTTAATATAATACTTTAATATTTAAATATTTTATTGAATAATTTTATTTAATTTATTTAAAATATCAAAAAGTTAAAATTTAAAATATAATTTAATTTAAATATATTTTATTTTTGATTAATCAAAAAATTAATTTAACCTATCAAATTTAATTTAATTAATTCATTTTTAAAATTAATAAATTTAATTTAACTAATAAAATAAAAAATAATTTAATTTAATTTAATTAATTTTTAAATAATTTAATCCAAAATTATTCGAACGAACAACCTCTCGAGGAAGGCACAGAAAGAGCCAGTCTCAGGGTGTTTGAGTGTCTTTTGCGTCACTCTGCTCTCTCTGTCTTTGTTTCTTTATAGAATATTATTTTTTTGTAAATTAAAAAATATTATTTTATTCACAATTATTTATTAATTTGTTGAGGAGGGTGTGGCAGCAAAATATAAATAGCGTTTGTTCTTCTCTAGCCCAGCTTTGATGGTGTGAGAGCGTACAACAGGAGAGTGTATGTGTATATTTCTACGGTTCTTAAAGTAACCGTATGTGATCCTTCAATCTTTGCATGCTTCACCAACTCTTCACAAAAGAAAACCCAAAACCCAAAATGAAATTATTTTCATATCAATGAAATGCAATTTGGAAACAAAATTGTTCTTTTTCTGTTTGGTTTCCATCCTCACTCAAAGAAAACCAACCCCCCTTTTTCCATTTCTTTTTTCAAAATCTGAGAAAAACCCAGATGATAAAAAGTGGTAATCTCTTCTGGATATTTGTTATTTAAGTCTTTTTCAATTTATATCTGATGTGGGTATTTTGATTGTTTCTTCTTGGTGGTGTTGTTTTGTTTTTGTTTTTGTCTATATCTGTTTGGTTGGTTGGTTTTTCTTTTTGTCTGTCCTGTTTTTTTCTTTCTTGATGTTGGAAGCAACCGCTGAGATTGGGAAGAAGAAGAAGAATAAAGGAAACATGAAGGATGATGAGGAGCTTGAAATGTTGTTAGATGAGATCCCCCATGCAACATCACATAATCATCATCATCACCATCATCATCTGCATCCACAACTTGATAACAATCATGTGAATGGGTCATTTCATGGCATGTGTGGTCTTATGTATGATGATGACACATCAAGTCATTATTACAACCATACAAGTGCTTCCCCTGTAAGCGGGTTTTCTTTGCAGTCAGATGGTTCTTCCTCAAGTCTGTTTTCTAACAATGGGCAGTCTTTATCTGACAATGGATCACCAACCCCAACTCCACTAGAAGAACTAAAGCCACACTTGCCTAATGGACTACTCATGGATTCAGCTGTTAGGAGAAGGGCCAGTAGTGACGGCTTGATTGGTGAACTGGGTCTTTGTAGAAATCTTAGTAAAATGTATATTAGTAATGATCAAGAGAATTTGGCTTCTAGTTTTAGAGATTTTTCACTTGAGTCTGATCAGATAAATGTTGAGAAGTATGGGGCTGGTGACAAAATGAGGAAAGGGTTTTCTGATTTTGTGGGAATTCAGTCCCCTGTTCCAATCAGTGTTCCATTGAGTTTTGATGGTAGGATGAATATGGCATTTTCTGGATTGCCCCAGCAGGAATATAGGATGAGTAATCTACTGGGTTCTCAATTGTATCCTGGTTGCTCGGATGCTTTTATTTCTCAGCAGGGAATGAATTGTTGGAATGGAGCAATGACATCTCCTTGGCAGAAAAAGGAACAGATATGTAATTATCACCCGAGAGGAAATTCTGTATCTAATTTAAGCACTTCTTTGAGTAAGCTTTCAGTGACTGATGCTTTAATCTATGGACAACGAAATGGTCTCAGTTGGAACGAAGAAAGAGGTGAGCCGAATTTTAATGGTTCTCCCAGGTTGATTCAAGCAACCCCTCATGAAAGTGTTGAAAATCTGTTGCATCATGGGTTGCCACTATCGAAGGGGATGGCTAGACCACATTCAAATGTGAGAATCCCACATGGAGGTCTTGAGGCTTTTACTCGTGATGATAGTTTCATTATTCAAGAAGAGGGTTTAAATTATGTGACTAATGAGGGTCTTGATTGTTCAAGAGGGCAGAACAAGGGTTCTCTGCAGGAGGTTGGTGTGAGTAAGTGTCTAGAAAGAAGGTCGCAGCTTGATGGTTGGTCTCAAATTGCAGCAGCTTGTGGAAATGCTAAGAATGCTAAGTCATATAGCCTATTCTCTTCGTCACCAAAGTATAACTCTTTGGCAGAAGCTCGTGGATACATATACTTAATAGCAAAAGATCAACATGGATGCAGGTTCTTGCAGCGTCTATTTGATGAGGGTACCCAACAGGATGTGCGAATAATATTTAAGGAGATCATTGGTCATGTAGTTGAACTTATGATGAACCCTTTTGGGAATTACCTCATGCAGAAGTTATTGGAAGTGTGTAATGAAGAACAGAGAATGCGGATTCTGTTAATGGTTACCGAAGAACCAGGGCAGCTTGTCAGAATATCTCTAAACACTCATGGGTATGTCAGACACACTGCATTATATATTTTCATATCCATTGGTTCTAACATTGTTTTTCTTTCTTTCAGCACTCGTGTAGTTCAAAAGTTGATTGAGACTCTCAAAACCAGGCAGCAAATTTCGCTAGTTATATCAGCCCTTAAGCCTGGGTTTCTATCTCTCATCAAGGACCTGAATGGAAATCATGTTGTACAGCGTTGCTTGCAATGTCTTAGCAGTGAAGATAACAAGGTAAGCCTTCCATCTTCTAAATTGCTGGGCGTAAATTACAGTACTCTTTTCTGTGCAATTCTGTTTTTGTTTGTTAATTCATAAAGTGTTATATCTTGTATAAGTTAGGGACAATGATTTCTATTTTTTTTTGGGAGGGGGGGTTCTACATGAATAAATGTGATACTTGATAGCATTCCTTTAATCACAAGTAGATTGAACCTTACTTTGACATAAACCAAGAACATCCTTTTGCTTCTTCTCAGAGGCAATCCATCACATGGCATTTGCTTCATAACTGCAAAAATATGAACTGTTCATGGTGCTGGTCATTTTAAAGCTTCACAATGAAAAAGTAGAACTGCTTTTATTCTTTGCTTATGTATCTTCATTAACTTAGGTCTTTTTGATTGGAATGACAATGGATGATTGTACCTTTTTCTAGTTCATCTGTAATAATTGAAAATCTGTATGCTGCAGTGGATCTTGCATTCTTCAGTTAACCATCACTTGGTGTCTGAAGTCTGAACATGATAAGTCCTTGATAATATCATAGTATGCTTTTCTTTTTCTTTTTGGAAAATGTTTAGATGTCTTGAGTTCAATTGGGCAGAAGAACTAATCCAGCCCTAGAATGTTCTCTAGTCTCTTGAAACTGTGAAAAGTAACTAAATTTAATGCAGAATACTGCATTGTTTAACCACATCTTTTGCTGTCAATATAGAATGATCTGTCTGTTAGCTATTTCTTGCAGATATTGCAGTTGGTAGCAAACTATGTGATTTATTAGGGTGGCATTTTATGCAACTTGGTGGTTTTATTTAAAATTAAGTTGAGATAATGATACATATGTGCTTTTTGAATTTTGGTCATTCAGCCTTTTTCCCGAGTCATTACTCTTCTCAGCAGATATTTCACAGTTTTCTTTTTCCAACCATTTTGACAGTTTATCTTTGTTGCCGCTGCAAAGTATTGTGTTGATATTGCAACTCATCAACATGGCTGTTGTGTCTTGCAACGATGCATTGGCCATTCAACTGGGGAATATCGAGAAAAGTTGGTTGAAGAAATATCCACCAATGGGCTTCTACTTGCACAGGATGCATATGGGTAAGTATTAATATGATATTAGTTTATAATTATCAACCATCTCTCGGGAAAAAAAGCATTGTTTTAGGGGAAATGTGATTTTACCAATGGCTTAGCTATCTGCTCAAATTTTTCTGGGAAAAAGAAAAAGAAACTCTCAACTTACATAACTTGATGTAGATTTGTGTATGCAATTAAGAATTTTTAATTTGCTGAGTAGCCAAACTGTCTGGTCGATGGGAAAAACAGAAGGCGTGGGCAGCAGAAAATCTTCTTGGCATATGGGGTGGTAGTAGACCTTCACTATTTACCACTTCTGTGATACTAGACTCTGGTGATGTAGTGCTTTATTTCTAAAAGTGAATTAATGGCATGTTTTATGTTATGGTTTTAAATTCAGGCATGAAGCATGTTGAATATGTTTTGGCAATCATCATATTGGTCTAGTGCTCATGTTGTTGGAAAAAACAATAGGTCCTTTGATGTTGATTGGACTTAATTGACAGGTCTTTAGGACTTGTTATCAATTCTTGCATGAAAACTTCATGTCGTAGTTTGCTTGACAGGTGGCCTCTTATATACATGATCATGCTGGGAAACCAGAAGATTTCTAATGTTAATGAACTACTTCTTTCTTTCTTTCTTTCCTCTTTTTTACAGCTCAAGAAAACTTGTCCTTTTACGCCTTCTGGTGGCCTAAACAGTTTGTTGGTCCACTAGATTATATCTTTTCAAGAAATCTTTGTCACTTTCTATTTCTTGAAATTCAGAAAAAAATGGCAAAAAGTTGTCCTGATTTATTCATTTGAATGAAAGTAGTATATGGAATTGTGAAAGCTTTCTATTTTCTGGGAAATGTTGAAGTGAGTACTGATATCTTGCTTTTACCCTTTCCAAAATACTTTATTGTCTTGAGACTGGTTAGTCCATTCACTCTAATTGGGGACCAGTGGCCCATGAAATCAAGTTTGTGATAGATACTTTTTCTTTTACTATTATTTTTTTAACATTCTTTTCACTGCAGATTCTGTTTTTCATTTTGCAGAAATTATGTTGTTCAGTTTATCTTGGAGTTAAAAATCCCAACTGCCACTTCAACTTTGATTTCTCAATTTGAAGGGAACTATGTGCACCTTTCATCACAGAAGTTCAGCAGTCATGTGGTTGAAAAGTGTCTTGTGGTATTAAATGATGAGAGCCGGTCAAGAATCATTCATGAATTGCTCTCTGCAACACACTTCGAACAGTTGCTACAAGATCCACATGCAAACTATGTTGTGCAAACTGCTCTCCGTGTGTCTGAGGTTCTACAATCAGTTACTTTTCTTTTATTTATGAAACATCCAATCCCTCAATTAATACCTCCCTTTGTCTCTGGCTCAAAAAGTATAGATATGTTTCATGATAACATTAATCGATGCCTCAGTCTGGGATTCATGGGTTACTAAGAGACCTAAACTTGTTTTGTGGTTCAGAGTACCTGCTAGATTTATTGCACATAGGTGATAACATAAGGAATCGCATAAATTGATGACTGTGATGGATCTTGTTGAAAATTTATGGTCCTACTAGATTGCAAATTTAATGATCTCACCTTAGGATCAAATGTTTAGTTCAAAATCCTCTTCTCATGCATGTTACTAAATTAGAGTGATATCCTCTGGTCTCCTAATTATCCATATTAGAAACAGGGTTAATATTTATATCGGAAAATTTATTATTCTTGTTGGCTTCTTTTGGTCACTTTATTGGTGTTCTGATTTTTTTTTTTCTATGTTAGGGACCTCCGCACAATTCACTCATTGAAGCGATCGAGTCCCATAAAGCAATTTCCTGCAACAGCCCATATTCCAAGAGGATTTTCTCTCAGAAGCTTCTGAAGAAGTGATGTACATTCTCCCTGTCTCTGAAAGAAGCAATGTTGTTGTTTTTGTGTCTCCACTAGCCTTGTTTTCTACTATCGCTAAAATTATTATCTATATATGGTAATTGGATTTAACCATAAAGGCTCATGCAGAAGAGTTTTATCTTGTCAAAGTGCAGGGAAATGCCTACCATGCGCTCAGAAGAGTGTAAAAGATAAAGAAATTTTGCTCTAAGTTGCTTAAATTTTGGACATGTATTATTCTGTTGTCTTGTTGATCTCTATGGATTCGATATTGCCATCCGTATTTACTTTGCAATTCTCACTGTATGAAGTTGTACAGTGTATAGAATAGAATGTTGGGATTCTTGTTCCTGCTGTACAATACAATGTGATGCCTTTTTAATAAATATGCATGAGAATGGATGATGCATTAGATTTGACTCCTTTTTTTCCCTTTATTTTGGATTTTGTAAGAGTTCCCTTGACATTGCCAACCCTTACCAAATGCCAATATTTTGTTTTCCACTCTTTCGAAGAAACTTGGAAGTTACAAAGAAAAGCAAATTATATGGGTACGGAATAATAGATTGAATTTGAATTAATATAGTATTAAATTTAAATCTGTATTTAATTTCAATTTGATTGAATTTTATTTTTTTAATTTAAATTCAATTTAAAATAAAAATCGAGTTACTCGAACTCGTTCAATTAAACTCGATTAATATGTAAAAATAAATTTAATTTTTATATTTGATAAAAGCTTGATTATTTGTAATCAAATTTGAGATATTTTATCAATTAAAATAATTAAAATATATTAAAATATAAAAATTCGATTAAGTTCATAAATTATTTGAGTTAGGTATAAAATACTCGAAATTAATTCGATCGATAAGTTGAACTATTTGAGCTCAAACTTGACTCAATAATAATTAAATTAAATTTAAATTTTATTTGAATCAAATCAAAATAATTTATTAATATTAATTTATTATTTACATTCTTATATACGATGACTTGGTGAGTCTTGCTTCTTTTTCCATTTGTAGTAACAAAATAATGGATATCACTTAACGAAATGCTATTAAGTAATTATTTGTATCTTATCATATTTTAATGCGACATGATTAAATTTATTATATTTTTAATTAAATTTAAATGTCAATTTTAATAAAATTATATTAATATAAAATTTTTATTAAATTTTTTTAATTAAAATTACAATAATTTTTTTCAATCATAATTATAATAAATTTTATTATTATTTTTATTTTATAAAAATTAATTTTACTGTTCATCCAAATCAAACCTAAAAAAGTTTCATAGTGGACATGGGTCCGCACAATTACCTTTTTGTGGGGGAACTTCATCAGCATTATTGACGGCACCTTTCCTTCTGGTGCCATTAAAATGCTACACTATGAAAGGTTTGTATGAACAAGTTGTAGGGTAGGTTAGAAAATTCCTATTTTGCCTACTACCTCAACTGTTATTTAGGTATTTGCGAAATGACATTTGTACCCCTGCTTTGATGGATTGGGGGACAAGTTACCAAAAAAGGGCAGGAGAGAACACCCAACAAGCACAATTAAATAAAAGCTATATTTTGTATACATATGACCGAAAACAAAAACAAAATGTTTCTCTGCACGTTCAAGAATCCTTGACTTAGAGGCAGAGAGTAGGCTTTAAAATTTTAAGATTTTAGGTTAAACTTGAATTTGATTATTTAATTAAATTTTAATGTATTAATTAATTAATTAATGATATAATAATTGATTATATAAATATAATATTTAATTATGAGTGAAATTTAAAAAAAAAATTCATCCATCCCTAGAGATATGTTATTCAAAAACATAGACAACTACATATACCTTGGTGTACATTCCTCCAATTATATTTGGGAATAAGATTTTGAATGGATATCAGATATTTGTGATTAAAAGAAGCAAAGAAAAATAGGGTAGTTGTTATAAAATAAATATTTATACAAATGCATCCTTTATTAATCCATCCATGATTGCTACTAAAAGGAGCCTAAAATTATCAAGGAATTGATTGAGCTGACGGCTTATCAAGTCTATGTTGATTTTTACTACCAACAATTTCGTTTCTTTTTGCAAATAAAATGGTAGGAACATATATACTCAGTTAACGTCTGAATTTGGTTTTGTTCCATGTTTATGTAGTTTGTAATAAACCTATTTAAGGTTTGAGTTATTCATTCAAAAATTTAAAAATTAAGTTAAATTTTGAAAAAAATTAAATAAAAAAATAAAAAAAAACGAATTTGAATATAATTTTTAAATATATTTAAATTTTAAATCAAACTTTAAACAAAAAATTTAAAATCCGAATCTCTTTTTGTATAATCCGAATTCATATATATATATATATAAATTATTTATATATATATATATGAATTATATATAAAACAATTTGCATATGTATATAAATTAAAAATAAAAATTAAATATATTTTATTAAATTTAATTTTTACTTTTAATTTATATATATAAGTTTTATTTTTGATTATATATATAAATTAAATATAATCTTATTAAATTAAATTTAATTATATTTTTTAATTTTATATTATACAAATTAAATTATTAGTAAACTCCAATTTTTTTTTAATTTGCTCAAATTAAAAAAAATTTTGAACTTCAAAATTTTAAATCAAATTGAATTAAACTTAAATAAATATATAAATTATTAATATTAAATATAAATTCGATTTGAATTTAACTCATGAACACTTTTAATTTATAAGATGATCATCAATTTTAATTTATTCATTCTGAATACAAAATTAAGTCCAACAAGCGCAAAAGTTAATACTATCACCTCTTCTCTATACCTATTTCCCTTTATTACATAATTATCTTTGAATATTTTCCCTCTCATTTTTTTTTATTTTGCTACTGCAAGCAACGCATGCAGGACGAGCGTCAGCAGTTTCTACGCAAAATCTCGAAATATTCAAGAAATCAACCTCCAATTATTTTTAATCTCGTAATAAAAAATGGTAAAAACTCAGTGGTAGGCAAACAACAATAAAAAATTAAAAAAATTGTCAAACCACCAAGTAACGCTAAATCACGTGCAAGCCATCTTTGAAAACTCCTCGCCAAGTGATCCAGGACACGTGTCGACTTTCCAAAAGCCTACATGGACGTGGACCAATCAAGTCATGGAAAGTGATCGGATCTCATCGCCCCACTCTCATCCACCAATTCTGATATCTACCCCTTCTGGCACTGCCGTTGTTTTGATCTCCTCGCCACGTGTCATTAACTTCACCCCCCTTTTACGTTTTAACCTTTTAAAAATTAATAAAATATTCTTTAATCCCATTTGGAGAAAAAAACAAGAAATTAAAAAAAATTCGAGTGCTCTCTTTGTTCTTTAGAACCTCCCAGAAATCTCATCTTTTGAATTTAGGGTAAAAAGGTTGATCAGGTTAACTGGTGAATAGCTTTGTACTTTGGATTTCGGAGCCTTCTTTTTTGGTGAACTGTTGCGTTTGTTGGAATTTTTTTTTTCTTTGGAGTATTTAATTTTCCGGTGAAGATTGTCAGTTTCAGGTGAGACTTTGTTAGGAGATCGTTTCTATTTTATCTTTTCATTGAAACTTATTTTTTTGATTGATTTGTTTAGATTTGGCTTTGTTGTTGATATTTATTTTTGTTTGGTTGCTGAGAAAAGGCGGAAAATGAAATGGAATTTTAGATTTATTTTTATGTTTAAAATTTTTTTTTAAAAAAAAACAACTTGCTAAAAGTAAAGGTAAATTTGATACTTATTGCGCTTACTATTTTTTTTTCTGTTAATAAATTTTGAATTTTTATTTTTTCTGAGTTCTTCTGCTGTTTGGTTGATAAGAAAAAAAATTGGTTACGAAAATAGATTTACACAAGAAAATAATGAATTTAAATACTAGATTACTATGTATTTACTGCTATAAGAGCTGCGGATTGAGTTTGGTGCTTTGATGCTGAAAAGTAATTTACTTTTTGTTTGATGTGTATTCATTGCTTTTAGATTTTAAACTTGATTATGATTCAAAAATTTTAGTTGGTTTAATTTCTGCTGAAAGATTTTTCTAATTTTTTGTAATTATTCTGTTTTTTTTTTTTTGTCAGAAAGCTTAACCAGACATAAATTGTCTGCAATAAACATGACAGCGGATCAAAAGGTTGAATTTGTGTTTAGTAGTGGATAAGGATATTGGAGGAATGTCTGACTTGTGCATGTATGAGGTACGTTTCTTGGTTTTAAGTTTATTCAGTTTACTTTCATGTTCCAGTAGTACAGTGCTGCAATGTTAATAAATCTCGTGTGGGATGCAATAATTTCAGCTTATTGATTCAACTTGAGATTTGGTTTTACTTTCAGTTGTTCACTAGATTTCACACACCAATAGAACTTGTAAGATGTATGGTGTGGAATGGTGCGTCTTTTGTTATGATATTGAAAATTTGAGGGTGTGATGGATTTGTTATGGAAAAAAGGAATCTTAAGTACTTTAGTTTGAAGCTTTTTGGCTCCTTTATTTGTGGGTTTGCTGTTACCTGTCAGACTTTGTTGATGAATTGGGATTTTAGGGTTCAGGTTGCTCACTGTCTTTTGGAGCAGGCTAGGTTTAAGTTGTAGTTTGTAATTTATTTTCTATCAGTGATGGAGTGGGTATTTTGTGTGTTTATGTGATAAGCATCAATGAATTTTACCCCACAATGGTTTTTATTCTTTTAGTTTAAGGTGTTTATCAAGGATTGAACCCGAGCTTGTTAGCAGGAGACTAATATCATTGTACCAAATAACAGTTCCTCGTTACTAATGTCTTTTTCTTGTTGTGTAGTTTTAAATAAGATTTTATTCACTTTAAGGACTTGATATACTAATGTTAGATTTGTTTAATAATGCCACTTTTTAGTGCAATGGTAAAAAATCTTGGGGTTGAAGTGTGCAAGAGCACAAGATGACTGCTTTATCAAAAATTACTTACGAATATGATTTAAGCTGATGGGATCATAATTGGATGGCTATTCTTTGAAGCATTGCTCTTCAGCCCTAAGCCTCCTTAATAACCTTAATGTTTTTGGTTGCATTACCATTTTATGGAATGTGTTGTGCTATCATCTCGCTACCTTCATCTTTATTTTTATTTCTTTTGATGAAGACTGACTGACTGACTAAACTTGTGTAATTGATGTTACAGCTAGAAGATAATGTTTGGGATGAATTTGGTGCTAGTGAAGATCATATAGTGCCTCGTACTGTTGATGAATATGGGGCTCAATTCAAAGTTCAAGGTGATGGTCGAAAAAAACCACGACATGAAGTGATTGGAGTTACTAGTAATGCTTATAATACAACTAAATATAGTATTTTGGGGGAGAATGAAAAAGGCTTGCATACTTTGACCAAGAACAGAATGTTAGAAAAGGGTCCTTGGTCTCACAGTCCTGATGGTGTGTTTCCCACTTCAGGTGATAATGAATCACTCAATGAAGCAACAAGCATGGCTTCTGATGATCCAAGGATGTCCAACCATTGTCTCACAGCTGGCAATATAGCTTCATTTGGCAGTGAGTTCTATGCTAATAATCCTTTCTTGGTTGACAAGTGTGCCACAGAGGACAATAATGTTTACCGTTTTCCACTAAATCACATATCTAAAGATGATGACGATCTCAACTTTTTTAATGATAACCATGAAGACAAAGAAAATAGTGATCTTTTTTATTATGACTGGGGAGACATCGGGAATTTTGAGGATGTTGACAGGATGTTCAGGTAGTTCTTGAAATCCCATTATTAATTATTTTTCATGTTATGCTTTGCTATGTAAAATCTGATTTGTAGCTTCAGTAGGACCTCCCCATGTGAGTATCTACATTCATACTTCCTTAAGTATCCACATATGTACCTGCACCATATGTGTATGCATGCATGTATGTAGGTTTATAGAGTACTATTAATACTTAACCTGTGTCATTGTTGTGGCAGAAGTTGTGATTCAACGTTTGGGTTGGAGAGTCTCAGTAATGAAGATGATTTATGCTGGTTTTCATCCTCACAAGTGACTGAAGGATCGCAAGATGCATTGAAGGCTGATGCTAAACTGAATAGTGTACCGGAGCATCGTGCAACTTCTAGACCAGACAGTGCAGGTCCTTCAACTATTGATTCCAACAAGAAAATTGTACTTCCAAGTGACAAAATAAGTTCCCTTAATATGAAAGGTGATAATGCTGGTCTTTCTCACATGTCATCTTTGAATGTATCCAATAAAGATTCTGAAAGTAAGGATGACTCGACACCCAATGAGCAGGTTAGTAAAATCTTTCTTTTTTCTAAATGTTCTTTCTCTATCTCTCTCTCTCTTGTTCTTTGTAATTTCACATTTTGTTTGCAAATATGTAGATATCTAATTTTTGCCGCCTAGAACTTGTCTTCCTTCAAAAACCTTTTGGGTACTTTTTCATTCTGAATATGGATTCCATGCCACAAGGCCCACAGCAAATTAAGATGAGAGTAGAAATATAACTATTGCGTTACTTTGAGGGAAAATGCAGCCTACTATCGTCATGAATTACTTTGTCTCGATAATGCGCGTTCATAATTGATAGGGCTCCAATTTGGAGTCAGATAACAATCAATTTGGTCCACTCTTAAGCTGGTTTCAGAATGAAAGATTCTTTGTTATAACTTCTACTTGACGTATTGTTGCCATGTGGAATCTTTATCATGTTGTCTAATTGTATTGCCAAATTACAGATCAGTCCACAAAAAAAGCAGTCAAAGCAACTGAGTCCATCAGGAGAAAGAAATGATCAACATCTGGAAAATGATGGTCCTTTTCACCGATACGGTAACATCAAGCAGTTTGCAGATGTGAAGCACCCCGTCAGTGATTCATCCTGTCAACTCTTTTCCCCATCAGGCCTTCAGCGGCATAAACAAAGCATTGGACCTGATTCTGTGAGTTACATACAGACAAATATTCCTTATATGCATCTAAACTACAGCAGTTATTCAGATCAAATTTCAAGATGTCCAACTCTATCTAGTACCAAATCTGAAAATAATGGTCATCCTTCTTCGACAAATGAGTCATCTTATGCATCAAATCAGGTACAGTCTATAGAGAGCAATCATGGTCTTCCATTTGAGGCTCCTGCCATTTTAACGAATGAGAAAAGGGGAAAGCTATATCATCAACAAGACACACAAGCTGCACTCAATAGGAATGTCAAACATGCAAAAACGGAAAGTCAGATGGCATTTTGTGACGCAGTTACCATTCAAAAGCAGGTTGGTCAGTCTGAACAGGATGAAGGTCACAGTGAAGTTGAAGGAGTTAGCGTAGGAAAGCCATCAGAATTAGGTTCTTCAAATGCACAGGAGATCTCTTGTGTAAGTTCTGTGTTGGATGAAATCTCACTAGAAGCAACTAGTTTTCGGCAGCTTCAACAAGTCATGGAAAAGGTATAATCGATGGAAAGATTTTGTGATGTGCATGTTCTTTTTGGTAATCAGTAAACGTGGTAATTGATCAAGTTAAACTGCTTGAATTTTCAGTTGGATATCAGGACAAAACTGTGCATACGGGATAGTCTGTATCGTTTGGCTAGGAGCGCTGAACAAAGGCATAATTGCACAAATACAAAAGGTGGCATCAGAGATGATAAAGGCGCAACTGGGCCATTGGTGGCCGAAGAAACCAACAAGTATGTGTTTGTTGCTTGAACATGAATTTCTTAGTACTTTTTACATTGTAACCGTTACTCAATTTTGACCATTGAATAGTGATGCATAAGGTTATTAACGATGGTGTGAGAGTTCTGGACACTTGAAACCCATGGTTGGTAGAAATGTTTGAGTCATTCAATTTTTTGGCTTCCTAGAGACTAGGGACAATTAGTTAGCTTGTGCTAAAATTGTTAAAATTATTGAAATTGAGGCACTCATAATTTGAATTTTGAGCCATATACCTCTAGGTTAAAAAAGCATTGGTAACAAATCGAAAAACCATGCAACTTAGAAATTTAATCCATTGGTTTAGGATTTAATAACAGCTTGCAATCTGGAGCATATTGATTGAAGCTGTCTCCTTCACCTACATTCTTCCTTTCTGCTAAAGTTTTGTGAGAAAGAAATTGTAGAGGCAAGCATGGCAACAATTCGTTTGCCTGTTCTAATCTAAGAACTTTGTGTTACATGTTGAGTGTCGTGTGTATTTTTCTTTCGTTTGTCCTCATTCTTAATTAATCCAGTCTTCCAATCAATTTTTTTCTTGTAATTCTAGATATTGGTTTTTTCAGGTGCACTGGATTTATGGATATAGAAACCGACACAAACCCTATAGATAGATCCATAGCACACTTACTTTTTCACAGGCCTTCAGATCCATCTCCAAGGCCGACTACCAGTACTGCATCTTTTATGTCTCATGGCATGGTAAGCATTTTCTTTTTCGCTTGTCGATCTTTATGTTGAACTTGAAGAAAGTTCATGTTTCCTAACATCAAGCCTTATTCTGTGGATTGGAATGGCAGATTCATGGCTCTATCGCAGGTCCAACTGTGATCACTGAAAAGCACATTGGCCACGAAGAAACTGGCACCGGCTCAGATAAATAGCACTGACAACAAGTAACAGCAGGTAACTGGGAATTTGTTAACATCAGTGCAACCTTGTAAAATATAAATTTATTTATAATCACATAAAATGATTGTTGTGAGGCCTCAACATAAAATGCAGGTCGGTTCCATATTTTAAACTTTGATTTCTTAGATACACGATTAGTCTGTGTTGTTATAAATCCTTGTAATGTTTTGTGATAAGCTACTTGTCCGCTTGTCTGTGACTAATACTTCAAAAAATTTCTGTTTGCTTTTCTCAGACTATTAAGCGATCCTGCGACCAATTTCCTGGACTTTCTCTTATCTGATGATAATGAATTTTTTGCTTTACGGATATACATATATATATATATGTATATACATATACATATACATATACATATGTATACATGTATATACATATATATATGTATATATATTTATATGTAAATATACATATATATATATATAAATGTACTTTGCTTTTCTCAAACTATTAAGCGTTCCTGCGACCAATTTCCTGGAGTTTCTATTCTCTGATGATAATGAGTTTTTTGCTTTACGGATATATGCATATACATATATATATTTATATATGTATATGTGTATATATATATATATATGTGTGTGTGTGTAATATAATTTCAATTCAAGTCAGGTTATTAGCTTCAAGTCATTAGAGTTTATGGGGTGTATTCGATTCTGATGTTAACTTTAGAGACATTACTTAAATAAATAATCATCTTTAGTGGGTTGAAAAATAAATGGTCTCTAGTATTGATGATATACAAAATACAACATCAGAAGTAGAAGGAAGAAGGCTTAACCATATATATATATATATAAACAACTTCTGAAGTAAAACCAAATAATCATACAAAGTCTTTTTTTTTTATATTTTAATCAATTAAAATTTTTAAATATTTATTTTTAATTAATTTAGTTTTTATTGGATGAAAATTAGTTAAATTTTATCATTAATTTTTGTTCAATTGATGGTTAATAGGACGAAAATAGATGTTTAAAATTTTAATTAAATGAAAATAAATGTTTGAGAATCAAATTGATTATAATAAAAAAATTTAGATGATTATTTAATTTTGTTTCAAATGCAAAGGTTTATATATATATATATATATATATATATATTTATATATAAACTTTTGAAGTAAAACCAAATAATCAAATAAACTCTTTGTTTTTTCAATCAATTAAATTTTTAAATATTTATTTTTAATTAATTTAGCTTTTATTGGATGAAAATTAGTTAAATTTTATCATTAATTTTCGTTCAATTGATGATTTATTAGATGAAAATAAATGTTTAAGAGATGTTTAACAGTTTAATTAAATGAAAATAAATGTTTGAAAATTAAGTTGATTGTAATAAAAAAATTTAGATGATTATTTAATTTTGTTTCAAATGCAAAGGTTTATATATATATATATATATATATATATTTTTTTTAAGACAAGGAGCCAATGGGTTTTTGATTTACTGACAAGAATGAAAATATTGAGATTTTAATTAAATTTTATTGCATGTGGATTTAATTATTTAATTATATTTTAATTTATTAATTGAATATTCAATTATTATAACTTAATTATAATTTAATAATTAATTAATTATTTATATAAATATAATAATTAATTATAATTATAATATTTTAATTTAATGAATATAATTAGATTATAATTATAACATTAAATAAAAAAAACCCAATGAAGAAAGACGCAGGGGAAGATCGAATATGGTGTCATGACTCATGAACGTGGGCAAGCGTGAGGCACGTAAATGTTTGATCTCACGACCATCACGTGAAACAGTGATAAAAGTCTTGCGTGACCATGAAGCAGCTGGCTTTGCCTTCCTGGCTGTTGTGTGGGAAACGGAAAAGCATAAAATAATAAACTTATGGGCCCATCCTCTTACAGATGGACGAATCTGAACTTTGATGAGATGTTATCGGTAGTTTTCATGGCTAAAGCAGGAAAGTTCGACGAGAAAGCCAAGAAAAATAAGATTTTGCAGGTTGTTGCTGCATTCCCCTTGTTTTCAAGCCTTTATTATTTAAGATATGCTGGCAAGCCGTTTAGTGTCTTTGAGTTTATCTAATGTTTTCTTCTTCTGGAGTTAGCAAGAGCATGGCTCCCAAAGATGTTATTTATTCGAGAAAAACTAAAATAAAAATTCTTCTACAGCGATGGAATGATGAGTTCATCATACAAATATTGGCTTCAAATAGTGTTTTGAGATTGTAAGGCCGGACAATATCAGGAGTTCCTCTCCACATTAGCTCTGCAAATGGCTGGTAAGCCTTTTCCGACGGATGATAAAGGAGTCCGAAGAAGAAATATTCACCAGGATACTCACATAAATGAAACTCTGTTACCCCTCTCTTCCCTCCACAGCTGTAAACTCCTCCGAACAGACCGCAACCGCAACATGCCGTCGTTACATCCTTGAAACCTTCACAGCATAACCCATAAAAAAATGTCATCTAAAAAGTTGGACCCTGCTTATTTAAATAACAATAAGATGGCCTAACATTACCATATTTTGAAGGTTTTTTCAACCATGGAAATTGTAATAGGCATATTTGAACCCTTCAAGCTGCTTCTCTGGCTTCTGGAGGGTTTTGGGAAGTTCTCTGTTGTGCAGTTTTGCTATTGCTGTGACTTCGTCAATGCAAGAACCTCCTGCTTGTGCTTTCATGTATGGTAAACAACCCAGCTGTATCATATTAGCAAACCCAAACTTCCTCCCTCCTTTATTGTTTATTTCCTGAATCAATTTCAATACAGATTTCAATCAGAAGAAAAGCCAATGTTTGAATGAATATTTTCTGGGGTTTGAGTATAATTACTTTGAGAGCAACAGTCAGGTTGCCAAACACCATGGAAGCAAACTCTTCATCTGAGGCACTTGAGTTACGGGTAAAGAAATCATTGCCCCCAACGCTTATCAAGTGAACAGTTCTGGACAACAATTTCTTGGCTTCTGCTTCTCCTAGTTCTTGTCTCAATGATTTCTCAACTTTCTTGAAACATTTTATTTGAGTTTCTAAGTCTACAACGTGGCGTTAAACAGAAAAATGTTGATGCAATGAAAATTGAATAGCTATAAAAAAAAAAAAAAAAAAGATAAACATTATAAACCAATTCGGCATACAAATCCTTGATGAGATTCAACAAGAGCACCAGCTCCTCCAGATGCAAAGTTCACCCATCTGTAAACTTATGATTGCCTTGCTGTAAATATATTGGAATTATTGGTAACCCGGCAAACTGAGCTCTAACAAAATTGTAACAGGCAGAGTCAATGAATTTGTGCTCAAAACCAGAAACTTGACGAAGAAAAAAACATCTTATTTTTGAAGTGCTTTACCAATAAAATCCGGAATCAGAAGGCATAAGAGAATCTGCCAGGAGGGTCTAGTTGAAGGTCTCACCATATGGCCAGAAATTTGCCTGCAAATCGAAAGTGGTGTTGATATAGTTGTTGTTTCCAGGATCAAAAAGTGAATCACCAAAGAGGAAAAAAGCATCATGATTTTGAGGCTGATTATTATGGCAGCTAATCAAGGTCGCAAAAGAAAGAAAGAAAGAAAATGATATGGGCCCCTTAGTTATAGAGTTGGCAATTCGAATCTATCAAGTTCCAATCCGACTTAATTCCGATTTTATAATGTCATTATTTATTTAATTTCTGAAAATCAAATTTTAGATTGATCAAATCAAAACTTTAAAAAAATAAGAAAAACTTTTAAGTCAATGTTAGAATTGGGTTTTAAGTAAATGCATTTAGACCCAAACTCGGTATATATATAAATTTTTTTTTATTATTTACTTAATTTTATATTTATATATTTATTACTTAATTTTATATTTATATTTTAAAAAGTATTTTATTAATTTTAAATTAGGCTAATTATTATTTTATGTATATACAAATTAAATCAGATCAAATATTAAAAAATAATATTTTAATATCAAATCAAATTTAAATATTTATTATATAAAATTAAATTGAATTCGAAATAATCAAAAGCCTACCTCAACTCATCGCATTGCCGTCTCTATTTAGTTAGTTAGCCATGAGAAAAAGAAAACTGGTATGCTTTAATTTACGCTTTGCCTTAACTAAATACATAAGCTTTTTTACAATATTCTTTTCTTTCTATTCATTAAATGGCCAAATGTTCACTGTATGGCCAAAAAATATGAATGACGTTGTAGGTTAAATGATACAGCATAGGATTTTATATATTTATATATATTAATAATATATTAAATATAAATTTCAAAAATTAATAATATTTTTTATCTTAAAAATCACATCATTTACTTTTAAAATTTTAAAATACCTTTTAATTTTAAGTTAAGGTTTGATATGATTTTTAATGTCGCGTGATCTAATAACTGTGATGATAAAATCATTAAAAAATTTTATCACTAATAATTAAATAATTATATTTGATATAATATTGTAAATTATTCATGATTTAAAATGTATTATATATATAAATTAATAAATTTAAAACACTTAAAATAATCTTAGTATTTAAGAAAAAACAACAATTTTAATTTTGATTGAATGAAGAGTTTATAAAATAAGGATACATTATTTTATAAAAAATTATAAGACATAAACTAGTTTTGAGGAGTATGGTTTAAAAGTTATTGCATATTCACATTTAAGGGTTACATAAATTGTCTTTTGTAAAGTGATTAAAAGGTAAAAATTTTCTTGTAAAAACTAAAAATTTGGACTGAAAAACATTTTAACAAATAGCATCCCCCCTTCATAATTAAACCTTTCTCACAAAAAATTATTGTCACTTAAGATTTTTAAATTATTATGAAACACTTAATCTAATTACAATAATTAAATCATCCTTTAGCAAAGGCCACTTAGAAAGAATTTTTAAAGGATATATGTAGGAGTGAGCAAATGATCGATTTGATTTGAAAAAATTAATAATCGATTTAATCGATTTTCATTTAACAAATAACTGAATCGATCAAATATTATTAAATAACTTATCAAAATCGATTCGCTTTGGTCAATTCGATTAAATAATCGATTTTTTTTATCATTTTTTTTCTATTATGAATAATTATTTAACTACAAATTCAATTTAATAAAATTGAAATTCTAGTATCATTCAAATTAAATTACTAAATAATTTAATAATTTCAACAATATTTTACAAAAAAAAAATAAATAAAAATATTTATCTCAATTTTTTTTATTTTTAATTATTAGAAAGTAGATTAATTCGATCAGTGCGGTTATTAATTTTAAAAATCGAAAATCGATCGAATTAACCAATTTAATCGATTTAAAAAATCGATTATAATTAAAATCGAATAAATCGAATCGATTCAACCAAATTCACTCAATTTCAATCGATTTAACCGATACAAACCAACTTTTGCTCACCTCTAAGTATATGCAACTATCCCTTTATTTAAATATGCAACATAATCATATGATACAAAGGAGAGGACACTTTTCTTGTAGAAAAATTGTGTCCCGAAATGGAAATTGCATCACATCTATTACTCTGAAAGCCACAATATTACGTGAAAATGGTCTAATGTTGAATATAATAGCCATCTCTATCCACCAGAAAGCAAAAGCTACTGTTTATGCTTCAAACAGTGCTCTGAGATTATAGGGTCTTGTGATATTGACAGTTCCAGTCCACATTAGCTCTGCAATTTGCTGGCTGGCCTTTTCTGTGGGATGAACAGAATCAAAGAACAAATGTTCACTCACATTTTCACATAATTGGTATTCTTTTATCCCCCTCTTTCCACCGCAACTCAAAATTCCTCTGTACGGACCACTGCCGCAACATGCAGTCTTCCCTTCCTCGAAACCTTCACATCATGGGGCACGAATTAACAGAAGATAGATGAAATATAAGCTGATACTTTTGCCAATAACAATGGTAAGAAGTTTGAGATACGTACGTACCATATTTTGAAGGTTTGCTCAACCGTTTGCTGACAGATTCGTAGAAGTTGTGACATGAATATTTGAACCCTCCCAATTGGTTCTTCAGATTCTGGAGGGCAACAACTAATGCTTTATTGTGCAGTTGTGCTAGCTTAGTTAGTTCATCCACGCAAGAACCTCTCCTTCCCAGATTTGCTCTCATGCTTGGCAAACAACCCAACGGCATCAAATTCACAAACCCAAACTTCCTTCCTCCTTTCTTGTATATTTCCTGAACCATTTTAAGAGATTGTAAGCAACCAGTAAACAAGACGAAAGACAAGTCAAAGGCCGCGTTGTCCATTGATAGGGTACTAACCAGGATTTAAGTACTGATAGTTTCACGTAAAAAAATGGAGGACAAAAAAAGGATAGAAATGAAATTACAGTATTTGAATGTACTTACTTTGATTGAAATAGTCATGTTTCCTATTACCATTGCAACAAATTCTTCTTCCAAATATGATTGACGCACGCTTGAGTTTCTGCTAAAAGGGAACAAGTAATCATTTGTTCCTATGCTAATCAAGTAAACAGCTCTGGACAACAATTTGTGGGCTTTCGCATCACCTAATTCCTGTTGCAACGATTTCTTAACTTTCTTGAAGTAACTTACTTGAGTTTTTAGGCCTATAACCTGGAGAAGAAAATGATGAAGTAAACAACCATGCTAAATTTTTTTAAAAAAATTATAATAGAGAATTGGCAGAGCTGAGTGAACATCACATACGTATCCTTGGTGAGTTTCAATAAGAGCGCCAGCTCCTCCAGATGCAAAGTTCACTCCATCTATGAAATTTTTATTATCAGGTTGCATATATGCAGGAATTAATGGTAGCCCTGCGTACTCGGCTGAAACAAAATGTAAGGAGTTAGTAGAGTAGAAATTGAACTTACCATACAGAAAATCAACATAAAAGTAGTTACCAATAAAATCAGGAATTATACGCCCGTCAGAAAACCTGCCCGTGGGGTGATTGAAGAAAGTTTCACCATATGGCCAGAAATTTGCCTGATAATTAGCAGTTGTGTTGATATAGTTGTTGTTTCCTGGATCAAATAGTGAGTCACCAAAGATGAATAAAGCAACATGATTTTCACGAAGGGTATCACAGCTAATGAGGCTGAGAAAGGTTGCATAGGAAAGCAAGCAACAAATATGAGCCCTTAAACTTGCCATCTGAAAACTGGTTTGCTTTCTGTTATGGTCTACCTCTGACCTGAATCCAATGTATGTATTTATAATTTTATATAGCCCTTTCTGTTGACCATAATATATAAACGGACGAAAATAGCAAACGATGGTTTTGAGCTCCTTCAATATATTGGCTCACATGTAGATATTAGAATTCCTAATATTCAATGATTGGATTAAAAAAAAAGTGCATGGACCATGTTATCTCTAAGAAAATGCATTCAACTTTTAGTATTTTATATTTTCCTTCTTGAAAACCTTGCTAATAGGTAGACAATATACCTTTCAAGTTCAAGTCTTTCTAGATCATCTAAAAAGAGTAAGAATTTTATTGATAAGTTATGAAACTTGGGCAACAAGATGTTTGACCAGCTATTGTACGACACTTTGTTTCTGAGAAATATTTTTCTCAATGAATTCTAGTTCATTAATAGCCTTGTGGGTCAAGAAACCTTGCTGCCTTCTTCTTCTTCTCGTCGGCCAAGTTTTCATTCAAAGTTTGTTCTGTGTAGCAATCATATAAAACTGATACTACAACACATCTACGCTTTGACTGTATTTACATGTCACTTTTTCTTGGTGTGACGTATCGACTGTGATTAGAGCTGCCAAAAAAAAAAAAAAAATCTGTTCTTTCTTCTATCCTTCACTAGGCACTTTATGTTAACCTTTGTTCTTCAGAGGCGGATTGAGAGCAAATTAGAGCCTTAAGGCCATCAGCAAGAACATAATTTTGGATGTTTCAGAGAAGTAGATTTCTTCTTACTAAGAAAGCATTGGCAACGAATGGATATTTGATTCAAGTGAATTTAGGTGGCTCAAAAGAACTTGACTTGCAATTGCCGCTATAGGAATATGGGCTTGTGAATACTGAATTTCAACTGGCTTGATTCTAATGTTAAGGGGAGTTGAGTTTCTCTTTAAAGATGACTCTTGGTTGTGAAAAACTTATTATATTTTGCAAAAACTATACAGTTCAAACATTTTGATGATCAAGAAATGGCTTCAGAACTTTCACTTACCACTCTTTATCGGTTTACTGTGATCAAAGTCATCCAATTTAGCCAAAGCCAAACCACCACCTTCTGCTTTGTACTGTCTCACCAAGCAAAGATCTTGCATCTCTTCCAAGTTCCAAAATGGTGATTGACGGTTCAGACAACCAGACTTCAGCCTTTAATTCCATTTTTTTCTCGCTACAAACAGACTTAGATTGCTTATTTCAGAGAACCTTTGCTCTGTGGTATTTGACTAGCAGGGTTTAGTTAGATATAGCATCTCTTTTAAGTGTCCAAGACAAGCAGACAACCCAAATACGCATTTGAAATTAAAAAACTGGTTCTGCCATATCCTTATTTCTCGTGCGCAAAGTTCCTGCATTCTCGGATAAACTGCAAAAATAAGTAAAACAGAGCACATATATTATCTGAAGCAAGTCAGCTATAGTAATCACATCCAAGCAGTTCGTCAATAAATTCAAGGTTCTCTAACGAAACGACATATAGGCTTGAACTAAAATGGTTACATGATTGTGTAAACTCTAAAGTCTAAACGCAAAATATTCTCCAAGGTGCAATGCTACAATATTCAACTAGTCAAACTGCTGCCTGAGCTGCATTTCTGTTTCACTTTTCCAAGTTGCATGAGATGACTGGCCCTTCATTCTCTTACTCTTCTCTTTCTCTTTGATAGTAGACCCCTTCTTCTTGGGTTCCTTGTCAGCATCTGCAAGAGGACGATCACTGCACACAGGACAGACCATTCCTCTAGCACTGGAGTATGTCTTTGGTATTCCACATTGTAGGCACATCCTATAAACATAGCATATTTATGCTAAGATGAAATGCCAACATGCAGTGCATGGAGCATGCATAGACACTTTAAAGAGGCCACTCTGCATGCATTGCATCACATATTAGACTCAGAAGCCAATTATCACCAGCTAAATAAAACTACTGCAAAGTGATTTTTCTAACTTTCAATGTAACCTCAGCAATAGGGGGTGTAACGTATGGTACGGGGCACCAGAAAGAAAGAGTGGGAAAGGACAGGTCTGAATTCATCCAGAAACCAATCAAGATGTACCTCAAAAGCTCCGCAGCATCTTCTGCACTTGGATTTGTTGCGGATGCAGCCTTCTTTGCTCCATCCAGTGTGGTGCTTGGAGCTGCAGATGTTGGAGGCTTGCTACCCTAAATATCACTTCTTACTCGCTCATGGATTCCAACAAGTTGAGCTTTGGCCTCTACCATAGCACCTTTAAACAGTTAAGAAACCAAGTTATTATGATACAATGGAAATAGCTGTTAGGATAGAGACAGGCTGTGATAAAACCCTAATGTCAAACACCAACAAACTCCAATTAACATTACTACGTAGGCATGGCAATAGAATCATACTGTAAGACTTGAAGACAAATGACCAGCCACAGGCATACTGCCTTTGACACCACAGTCTAGAGAAGAGTATGGTTTATAACTTATATTTCTCAAAGAAGCATCACTTTAAAGTTACAAGTAATAAAAGTATCATGTACAGTAGAAGCTATTGAACATAATTGAGAAATTCAAAATCCAACAAATTAACCCATTGACATTGTTCCACTCTGAAACTGCCAAAATGTAACATTAACTTTAATCAAACATTTCAATTGCAGAATAATCCAGAAGCCTTGCCACAGGCACCAAAGAAAAAAGATCTACAATGAAAGTTTGCTCTTTTACCATTGAGGTTCCACCTTCTTCTTGCAAACTGCCTTTCCACAATTTTTAATTAAAATACATTACTTAGAGTGCAAATAATTTTCAGTTGACAAAATAAAAACAGCAAATGAAAACCATTTGGCCCATTTGAACTAAATAAATACAAAAAACTAAAAGAGATTTTAATAAAAATTGAAAAGGAAAAATACCAGCTGGCATATCCTTCTTTTCTTTGAAATCTCTCCGGCCTCCGCGCCTTCCTTGTTGATGATCCAAGTCACTTGCTGAAGTCTGTTCCTCAACGGCATGGTTTAGAAACTCCGGCGGCCCTGAAATCTCCAGAAACCAACAAGACAACAGAAACCCTTACAGAATCAAATCAACCCCAAACCATCATCATCAATTTCAACTCACTTCAGTAAGATATATATAAAAAAAAAGAAGCTTTTTAATAACCTACTTTCAATTGGGAAGAAAAAGAACACAAATAAAAGAAATTAAAAAAAGTTTTTAATTTTATTTCCTAAATCTCAAGCTTTTCTTCGAATTTCACATTTTTCCCACACATTATTAGCACAAGGTTGAAAGAAAACAATAAAAAAAAGGAAAGAATAAATTATACTTGGGAGAAAGCGTCGAATGCGGAAGGAAGAGCGGATTTACGGGAGGGATGGGGGAAATCGAAGACGGAGGAGTCATATCGTTTAGGATCGGTGGAATGGTTTTTAACACCGACGTTGTCGTCGTCGTCGGAAGAGTGGCTGTAATGAATTTGGTCGAGCTCTGCTGCTTCTTCTTCTTCCGCAGAAGAATAGCCTTGTAGGAGTGACAAGCTCATTGTCCTGTTTCACGTTTAACCTCTTTCTTGTCTCTCTTCAATAGGATTCCAGGATTTATTTTCAGTACCACTGCTCTTATCCTTTTTATATTTACTAATTTTTTAGATAAATTATGCAATTATTAATCAACCTTAACCATGATCATATTTTTAAAATATATCTAAATTATTAAAATTTTTAATTTAGTACTAAAATTAGAAGTATAATATTTAAAATTTATACGACAGTAAAAATTCAAAATTAATAAAATATATATCAATATGTAAAATTATTTTAAAAATAAAAATATTTATTAGATTAATAGAAGGTTTATCACTTTAAAGATACTTATAAAATTTTGCTAGAAAAAAATTAACATAAAATTAAAACTTTGAATATAAAAAAATTTAAATAATAATTATACATCAAATATATAATTATATATTATATAAATAATTAAACTTAATAAAGTGCATGTTAATAATGGTAATTTAAAAATATAATGAATATAAAATGTTTATTTTATCAACCAAAAGATTTTTCACATCTATGATTTTATATATATTATAGATTACAAACATAAATTATAAATTTATATATATATATATATATTATTAGAGATCGATAAATTATGTATTGATAAATTTATTTATTTTAGTTAAAAATAAATAAAAACTCCTTTTCCTTTTGTTTTTTTTATTTCTTATATTTTTTTTCTGGAATGGTTCTTTATTTGTCTTTAATTAAATTTATTGTTTATTCTTTGTCTTAAATTGTTTAAAATTTTTTTAATTTTTATGAAATTTAAGAAAAAGATTTTGATTTTAATTTATTTAATATTAAATTTTATTTTTTATAAAATAAAAGTTTTATGATTTTTAATATAAATATGGAAATTTTAAAAAATAACAAATAAGTGTTTTTGGTATTAAATAAACATAATTACGAAAAAAAATTTGATTATGAAAAAGAAAGAGGGATGTTAATGATAATTACTCAATTAATTAGCAAGTCTAATTAAGTTTAACAACAACTGAATTTACCAAAACAAGAAAACCTGTTAAAAACATGACAAATTGGGTTTTTTTATATATAGAAATCGGCAACAACTCAAACTGGAAACTGATTGCCGTTCAACAAATTTTTTTTTTTTTTTTAAGAAAAGACAGTGATATAAAACGACATAAGTCTTGTGTTTTGTCATTGGGCTGTCTTTTCTCTTCTTTCTTGTGATCGCCCTTGTCTTTCCTTAGCTTTGCTTTCCTTTCCTTTCCTTTCTGCCGCTTCAAACAAGAAAGAAAAAGCCCTGGCCCTCATAAGAATTGAGAACGTTGATTGAGGAAGAAGAGAGAAAGAAACCGGAGGAATCATACGCTTTACAACTTCCGCATCTGAAACATTGTTTAAAGGCTGCTCATCTTACCAAGAAAGAAAACCCAACCAAGGCATGGCGTGCTCATTCCCTCATTCTCTCTCTCTGTCTTTAATTTCTGACTTACGAATTTCAGAACCTTCTTCTCTTATTTTCAGAAATTGGTTGTGCAATTCAACCCTACATTAATTTGCTGCACAAATAAATTCCCATGATTTTGACCTCTACCCATCACTGCTCCTACACTATACACTGTGTTTGTGTTTGTGTTTGATATCTCTCCTCTCCATTTTTTCAATTTAAAGTTGTAATTTTTTCCTTTTATCAGATTAAGTAGGAGTAGTGAAGGGAAAAAAAACCCTCCAAGAGGAAAGAAAATAAAGATAAAAAAAATCAAATGTTAATTTGGTTGAAGAGTTTGACATTTTAAGACACCAAGTTTGACTTCGACCCATTTGATGAATTGAACAGATCATCATGTCCATTTATGTAAATTGACAGAGAGCAGAGCCATAGGTAGCTTCTCACCTGGGTTCATCGTCTCATTCTACGGCCTTTCCTCCTTTCTCTATCTCCTTCTGTTTCCCTCGTAAGTGCCGTCTTCAAAAAATCTACCTTTCTTAGACTGTGTCCATTTCTCTGTACATATTTATCTATTTATAAAGCAAAAAAAAAAAAAAACACGATAAAAATATAATTCCCAGAAGTTCTGTTTTTTTTTTTTTTTTCTTATTTTTAGAGGGGTTCCAAAACTTGGGGGGCTTTTCTTTTTGTTTCTCTTAATTGCCGGTGACAGGGGGTGGCCATGGAGAACATATTTAGCAAGCTTCGGAATTTAGACGCATACCCAAAAGTCAATGAAGATTTCTACAGCCGTACACTCTCCGGTGGCATTATCACCCTTGTCTCCTCTCTTGCCATACTCTTCCTCTTCTTTTCCGAATTCAGTAAGTCCTCTCTCCACCCTTTTTTTTTTAATTTCTGCGGATTTTTGTATATACATTAACTTTAGAAAATTGGGGTTTTTTTTTTTTTTTTTTAATTATAAACCCAATATATAAACCGGTTGAAAGTTAAGATCTTTGAGGAAGTGGTTTAGTATTGGGTGATCACGCCCTTCTAAATTGATGCAAATTGTTGTACTATTGTAGATACAGATATCTTAGAAACTACTTTCTTTTGGCTTTTATATTTGGACTCCACTTACAAGAGAACCTAAAGTGGAGGAAAGGTGTTAATGCTATAAGCAGCTGACTGGAAGTTAAGCAGCTTAGCCTATAATGCAATTAGTACTATATGTTTTTCACCCTGAGTATGATTCTGTTGTTGGAACCTGTTGATGTTTAATTCTTCAATCATGGTTGTTATTATGTGGACTTTATCGCAGGATTATACCTGCATACCGTTACTGAGACGAAGCTATTGGTGGATACTTCGAGAGGAGAAACCCTACGCATAAATGTAATCATCTTTCTTTCCACTTATCGTTAAAGGAGTTACCTGGACTTATGTTCCAAATTTGTTGACCTGTAAAAATTAGTGCTATGCAGTGTTTAAAGGTTGCATCTTGTGTTCTTGTTTTCCTAATATTTTTAAAGTAACTTTCTACTTGTTCTTCTACTTTTGTGGAATACTCGGAGCAACTGTAGAGCCTTGTATGCTAAAACTTTAAAAATATATTCCTTTTTGCTTGTTGTTGTTGTTGTTTTAACTTATTAGTAAAACAATGGCAATCATTCAGGCCTTATTTTTTTGACACCCATTTCTGTTTGGACATGCAGTTTGATGTCACTTTTCCTGCTATTCCATGTACACTACTCAGTATTGATGCAATGGATATCAGTGGAGAGCAGCATCTTGACATAGTATGTGCAGTGCAGCAGATGCTGGGATGAACATTGCTCTCTTTTTTCACTGTTCAGTTTGATTTATTTTATTAGTCTCAATTAGCTTTTAACAAATTCTATGCCTGCTTGCATTTTTATGTGCAGAAACATGACATAATTAAGAAAAGAATCAATGCTCATGGTGATGTGATAGAATCCAGACCGGATGGTATTGGAGCACCAAAGGTAGTTGAAAGATAATTCTCTATCCCTTCTTTTTTGCATTCACTTTTTTTCACTTCTTGGTTCTGAAGGATAATTTCCCTTTTGTAAACTGCTTTTACTCTGAACTATACAAACTATGCACATATAGATAATTCTGTATCCCTTCTTGTTCCCATTCACTTTTTTGCACTTCTTGGTTCTGAAGGATGATTTCCCTTTTGTAAACTGCTTTTAATGAGAGCTATACAAACTATGCACATAATAGAAATGACATATGTAATTTAGAAGGACATCTTATAAGGTTGGGATTATGCTGGATATGAAAAATTGAAAGATTAAAGTATTAAGAAGGAAGTCAAGTTAGTAGGGTCAATTTTGAATAATCTTTCTGAAATCGGAAATGATGGTGACAATGGTATGGAAAAGTTAGATAGAAGGAGGAAGAAAGTATCCCCAGATTCTTAATCTGTCATTAATGAGGACAAGGAAGAACGAAGGATGGAGGTGAAGGAAAGATGTCATTCTTCCTAATAATATTACAGGTTAGGCATGTGATGGATATGGTGTGAAACTCTTCTGCAGGCCATACATAATTGGCATTTGCGAAACATATTGCGTCTTTAGGCTACATAGCTTGTAAGGAAAGTTGGAGATTTCAAGAATTCTAAAATTGATAAGTCTTCCTATAGCCCATGAAAGAGCATCTGTTAATCCCCAGTGACATTCAACTTGGTAAGAAATAATAAGATAAGAAAAGGAGAAAAAAAATGCACTACTGTCTATGTTTTAGCTGTATTATATTTCTACTTGTGATAAGAGAGGATCTGACTATCTGTTAATGGGATCATCAAAGGCTATTGTTTAACAAATTTCTAAAATTTAATGCATCTCTTCTGGAGGGTGGTTTTAGGGATGATCATCCAGCAGCAGTTTCTGTGGTAACTGTAAATTGTGAAAGTAATGGTTCATAGTTTCCTATTGAGAAGATGGTGTTCGAAACTTTTAGTTTTCTTAAAGGTTCCTCAAGTTTGAAATTTAAAGGTGGAAGTTGATGAAATGTGAAAGTAAACACTGCAAGAAAGAATGATAAGGTTTCAAGACTAATTCTGTTGTCCGGTTAGGGAAGATAACAGTTTTTAGGCTCCATAACCATATCTGAGAGTTTTTGATTGTTAATAACTGGTTTACAACTTGTCATGGGCACACTTTTGCATCAAGGACCCTGTTGCAGATGTTTGATTACAGTATTCTTTGGTTACTAAGATGTTGCAACCTCCTTTGACCTTAAGTGCCTGACATATTGGCATTTGATGGATGGTATCACCACTTAATTAAATAGTCTTCATCATGCTTCTTTTTACTTGTTTGCTTGTTTATGTTGTTTAGCCCTATTTAGTTTGTGTTTGGCTTAATTTTCTTTCTTTTTTTTAATTCTTAGATTGAGAGACCTCTGCAGAGGCATGGTGGCAGGCTTGAACACCATGAGACGTATTGTGGTTCATGTTTTGGTGCAGAACAGGTATGTTTGATATCTAGGAATCCTTATGTCACTATGTTATTAATTTGATATTTGAAGCATGTTGAATAACATCATTTAGGTGCTAACAAGGATATGGAAGTGGTTGACTAGTAAATGACTGGGAAAATTTCCTGAAATATTCAAGAAACAATTTATTACTCTAAAAGCCAGGACATTTGTTTATAAGATTATCAGGCTTGGTTTAGTTCATTGTGATTAATTTGCAGTTTATGCTCCAAATTTTTCTCAAATACAAAAGGTTATGCAGCTGTTGTAGGCAAATTAAAAATCTTGGAAAAACTACAGCATTCTATGCCAAATACATCCTTGATTCTTTCTCAGAACAAACTAGTGTTTTCTTTAGAAAGTGGATGAACACACAAACCTTGTTAAGGAAAAGTGTAATTTGGGAAAATTTCCTGAAATATTCAAGAAACAATTTATTACTCTAAAAGCCAGGACATTTGTTTATAAGATTATCAGGCTTGGTTTAGTTCATTGTGATTAATTTGCAGTTTATGCTCCAAATTTTTCTCAAATACAAAAGGTTATGCAGCTGTTGTAGGCAAATTAAAAATCTTGGAAAAACTACAGCATTCTATGCCAAATACATCCTTGATTCTTTCTCAGAACAAACTAGTGTTTTCTTTAGAAAGTGGATGAACACACAAACCTTGTTAAGGAAAAGTGTAATTTGGGTATGGACTTTGTTTCTCCTTTTGGAGCTTAAACACTCCCTATGTAAATCTTCTATGCAGCGATATGCAAGTGGCTAAGAGTAAAAAGAGTTCCCAGGTTGAGTTGTTTGTGTCTAGGATGAAACTGGTGATTAATGGGCTAACTTTGTGGTGATGGTCCAAATGATCTGGATTATTTAATTTTTTTTTTTGGATAGTTATTAAATTCAATTCTAAGATTTTCAGATTTTGGTTCTCAATTGTTAACTTGCCGTCCATGGATATCAATTTAAATGTTGACAGGATAGAGTGGCTAAATCCTCTAAGAAATTTTGAATTGCATTCAAAAGTGCTTTAAGAGATTGTCTATGCCCTAAGAAAGCATGATAATTGAAGACATAGTGCTCGTGCTCTCTGCAAAATTGATAAAGAAATAAATATGAGTTACATGACTGAGCAGTTTGAAAATTTTTACCATTAGCTTATTGTGGCATTGAGTGCTGAAATCAGTATGATTAAATGATGTCAAGGTTGCTATAGAAACTTAATTGGAATGTTATCCTATATGTAACATCTTAGCTAATTATTTGATTGTTTGTCTATTTCACCTATGAAAGGTTCTCTCTTTTCCCTCTCTGTCGTGCAGTCAGATGATGACTGTTGTAACTCATGTGAAGATGTTCATGAGGCATATCGGCGAAAAGGGTGGGCAATGACTAATATGGACTTAATTGATCAGGTTTCTTTGCAAGTTCTTTTCCCAAGTATTTTCTTGGTGCTGCTGGATGTTTATATGATGCATGTGCAAAGATTTAATGGGATCTTTGTGTTCTGTATAATTTTCATCATTTGCTCCCAAGCCTGGAAAAAGAAATCCTACTTTCTGACTCTTATATTTTCTCTGCTTTGTTTTATTTTTTTTGGTTTTCCAGTGCAAAAGAGAAGGCTTTTTCCAAAGGATAAAAGATGAGGATGGTGAAGGATGCAATATTCATGGATCACTTGAAGTTAATAGAGTTGCTGGAAATTTTCATTTTGCACCAGGGAAAAGCTTGCATCATACAAATATTTTTCTAGATGACTTGCTAGCTTTTCAGAAGGACAGTTATAATGTGAGGCTTATCTTTGTATTTAAGTTCTTTTTTTTAATGAAACTGTTATATCTTTATATTTATATATATATATATATGTATTTGTGCTCTATTTTTAACATGAATTTCAAATGGTAATGATGTTTTATATTGGTGGTGTACAATACAGATAAGTCACAGAATTAACGGGTTATCTTTTGGTGAATACTTTCCTGGTGTGGTAAATCCTCTTGATGGGTAATTCTTTCTTTCTTTTTCTTCATGGCTACTCACACTTTTTAAAGACTCTTGTTTGTTCTTTCTGGCATCATCTTGTTTCTTTTCAAACTGAAAGTGATAGAGGATCCAAGTACTGAAATTTTAATGGGTGTTTCATATTACCATTTCAGGGCACAGTGGATACATGAAACTTCAAATGGTATGTACCAGTATTTCATCAAGGTTGGTATTGTAAAGTATCTATCAATGTTCCTTGTCTTTAAGCTCTTTTAAGTGACAGATGAATCTCATCTTGTGATTTTAGCTTTCATTTTCATGCCCATGGACCATGGTGGTGTGTTGGGGGAATTAATTTTTATGTGTATTATAACTATGGACTCTACCTAGAACATATTGAGGAACATACCACTTACAATAATTGCACTACAATTAACCAATCAGAATTTAGAATTGTGTAGAGCTCATCAAAATTTTATGTGGAGTCCACACTTATAAGTGGTGGACACCTACATGATACTAGGCTGTAAGTGGATAATTGTAGGATTGTAATAAAAAGAATTGCACTTGAAATGCTCCAAATATATTGTAACTGCTCTCTTTTTTCCTTTGAAGAAGAACAAAAAATCTATAGGATGGATTTTGGGGTTCCCTCTTTCTCTTTTTGTGCACAGCATGCAGTCATGTAGTTTGAGTTGTGCTTTAGTGCCTATGCGTGGACTTGTTAACAGATATCTTGTTTAATTTTGTAGGTGGTCCCCACAATATATACTGACATCAGAGGTCGCACTGTTCACTCGAATCAGGTACTGCTTGACAGTTTACACATTGAGAATAAGACACTGTTCTATCTTATTTATTGGATAATGTTCTGAGGTGTGCTAGCATTCCTATTGCACAGTATTCTGTGACAAAGCATTTCAAGAATTTGGAGTTCATTCACCCTAATTCTCATCCTGGAGTTTTTTTCTTCTATGACTTTTCTCCAATCAAGGTGGGTTCCTTTTATGCATACGTTCCAATCTAACTAGATATCTTTGTGTAGTTTCTTGATATAGGTACTTCTGCTCTCAGTAGAATGCTATTTTTATTCTTCATACTGCTTTGCATTTCTCTCCCTGTTGGATATTTGGCTTGTTGTAAGTTGTTTTTATTTCTTCTTCGTCATTGCTAATGAGTTTATTATATTGGAATTATTATTTGTGGAAAAAAAAAAAAACATATTGGATCTAGTTTATTCTGAGGCAATAGGTGTTAAAATTTGGAAATTCTCTCAGGAACTCAAAATCTTCTGTTCTTTCTTACCCCTAACCACTCTTTGTCCCTTTTCTCCTCCACTCCTAAGCTGAAAGCTTGAAGTAAACATGATAGCCTGCATATTTCAGAAAGTCCATTATGCTTTGCCTGCTGTCTAGGTTGCCATTGTTGAAAGGTTTGGCTCCCCTCAATTACTTTCCAGTACATCCTGAACCAATGTTCACATGCATAAGACCCAACCATGAATTATGGAGCCTATTCATTTGAATGGTGATTAAAGATGCATAAAATATAATGGAGGGGAGCCGAATCTATCGTCAAATTGCTAAGATATCAACTGTATAACATTGCTATATACCCAAACAGAAAAGCCTTGTAGTTTAACATTGCTTTTCATTTTGCCCTGTGCAGGTAACTTTTAAGGAGGAACATATTTCATTTTTGCACTTTATCACCAATATATGTGCTGTAATTGGAGGTACTACGATTGCTAACTACCTCTTGTCTTTTTCTGTGTGAGGGGATACTCTACACCTTTGTACTCTAAGCTGTCTCTCTGGCCAGAATCATATATAAATAGTCACTGAACCAACCTAGTCCTAATAATTCTCTATCTGCTTTGGAGTTGAATTAAATAATAGATATTTTTCCTTAATGGTTATTGCGTTGGGTAGCTTTAGAAGATGGATCATTGTTAGTTTTAAGTGACAAAGACTGTTTCTTCTCATTTAGGTATCTTCACAGTTGCGGGGATAATTGACTCATTCATATATCATGGTCAAAGAAAGATGAAGAAGAAGATGGAAATTGGAAAGTTCAGATGATATTTGCTTAATGTTCCAGGATGCTGCCTTGGCTTCCAACACGACAGTTTTTTTGATGATTCGAATGATAAATTGATCATGCTTTCGTAGGGATCCATGCTGCTTTATGCCAAAGATTATGTGACATATTGGTCAATCATTTGAGAAATTGTTCGATTTTGCCCAACCACTGAATCCCTACTTTTACGTTCATGAGAAAAAGAAGTTAAAATGGAAAGCTATTTCCTAGTTTAGATTGCTGAAATTAATTTAATGATTTTTGCTTCCAAGTTTGATTAAATTTTTCGTCATTCTGCAGAATGAATTGTTAAAACTGCAGTTTAGAAGAATCTATGTACTTGTAATTTGTAATTGATTTTTTCTTTATAATTCTTATTAACACAAGTACTTATTTAAATCTTGGCAGATGTCTGTCTACTGCATGGCTCTGCAGGTACAGATAAATCTTTTCAAATCATTCAACGAATTGGTTTTACATTTTGTGTTCTACTACATGGTTTAAGTGCAAGGTGTGACATGGCCTCTGTTTTCGATTTGGCTATGAATTCGGAATTCTGCACTGTGACAGAACTTGAATTAAACAGGAAGCATTGGAAAATCTACAATGCACAAATATAACAAAGGACGAAAGACTGTTTGTTTACTGTTTTGAACAACCAAACTTAACTGAGCCTGCTGCATCAGTCATGGACATTATGTCTGCGACAACCAAATAATAATCAGCTGAAAAGACAGATACGAGAATAAAGTACAAAGTTTTTTTTAAAAAAAAGATAAAGATAAAGAGCTGTAAATGATACGTAAATACATGTTTTTCATGGTCGCAAGAAAAAACAAAATGGGCCAAAATGGATTTAAAAAAAAAAAAAGACTCGGTTGATTCAAGATGTGGAGCAGCTAACAGTACCGAACATGACTAGTTTCAATTTCGGATCTTTTTTTCCAAACTATTAAAAGGGAATGAACATGCTACTCAGCGTTCTCACTTCTCTGCATCATGATGCCAAGAAGCAACTGGTATAATCTTCTCCAATCAAGTACCACTACGATTTACTTTCTATAGGAACTTGTACTCCGCCCAGATTGATTGAAATATGGGAAAGCTTCAACCTAATAGCCTCAAACTCAGCATTCTGCCTTTCTTCGGTGGTCAGCCACAATGATAAACAATGATCAATCAAGTCCTTCCCATAACTCAAGCGAGGAGAACTTCCCTTGAAACTGCTCATCCTCCCAAATCTCGCAATCCTGGCTAGATTCGAATCAGAGGGTTCCTCTGCATAACTCTCTAGAATGTCCTTAATGGCGCCACACCAGATAGGTCGAGCTACCTTTAGAAAGTCATGCAAAACCAACACTGGAAGGTCCACACTTCCTAGTTTGGACTCACCATGCTCACCTCTCCCATGATAATCTGATCCTCCAAGCTTCAGAAGATCATAAGTATCTGCTAAGTCACTGTATGCTGTTAACCAAAACGAAAGAAAAAGCTATTAAGTGGCAAGCAAAGAAAATGGGCAGAAACATGACAAATTGACAATGATGGTTAGAGGTAGCAACTAGTCTTAAATCATCTTTGTGTAAAGCTGAGCTCAACATAAAAAATAATAATATCACAAGTAAGGGCAAAGCAAAATGAATATATTACAATAAATAAGTGAAAATCAAGAAAATGCTACATCCAATTGTAGAATCTGATTATGCAATCATAAGAAAATAATGAGTATTACTAGGTGCATGACTTTATTTTTTTGTGAAGTGCGCGGATGGCCAGGTGGATGTGTGAGAGAAAGAGAGGGAAATCAACACAACAATATAATACCTGCCAATCTTCCATCACTTCTGTAAACCTCCATTCCATGAAGACCTGCTTCTTTTAACGTTCTTATGATAGGAATAGGATTTTTTAATGCCCAGGGATGAGCCAGGACTGCTAAACCTCCTGTTTCACATATAAGATGCACTGCTTCTTCTGCAAGAGGCTCACTTCCCCTATACCAGGACCAAACAAAAAATTTCATAAATCATTTTAAAAAAATGAAGAAATATGCATTGAACATAATCAAGGAGGAAAAGATACAAAAAAAAAAAAAAGATGATTACATGGAATAAGCAGGTCCACCATCATATAAATATCTGGCAAAAGCTTGTTTTAGATTCTCCACATAACCTGCTTCAACCATTGCTCGAGCCACATGCAGTCTACCGGGAGCCACCCCCTTGCCTGCAATCTTTGTAACATGCTCCCACTTAAGAGGTAGCTTGAGTTTATTGAGTTTCAAAACCATGTCCTTAGCACGGAGATAACGTCCATCCCTGATGTTAGCCAATAATTTTTCCAACTCTTCATACCTTGTTGGGCCACAGCTGCTGTAATATGCAAGGATGTGCACTGGTTCCTCCATCTCAGAATTTCTGCTTTAGAATCAAGAAACGAAACATAAGAGGTGTAGAAGTACAGAGAAAGCAGAAAACAACAGGACAGTCTGCTTCTTTAAGTTTTGGGCTAACTTTTGCTACATCTAACTAAAAGCTGGGTTTTAGACAAGTTTAGGTCCTGAAGCCAGAGGTTAAATGATCTGAAAGTATCAGGAAACAATCCTAGCTTATTTAAATGACTATTAAAAAAAGAAACCGCATTTCATAATGATGATTGTATTAATCAAACAAAAACCTTGGAGAGAATATGGTGCTGATCTCAACACCAGGGATAATCTTGATACCAAATCTGCGAGCTGTTTCTACGGCCTCAGGTATCCCAGACATTGTATCATGATCTGTCAGAGCAAGAACTTTCACCTGTTCTGAACACAATGTACTAATCAAATTACAATTACTTAAAATGAATTAATGAACCAACATAAAAGAGCTGCCAATTTATTCAATGAAACAGTAGAAAGAAACAAGACATGAAGATTACATGGGCATTAAAGAATACATTTCTAACAAATAACTACACACAAAGGATCCATAAATTCCTCCTACAATACTTGTCTGCTTCATGAAATGAAACTAATTTCCTAATTTGACTTTTGTTATTCCTTGGATTTAAGATACATTTGGAAATTAAAGCTCATTTCAGCTTTCCCACAGTGTTTCTTCTGTAACAAATTGCAACATAATAATGCCAAAGTTATTAAACCAAAGAAACACAAGTCTGTTATCATTAGTCTACTTCTTGGGGACAACCCAGTAATTGCAAATTCAAGTATATGATATCTGTTCAGGTAGAAAATAACCACACAGACACGCCTCTGCAAAGGACTTGCTCACATGCAAAATAAATACAAAATATCACACCAAAAAAAAAAAAAGGAACAATCAGTTGAAGGCTTGTCAAAATAAAACTCACTTAAACCAAAAGAAAAGTCTGTAAAAACATTTCAATATTCAAAAAATGACAGACAACACCACCAGAAAACTAACAAAAACCGGTCATATTTCAATACAGACGCCTTTTCCAGCTTCCTCGGCCATAGGTGTGTGTTTGTGTTTAAAAAGAAAAGAGGGGGGCAAGAAAAACAGAAAAATCCGGAGTGTACTGTTAAAACACATTAACTTTTGTCACTTTTCATTAGTCCTTGCTAAGTACTTTTGGCCATTTATGTGCTACCTTATTTAGTTCATGGGCGGATTGTGTTGGCTAAACGATTCCACGGCCCAAGCTCCCACATCCATAACCCTATCTCCTTCCTTTGAAATGCCAATGTCACAAATCTTCAGTTTTCGCCATCAATAAACCACAATAAAACAAAGATCTGGACCATCTTTCAGAATTAATAGATAGTACACAGTAGCCTTTAAATTTGCAACCAAGAAAAAGGGCTAGCACTAGGAAAAATGAAATTAGGAACTTGAACATAAGGGACAGATGAAGTACAAGTTTTTAAATGTTCAATCAAGTAGAAGCAGAAGATATAGCCATAGCCTTGGTACCCACATCCCCTAGGAGTCAAACTATGAGTTAAACCTATAAAAACAAAAACATGAAACAAGAAACATAAAGAAATTTACAAAGAAAAAGCAAAAAAATTTTCCAGCTACTGTTCACGAAAGACGCTACCTATAGAACAGTAACCCCAACAGACCCATAAAAAAGCACTACGACCACTATTCTATTTCAGTTATTCAATCAAAAAATTTCGGTGAAGCATTAATTCAAAAAATCCAAAAAGAGAAGAAATTCAGAATGAAAAAGCAAAACCCATATCAGATATCGATTTATGCCATTAAGAAAAGAATCTAGACTCACTCCATTTCCATGAGCTCTCTCAACGAGCTTAGAAGGGGACAAGAACCCATCACTATGTTTAGAATGGGAATGCAATTCAAACACCACTTTCTCCATCCCTCTCCCTAGACTCTTCTGAACCCCAAAATCATGCACCAACCATGAAGATAAAGCCGCCGTTGAAGAAGAATTCTGGCGATCCAAATAAACCCATTCAGTCACCGATTTGAAAGCCAAAGTTTGGTCAGCTGTCATCTTCCTTCTGCTACCCCCACGCTTGTTGTTCTTCTTCTTCTTCTTGTCTTTTGTTTTGCTGTTGCTATTGCAACCGGAATTGCTATCACCAAGACCAACCATGGATGATAAATTCTTTTCTTTTCCCTTTTCTTACTCGAGAGAGAGAGAGGGGACTAATAAACAAGAACAGTAAAAGTGAAAAAGAGGGTGATTTTAAAAAGAGATACTGTCGTCCAAGGAGAGAGCAGATTCGACAGATGGAAGTTTTAAAGTAAGGTAAGATACGAAGAATGCAATGACTGGGTAAGGGGGGGCTGCCCTGGCTATTGCCCTCTCTTTTAAACAGCTCGATCTTCGATGGCAGCACAGGTGTACTCTCCTCCTTTTGGTCCCACAGGTGTACTTTCGTTTCGTTTTCCTGTTCCCTTCTTCTTTTCTTCAATTTTCTCTGCTACCCATTTATTTTACTCTATTTATTAGTAATTGCCTGATACTCGAATTTTACTGCCATTCAAAATTTTTTTATTTTATCATTTTTATTTACTTTTTTTTATAAAATTATTCAATTTAAAAAAAAATAAAAAGGTAAAAAAAATCACATAGAGGTAATAAGTGGTTATAAAAAAAATATAAAAATAAAATTCATAAAAAATACTGCATAAACATTGCAAATGATTTTAAAATATTAATTTTTTAAATTAAAATATCAAATAATAATTTTATTAATATAATATATATAATTAAAATTAAAATAATAATAAAATATATTTTTATATATACCTCAAAATGAGTTTAGATAAAGCATGTAAACACAAATTCATCTATTATCATTTTTTATAAAAAAAAATCATCGATTTCAACTCATTTTAATTTTAAAAAAATCATCTCTTATTGGATCAAAATAAATTAAAATTTATCAAATATAAATTATTTTATCATTTTATTAATCGATACCTTTGTTATAAAATTTATTTAATTAAAATATACAAAAAAATAAATAAATAAATCAAATTTATAAACTTATTTTATTGTAAATTTTATGTAATTAAAATAACAAATTAGTGTGCTACACTGTTACCTTCATTGAATTTTTTAATAAATTTATATAAATTAAAAATATAATTTTTTTAAAGAAAAAATTATAAAAGATAAAAAAAATCTATTAACACGCTATAAAATAATAAAAAAAAAAGAGTTACCACGCTAATAGATTTAATTGAGGACGCTTATAGATTTAACCTTTTTATTGCCAGAAAAAAAATCTATTAGCACGCTAATAGATTTAAAAAATTAAGAAAAGATAAAAAAAAAAAATACTAATAGCTTTTTTTTAACTTTATATATTGAACTAGATTATAAACAAGTGCGATACATAAATAATTTTATTTATTTAATATAAATATATATAAATTATTTTTTAATTATACTCAAATCATTAAAACTCATAATATTATATAAAATTTATATATATTAATTTATCATTAAAAATAAGTTTTATGAAAACAGTAAAAATAATTGTCTTTCTTTTGGATAATTTTGTTTATAATAATGTTTATACACCTGTAAAATTATATCAAAATAAAAATAAATTATGTATTTTTAAAAAATAAAAATATATATTATTAAATGATAAATTAAATAATAAAAAAATATTAACACATTTTCACTTTAATAATTTTGACTAAATTATTATACAAAATATGAAAAATGTTAGAAAATATGTGAAAAAAGAAAAGATAAATTGAAAAAAATATTATTTTTCATAAGAATGAAACTGTAATAACAATAAAATATAACTTAAAAAAATTATAAACAAAAAAATAAATTGCAATAGTAATAGAATATATATTAGAAAAAAGTAACTAAAAAAAATTGATGTATAACACATTATATTTATAATCTTAAATTTGTGGAATAATTCTTTAGTGGCAATTATGATTAAATAGATAATTTTTAAATTAAATTTTTAAAATTTAAAATGGATATAATAAGTGATAAAGATAATAGTAAATTTTTTGTATTTATTTGAAATATAAATTTGACAATTAAAGTTCATATAGTTATTTTGATAATCTTATTATTTAAAGATTCAAGATGAAATTTTTTTGAATGTTTAAAATCTTACATAATAATTACTTGAATTTTTAACGTCTTACGTAAATTTTTTTAAAAAATAATTTTTTAAATCAAGATAAAAAATATTGCTGAAATATTTAGATAAATTTAATCTTTGTAAATTTTAAACATGTTTAAAAATTTTTTATAATTAAATAATTTTTTAAATAAGGTTATTTGGTAAACAATTAAAATTATTTATTAAAAAATATATTTCATATTTCATATTTTTAATTTTAGAATATATATCTCTAAATTAATTTGATTTTCAATTATAATTTGAATAAATTTGATATATGAATAAATTTAAAATTATCTAATTTATAATTAAAAGAAATTATATTATTCTTTTAAAAAATTATTCTATGTGTTATTTAGAAAAATTGTTCACATAAGCACTTATGTGATAAACTTGTTTGTGTAAATTATTATATAATATATATTAGATTTTAAAAAATAAAAAATTAAAAAAATTAAAAAATCAAATTCAGATGTAATGTCGAAATCTTTGTTAATATCAATTTCTTTTAAAAATAATCAAATTAAAAAATATATATATGTTTGTAATAATAATATGAAATAGGTCATATTTAAAAATTTTAAAATATTAAAAAAATTATCAAATATAAAGAAAAAAAGCAAATAGAAAAGAAAGAAAATATAAAAAGGTAAAAAATAAAATGGCTTAATATATTGTATACTTTTGATATCAAGTGGGTATAAAAAATTTAAAAAATTATTTTTCAAATATATAAAAAATTATAAAAATAATATGTGACATGCTTTTAGTATTTAGTGAGTCTCACACAAAAAATTTAAAATCTAAAAAAATTACTTATTAAATTTTTTAGAAAAATAAGAAAGAGAAAAAGTAAAAGAATGACACAAGGAAAAGACGAAAAAGAAAAATTGGGTATAAGTGGACTCTAAAAAAATAAAATATTTTTAAAATATTTATTTTTTCATAATTTTTAGGGAAATTAATTAAATATAAAAAATTTTGAAAATGAAAAAATAAATCAGCAATAAAATCAAATGCGATCCTCATTAATTTATTTTAAAAAGAAAAGAAAATTTAAATAACAAAGGAAAAATAAATGAATAAAAAATGAATAAAAGGGTAGAATGGTAGTGCCATGTGGCACTTTTGTGTCCAAGATAATGGACAGACAAAGGTTAGTAAAAAAAAAAATCACAGTCAAAGAGTAAAATATTATAAATACTAAATATTAAATATTAAATTTATTTGATATTTTTTAAAATAGATATATAAATTAATTAAATTAAAATTTGTACTCATCATATATTTCTTACAAAATTTTTTTATTTTTTATTATGTCCTTTTTATAGTACTTAAAATTTTTATCTTTTATATTTTAAAATTATATTTTATATTTTGTTTACTTTTTAATGTTAAAATTTATAAAACATCATTTAAAAAAATTAAATACATTATAATCAACAATTTTATTAAACCTAAAAAAAATCAACAAGAGAAAAATAAATAAAAATTAAGGGAGCACTATTTAATAAAAATAATTTACTTGGTTAAAGAAACAAATACAAATTTTATATTATAAATAGATAAAAGAATTTAAGGTATAATCCAATCCAGCTGAAAATTTTATTCTTTTAATACTCGAATTGGACGTAAGACATATATAAATGTATTAGAGTTTGACATAATTAAGTTTTATTATTATTAACTTATATATATATATATATATAAAGAAAAATTTTAACTTGATTTAGAGTGTAGTTCCAAATTCAAAATTCAAATAAAATTTATAGCAATATACAAATATATATTATATTTATGTTTATAAAATATTAAATATATCAAATAAAAAGAGTTCGAGCTACACTTAATAATAAATAAATTAAATTTAAATATTTAATGAGTCGAGCATAAATAAATTAGTAGTTTAATTTTTTTAAATGAAAAAATCATAATAATGTGTTAACTTTTATTAAACCATATAAATTTTGCATTTTTATTTGTACATGACATTGGTTGGTAAGATTTTATGTTTGAATATGTTATTGTAGATGCAATATTATAAAAATTGAATGGTTAAATGTTAAATTTAAAATTTGAATTTTTTAATTAAAAGTATCGTATTTAATTTAATTTAAGATTAAATATTTTCGAATTTGTACAAAATAAGATTTCATAACGAAAATGTGATGTACGCCTCGCTAAATTCTAATATTAATTGTCGCTAAATTCTAATATTAATTGTTAAGTTATTTTTTATCAATAAAAATGCTAATTCCTTTGAAAACCCATTCCCCAACTCCTCCACAACCTAGCTAAAAACCCATTCCCTAGCTTCCCCACAACCCAACTTGTCTCCATTAGCCAAACACGGCACCACTAGCCTCATTACCACCCTTGCACCGAACACAATATCCAAACCCACTGCCTTCACTAAAATCGAAACCCACGGCACCCGAAAAAAAAAAAAAAAAAGAGATGGAACACATCCCCTACCAAAAACCCCACCCCACGCATCACAGCAATCACCAAACAACCCTCATTATTTTGCCACTGTCAACGTATACCACCACATCCAGAAGCCACCCTTTGCAACACCTAAGCCGCAACCATCAGCCAACAACTACAAAGACCCAAAAAAAAAAAAAAAAAAAAAAACAAAACCCCTAATGCCTAACAACAAAAACAAAATCGAAAAAATACACAAAAAAAACCCTCAAAAGGGTAACAGTAGCGCTAAAAGCAATAGGAACAACAACAAAAAAAAAATGACGACAATTTTGGGTTTTGGGTGCTTTAAGTTGTTTTAGCTCTAGATTTTGGATGAAGAGGGATGTCTCGGCTTGGAAAAACATATAGCAGGAGAATAAGGTGTTTGCCAATAAAAAAAGAGGGTATTTTGAAGTTTTAGGTCGCGATTTTAGGTCTAGATCTTAGTGGTTCGAAGCTGTTTCATGCAAAATTGAGCACAGATTTAAGATGAAGAGGTCGAGAAAAGTATCTGGTGAAATTTTAGGATCAAAAAGTGATCGCTTGGTGGTGGCCGACAGTGATCGGACAGCGGCTGATATAGTGGTGACGACTATATTCTAGGCAGCTTGGTTTTCGACAGGTCCCATTTTTAGAGAGAGATTCTTTTTTTTTTCTTTCTGGTAGAGAGAGAGAAATGGAAATGTAAGAAATTAAATGAAAAACATTTTTTTTTAGCTTTTATAATAAAAAAATCATTCTAATGTAATACGTGTGTTTCACACTACAGTGACAAAATCTTACTTTGAAATTAATTTGAAAACATTTAATTCAATATTAAATCAAATTAAAAATAATATTTTTAATTGAAAAAACGTTCAAAAAACCATAAATTGAGCATTCAGCCAAATTAAATTGGAGGTTAAATCAATGGGACCTTTTTTTTTTTTGGTAAAAGAAATTTAAAACTAAATGGATTGTTTAGTCTTTATATAAAAATAATATGTATTGTATTTAATAATTTAAAATAAGTAATGTAAGTTATATATTTGAAATGATTTTAACAAATGATTATTGATAAAATTTAAAGTTAAAATTTATTCGTTAAAAAAATGAATCTAATTTATTGAATCAATTACTTATTAATAAATAAATAAAATTATTAGTTTGGTCTAATCAATTTAATAAAAACATGAAAAATATTAAAGAATAAAATAATTATTTAAAATAATTTAATAATACATCGTACTATGTAACCAGTCTACCAAGTTGTTAGATCAATTCACTTTACACCAACTTAATTTATCATATTAGATTTGACAAATAATTAATTTTTGATTTAATGATTCAGTTGAACAAATCAATTTTTTCAAAATCATATAAATATTTAAATTTATTTAGTTAAAATAAGATGCATAGGATATAATAGTCTCGCATTAATTTTTTTTTGTTACATCAAAAAAATAAAATTTTAGTACAAATAAAAAAAAATTTATTCAAAATCGGACTTTTTATGTTCCTTTAAATGTCTTTAGCCATTTTTTCTTAAATTTTTAAAAATCAATATATTATAAATATTTTGAGATGAGAAGAATATTATATATGGATTGTTTTAAAATTCTTTTTGTACACGAAAATTCAAAACATGAATATAAAATATCAAATCCCATTTAAAAAGAAAATTAATTAAACTAATATCAAGTAGCTCAATTCATTTAAGCATATGTCTTTTTCCATAAAAAGAGAAAAAATAGTAATACTATTTTTCTTCACATATCGCGCTAATAGTTTTATTTTATATAATTTTGAGGATTAAACCTAATTATCAAACTTGAGCATTTGATTTAATAATTAATACATATTATCATTTTGAAAAGCTAAATTAAAATTCTCTCCTCCCTAATATACAAATGTAAAGTTAAACCTACTTTTGAAAAAAAAAAAAAAAAGAAAAACATAGGGGAATTTTTTTTTAATTTTTAATTTTTCATGCTTCCATTTAAAAAAAATACATACAAATTAATTTTATAGTAGTAGTAGTAGTAGTAGTAGAATAATAATATTGTCCTTGTACCAATTGTCGAATTTAAATTTTTAGCTTGACATTAAAATAAAAATAATGATCAATTGGTCATTTCTAAAGGGAACATAAGGCTTTTATTTGGTTCATGAAAAACTCAAAAAGAAAAAAAATCATGAATTTGCAACTTTTGACTTAGGTTTTAAATTAAAAAAAAATTGTAAATAAGAGTATGTATGAAATAAAAAAAGTTATTTTTGCTAATTATGGATTTGACATTCTCTTACTACTAGAATAACAAAGAGTGGAAAAAAAAATCCTCTTTATTACTTAAAATGCAGTGAAAACTTTTAATAATGAGGAGGATCCTTGATCAAAAGTTACTTTTCTATTTAAGATGATACATTCAATTTGTTATTTATTTTTTCATGAATTTTTTAAATATTTTTAAACCAAATTAAAAAGTACATTCATAAAATTGCATCCATTGAGTAATAGATATAATTCATCAACCTAAATAAAATGATAAATTAAGACTTATCTTAATTATTTATATACTATTTTTCAAATCCTTAATTTAGTTGATGTCACAAATTAGCTGAATATTAAAGATTTTAAAATTTTAAATATAATATGAAATAATAAAAAAATAAATTAATAATACGATTTAAATTTAATAAAAATTATACATAAATTTGATATTTGATGTGTTGATATGAATTGTAATATAATAATTTTTATATTTTATATGTATTTGATATGAAATAAATACAATATAAATATATAAATTATTAGATTTATTAAAAAATAAAATAATTAAATAAAAACTTGTATTAGTAAGTATATGTAGTATTTTTTTTCAATATACTTTTTTTGAAACGTTCAATAGAATTTGAATTTACATATTTTAAAATTAAAATTTTTAATTCATATTTTTTCTCTTTTATAAATAACTGTAATAAGTGATTTCTGTGAAAAACAAAGTGACTTCAAGATGGATGGATGGATAGTTTGAAAAAATATTGTGCCAAAAATAGAAGAATCTAAAAAATCCATGCCCTTATCATAATTCCCTTAAAACAAAACAGCTCCACCGAAAATTTCAACAACGCAAGAAATATTTTATATTTATATTTATCAAACGCCATCTGAAAAACTTTTCATTTGAATTTCCGATCTACGCAGGTAGCCGAGTATTCAGGTACCTGATCTATCTCATTTCCCATTTTCTTCCCCTGATCTTTGAATTTCACATCAATTTATTCTCATTTATTGGCTTGTTGGTTTGAAAAAAAGATTACTAGCACCTAGGGTTATGTAGGTTTTTTTTTTTTAGTTGGAAAATCAATTTTGGCTTGATTGCCAATTGGGTATAGATCTGCATAGGTTTTTAATTCAAATTTCTAGATTAAGTAAGGATCTCATTTCTCTTGTGTCAAATTAATTAAATTTAATGGTTGTTTTTGTTGTCAGTATATATATGGATTTTAATTTAATGCTTTTTTACTGTGGATTTTTGGTATGTTGTAAATTGTAAATTATATGGCATTTGGGGTTTTCATTGTTGTTGCAATTATATAATTGGTTTTGATGTAAAACGCATATGCATCAAGAAGTAATATTTAGGGATTGCATTTTGAGTCTGGGAAGTTAGTAATATGTTGAATGAATACTTTTTTTTTCTCAATCTTTTTTCTTGGATTTGATTTCGTTGTCCTGTTTGATTTTAAATGTTTAGTGAACTCCATTAATTGTCATGAAGTACTCGATCAGTAAGTATCGTCCAATGCTTTTTTGGTTATGCTAATAATTGTTATTGAGTATATATGGTATTCTGTGAGAGCTGCAAATACTTGCATCATAGCTTTTTGGCTGATGTTTTTCCGCAAATTTACGAAGATTTTATATTTTTATTCTACGATGCGGACCTCATTTATTTGATGGGAATAAGTGAAGTTTCTTTTGTGTAGTCTGTGATCTGTCAAAGTTTTAGCCTTACTAAAGTTTTATGCAAATTACTTGTGTGCTGTCTTAGCTGCTATTAGTTGGGTGCTTGCAGAGAACTAATGTCAGAAATGGAGAATGTCAAAGAGCAAGAACAAGTAGATGGAAATTTTGCACAGGAGTCTGAAAAAGCCATGCCATCATCTCAAGAGGAGGTTGTGATCTTATCTCGCTTCACTGTGGAATGTTGATTGATTAAAGATCTTAGCTATATACTTGATTAAATTTTTTTCTCTAGAACAGTTGTGGTGGTTTACTTGTTTCTTTTTCTTTCTATTTTAGGAGGCTGCTATAAAGAAAAGATATGGAGGGATTATGCCCAAGAAACCACCACTCATCTCTAAGGTAATTTGTGTGGGAAAAGTATAAGGTTTTTGGTTTCTGGCTTGTGCTGATTCTCATCTAAGTTTTTCATTTTGATATTAGGACCATGAACGTGCCTACTTTGACTCTGCTGATTGGGCACTTGGAAAGGTACTTTAATGATTCCCCCACCCCCTACCAATCTTAATTTTTTATGTTTTTGTTATTTTAGCTTGGCAATTCTAATGAACTCAGATTAAGCTGAAGTTTCCAATATCTTTTGATGTTCTTGGATGCTAACAGCAAGGTGTTGAGAAGCCCAAAGGACCACTTGAAGCCCTTCGGCCCAAATTGCAGGTATTAATTCAGTGCTTTAAAAAATATCTAATATGATATTCCCTTCTTGTGTAATGGGATTTGACTTCCTTGAACTACATTTTTTGGTCAATATCTGATGGATAACTTACGGTGAGAATTTTGTATGTAAATATGTATTTTAAGAATTGTAATAAATTCCTCTAATTAGTGAGAGCAACAAAGTAGATAGTCCTTTGCTAATGCTGCAGGATGGTGCTGTTGAATGAAAGATTAAATCAATCTGGCCCACTTTTGTAGGATTCTCTAATTGGTCAAAAGTTTAAATTAATCGGGTCTACTTTATTCAGACTTTTTAACTTGGTCACACATAGGCCTCTTAATTGGTTCAAAAGATAGTGAACAGGCTTTACTAGAACTTTTACATGTCAGTAGGAGCAAAAGGGATTGCAATATGTAGAATCTTTAAGGCCTTTAACTACTGAAGCAAAGTGGCTTAATTTTATAGGTTCTTCATGGGCTAGATCTTCCAGCATCATGTTAAAATAAGGTTCACAAACAATTGTGCTTCATTGGGGGTTTTGGATTTACTTGCTTTATATTTATGTTGGGATAGGGAAGATGATGTAGAAAGTCTTGTAATCTAGCGTCTGCATTAACATGACATAAATTTTAACATACATCAACTATCTTAATTACATCTTTTATTTTAGTACTGTGCTGAAATGATGCTATTGGTTGTTTTTTCTACATAATTAACTTGACTTGAATGATGTGCTGATTATCTTTCCAATGATTTTTAGGAAGAGCAAATTTATTGTTTCTGATACAAGATGTATCAAGAATCATGTTGTAATGAAATTTTTATGCAGTTCATGTTTGTAATTTCAAACCCTTTACTTCTGGGAAAGAGAAGAAAAAAAGAGTTTGAAATGACCTGTTCATCACAGTTCACCTTTTCTTCCTGTTGAATATTTTTCTGCAGTTCACCTTTCTGATGTGTGTTTTTAAAGTTTACTATTGATGAATCATATAGTTCCTTTATCCTATTTTTGTTTTCTGCGAGTTGGTTGCGTTTCACACATTTATTTATTACTCTTATGATGCATGCTTATGATTATTTCTGTACTTTGTCTTCAGCCCACACAACAACAAACACGATATAGGAAGTCGCCTTATGCCCCATCCGATGGTGAAGGTATGCCTATCTATTGACATAGTAAACTCCTAGGGATGAATGCTCTTTTTGCATCAACATTTCTCTTTTTTGGTGGGAAAATGGTGCTTAATTAATTCAATTCATCATGCCATTGTCTAGATGGAGGAAGTGCTCAACCAGAAGATGGAACTGCCAATGAATGAGAAACTGCCGTTAATCTTCTGATCTTGTGAGGACCATTGATTGTTATTCTAATGCCTAGATAGGTAATGGGTAATTTTCAATTGTTCCCGTGAATAAACTTGGTGAAGATGTTTCGGTTTTAGTTAAGTTCGACAAGTTACAACTTTTATCCAGTTGAGAATTGTGGGAACTGAAATGTCTATTGTTCCAAGGTTTTTCTGACGTGGAACATTGTTCTTTGTGATTCGAGTAAACCACTTATAAAACGAATTTTCCCTGTTTATTTTCATAGTTTGCATCAGTGTTAGCTTTGCTTCATTGTTCCATGGAAAGTGAACCAGTTATTTCACATTTACATGATATTTAAAGGGTACACTTTTTCCTACTATAATAATATTCTAAATTTAGCCACTTGCCTGTATTAAACAACTTAAAGATTCATAAAAACTACCTGCCTGTGGTGCCACTTAGTTGAATCTTTGTCTGTTTTCCCAAAGAAAAAACAATGCTTAGCCATAGGGTAGAACGAGGACCCCATTACATATATAATTACAAGGAATTCAAATGAGAAACATGATGCTATCTTTATTTGTATTATTTACCAGTCAATTTATTTATGCACCAAACCCGCCATGTTCCAGCAATTTTTTCCACTAAAATGTCCTCAACAGCTTTTGATCAGCCCGACCAAGATACCGACTGCAATGTCATTAGTCTTGTCCTTACAACTATTGAGTTCCCGTATCACAAGGTTTTCTAAAGAGCTGCCTGTTTTTGCTACAAAAGCTTTGTTTATCCCTTTGATGTCTATCCCGGACCTAGTAACCACTGTTCGAATCAGAATCTCTCTACCATCAGCATTTTTCATTCTCAATTGTTTTGCAAAAAACTTCTCGGGATGTTGTATGCACCGGATTACGACCCGAAGTTCCTTTCCAAATTGCCCACATTTGCTTCTCTTAATGGACTTACGGAATTCGTGGCCGTATAGCTGTTTGTAGGAGCTTAGTATTGCTCTGACTTGGCCATTGTTCCTTTGACTCAAAACTGAAGTTACTGTCTTCTGATCTATGTTTTTCCCACTTTCGAGGGCTTCATATAGAGTCTTGGCATCGCACATGGCCAGGCTCATGTCAGCTTTACCACCATAATTGCGGCAAGATTTCAGAACAGCCAGCAGAATCTAAGCAGAAGGAAAATAAAGGAAAAAAAAAGAATAATTCTTAGTGGCAATAACACGATTGATACGGACAAAAATGATTTAAGTTGAGATAGCTAGCACATAGCAATTACCTCTTTGAATCCACCATTGACTTTCATTGTTAAATCCTTTTCGAGGTCAGAATTATATCGAGTTTGGTAGGCTTGCTTGATTCTTAGCAGCTCCGAAGATGGTCTGGTGCAAGCCACCTCAATGAGAGTATTGAGGTTTAGACTCACCCCGAACAACGAATGCCTCATTAGTTGAGCATCACGTTCATGAGGTTCAACCATGCGGAGATAAGCAATCCTCTACATGAATGGCATGTGCCTATATCAGCACAGCTAAATTATAAAAATTGCATGCAACTTGAAGTAATTAACTTGGAGTTACACTTACAGCAAACGAGTTGTTCCTCTGAACATTTGACATGAGCTGAAGAAGATCTTGGCCATACCTAGAACTGTAGGTCTGGCGAACGACCTTGAGGGCATTTGAGTCTCCATTGACAAATATTTCAACAAGTTTTTTGTTGTTGATTGCTCCAATATTGCCTGTTAAACAATTCATAATTGAAAATAACTTTAACAAGAATTAAGAATTCAAGTTGGTTTTAGTTGCAGACTTGCAGGTGCAACAGGGTTCAGTAGAATTGATTGGTGACTCTATTGTTGATATAAACATTTATATTTGTTTCTGTAACAACCATAGTTGGTGTTTCCTGACAACCAAACAGGCAGAGAAAAAGCAAAAAGAAACAAAAAAACAAAAAGGTTGAATACCAGAGAAATAACAGTGAAGGATGTGGCAATCTTGCTCGTACTGTCTGGGGGGTTGAGTGGAACTACTAGCCATCTCAAATTTCTGGAAAGATATATTCTCTTACGTTTCCAAGTATGCCATGGAACAAGACTCCAATAGACCATTTTTATAGGGCTGATTTGGTGTCCAAGGAATAATTAAGCTTGGTTCTGCTTTTGGCTTACAAAGAAACAAAGCGAGGGAGAAAACAATAACCACATCCAAAGTGGAGGAATAACAGGGAGGAACATATCCTCAATTCCAATATCGACCATGCTCTTTTTGCTGCACTTCACTTTCTTGTGCCAGCTTACTTTCTTTACTGCTGACTTGCACTTGCTATGATTAATGGAAGCAAAAGTCAGAGTAAGACATCTAATGTACGTGCTATTTTATATTTCTTTTGAGGGTGAAAAGGATTGAAAGGAAGTTCTCTGGTACTCAAGTGCCCCTCACACATTGCGGCTCATTCGTTGATTCCACACATCCTGAAATGACTTGAATGGCAATGGGTTTTTCTTTTTTCATTTGATAATATTTTAATTGCGGAAAAAAATGGATGGAGAGGATTTTAAGGTATCAAGCCGCAACCTAAAAATAAGAAAAAAATTATAAATATTAAAATTTGAATCCAAAATCTGTTAAAAAAATAATTATATAAATCAATTGAATTAAATTGTGATTCATTTGCGTTTTTAATACTCCACAATAGGTTTACTGTGCAAGGAGTTACTACTGGGGTTGATTCAATGAATTCGTATAGAAATCTGGAAAATCTGGTCAAATATAAAAGAGGCAAAAGCATAGGACAGAAGCTTTGGAAGTAAAAAGAGATTAGGTCAAAGACATTCAGCCAAAACTTGTGAATTAAAATCATGGTGAAGCTCCAACTGCATTCAATTGCAAATATAAAATTCGAAAGGTCAGCAAATGGGAGAGCACCAAGGGTGACAGTTATTCAAGATGGAACAGTTGTATAGAAGATTATCTTGGAAAAACAATTTACAATTTTTTATCACCACCCTTAGTGCGTCCTTCTCTTTCAGCCAACAAGGTTAAAGAAAAGCATCACAAAAGAGCATTCTCACAATTGACAGTGTTGCCATCTACAGCAACTAAGGAATTTTTTTAATAAACTTGATACTAAATTGTTACTTTACATTGTTCATTCCATTTGTATACAATGAATAAACAGTGGGTCGGAAGGGAGGTTCCCAGCTGTCTGATATGACGGGGCTTTTCACTACCCCTGGCAGAAATCTAGTTGTTAGAACATCTGAAAGCAGTACAGATACAAATGGCGGGTTCCCCGATAAAGTGATGTGTCAAGCAATTATCATTAGATATAGTGCCAATGGCAATGCAATGGAAGCTGAGACGAAGCCAGATCATGCTTATTCCATGCCTGGACTTTCGCATGAATTTGATGTAGTTGACCAAATGTTTAGCACGTGTAATGTATCTGATCTCCTTAAACCAAATAAAACACAAACGTCCTTTCGGCCACAGTACCATCTAGTCAAAAAGATGATTATTTAACTCAAAGTTGAGTTGCATCTATTGTCGTCCTGCATCAAAATAGAGAAGACTTAATCAAATAAGAAAAGGCATTGAGCAGAATAAACAGGTTAATATATCCATTACATTTGAAACATTTAACATCTAAACATGACAGGTTAAAGAAAAACAACCAACAACGGGAAGAGAATATATGACAGTATCTAAGCCATGTAATACTATAGGCCAATGAGACAATACGACCCGGCTTAATTGACATATTTTCCATCATCAAAATATATAATCAGAGTTCATAATCTAGAAGCATAGAATCCATAAGCTCAACTATTTTCCTCCTTGCATTTGTGGTCAAAGCAAAGATAAACCAATAAGCCTTTGGCAGCAACAAATTACAACTGTAGATGTAGAATTTCTTAGTTCTTTAGTCAATATAAATAGTGGCTCCATGTAAATAGCACATGGAAGCGGTCACTTATAAATGAGTAAAACTGAACAATAAGCATCTTCGAATTGGCATGCAATAGGTGTTCTGAGAATGAGTGCTAAAAGATAATTAATGACAATGCAAAACCATTGTCTCCCAAACAGTATGCATTTTTGCTGACCACGTCATTGCATACGCTGCAAGGGAGCTTTAGCCAGTCTGTGCTTAGCTTCAACACAGAAGGAACAAAGCCTACTGATCAATTTTATGAAGGCTTCGAAGATCAAGATACCAGCAGCAGAGTATTTCTAATTTACATCTTGAAACCTCCAAACTCGTGTATTTAACAAGGATATGCAACATCCATTAAACTTGACAAGTATGTTTTGCAACCATTATGTACATTTACTGTATTTTTTTTTTTTTTTAAGAAACTTAAATGATTTTTCTAAGTCATTATTTGCAATATTCTAAGATCCGCATGTCTCCTTATTACCAAGTTTCACCAATAACACAGAACAGAGAAGGTATCACTTGTCCCCAAACAGCACAAACACATAGATGCCCATACACATATAGAGAGATAATGTAACTTCCAAAAAGGCATTTTAAATTCATAACTACAGCAACATAAAATGATTAGGAACCAAATCTACTCATAACAACACTTTCTGGAAACTGAAGTGTGGCAATTATTTTGTAATTGATACTGCCATATACTTACCAGGAAATCTTGTGGTGCACCCCCTTTTGCTTTCTTATACCGAGCTTTATGCTCAAGATACTCTTCAAGCTCCTTCTCCAACTTTTCAATGAACTCACTTGTATGATCAAGGGATTGTTCGTACTTGTATTTTTCCAAAGCCTGCAATATTTGAATAGGAAAAGCAAATATTCTACTGACATCATGCACTGAGATAAAAGTGATTAACCATGACTCCCTCTAAAGAGTCAGCTATAAAGAAGCTACCACACTTTTTTTTAACATCAAACATCTTGACCAAAGAGAGAAAATATTAGAAACATTACAATAAGCACAAAACTTAATTGTGCTTTCCTTGAGAGCACAAACAAACTCCCAACTATTATGGGTTCCAAGCTGCTAGAATAGTGCAAAATTCCAGTCATAAACATTGAAGCATCAATTTCTCCAAATACATAATGAGCTCAACTAACTCACAAAACAAAAAATAGAAAACCTAATGCATCAGTAACTCCATGCACTGAAGCAAGTGCAGATGAATGGAAACAAGTGAAACCACTTAGAATACCACCAATTAATTCTCAAGGAGTAAAAGTTAAGAAATTTCTAAAATATAAGCAACGGATTATCGAAGAAGGGCAAGAAATATTACTTTGTTTTTAGATAGGGTATCTGGTGGAGACATAATTTTTGGTTGCACATAATTCTTTCCTCGGTAGAATATTATAGTATTGTTAGGTTTGATGTCAATCACAATGCCTTTGCTAAGTCGAGCAAGTTCCTCCGCATATAGATGAACCTGCCCTGGCTTGCAAGGCTTGCAAGTGACCTTCACAGTTTCGTGTTTCTTCCAATGGAGATGCATATTGAGAACAACACCTCCAAATACTCCTCGTCTTCCAACTTGAACATAATTCTTTTTCTTCTCACCAGTACGCTTTAGGTAGTGTCTCTCTTCCTCAGTTAAAATTTCAGGATCATATGCTTCAGCTGGGGCCTTGGGAACCTCATATTTTCTCAACTTTTCAATCAACCATGCTTCTTTTCTTTTGGCCTGATGCAAATCATTAAGTTCAGATGAACTTAAAAGAGAGAAAAAAAAAAAGCAAAAAAGGTTTCCGTATGCTATATATCACAAATCAATATTCCCCATTACCAGTAAGAACACTAAAAAAGCTCATATCTGACATAAGGATGAGAAATTCTTAACCAAAATATACACTATATTTAAAATGAGAAGCTATCTAACCTTCTCAAGTTTATATCTAATCCTAACTTCCGGGTTTGGCGAATTCATCTTCTTTTGGGCCTTTAGACGATAAAAACGAAGTTCATTCAGTTTTGCCTTTTTAGACATTTTTTGTCGTTTGGTTGACCCCTTCCTATTTGCAGAAACATATCTACCGAGTGGCTTACTAAAAGAAAACCTGATAACATCCTCATCTGTTTTCAGCTTAATTGATGCATTACTCATATATCTCGCATGCAGCCATTTGCAAAGAATGTTCTGATGCTGAAACACATTTGGTTTCAATAGCAATGAAAAATCAAAATGAGAGGCTACAAATGGTGCATGTAATGAAGGCCTCACAGCCCTGTAGCTTTTCTGGTTTGCAAATGTGATGCAACTACGGTATTGTTTAGACAAAAAGGACTCATTTTGATCAGAACAACAGAATCTGAGTAAAGAATTCCTGCAATAGAAAAAAAAAATCGTGTCACCAAAGTCCTTCAATATGAATGATCCAGTTCAAAATTTCTATTTTGAAGTAAAAAAAGGTCTTATTATAAATATGTAAACATATTATTTATTTTTTTGCAGACACCTTCAGAAGCTAAAGCCGAAAAGACTTCGAAAACATAAGTTTCATCATAGTCAATCTTTAAAACCCAGAATCTATTTCTCTCAAATGTTAATAAAGGACATAACTTTACTTAGATTTTCAAAATTCTTCTCTTTTGTCTCTTAATTGCAGCAAAGCAGAGAAATATTTTAATGTAAAACATTAGCATTCGAGTTGTCTAACTATGAGCTTTCACAAAATCATCAAAAACGTAAAACTGAAAAAACCCGTGATAAACATAAGAAAGATTCACAAGAGAAAAATGGAAAAGAATCAAAATGTTCGTTTTCCTTCAATTCATGCACTTCGATGGATAGAAGTAGATATTAAGTAGTAAATGAAATTAAACCCCGACAAAAGTTAGATCACTAAAAAGAAAAGCTATGGAACAAGCCTTTTGATAGCGGACGGAAATTTGTGGGTGATTTCTCGAATTGAAGCAATAGCTGCCATTATTATCCCACGAAATCAAATTTGTATGGAGAATTTTAGAAGAAGCTCTCAGAATTAAGAGACCCAGCCTCAGACGCTTCATTCATTTTGTTAGGGGAGAACGGAGACTATCAGCTCGATCCAGCCCAAGATTTTGGACTTCCAGCCCAAAAGGCCCAAAACAGTCCCCAGCCCGTTATACTCTTCTGAGTTGGATAGTATACAAAACTCAGACAATAGATGCTTTTGTTGAAAGTGCCTGAAGAATAAAATTCGCTCATAAAAGTTAGAACATCACTCATTAAGATAGAGCAGGGCCTTTTAAAAAGGTCCAAGTTGAAGCCGTCTGGACGACGAGCCCAGTTCCCATCACAGCACTTGAATGGCAACCCATACCTGATAAACCTTGAAGTTAAGAACTCAAAGTTCTAAATCCTCCTTTGCCACTTGAAAAAAAAAAAAAAAGAAAATTCCTCTTTTGACTGTATTGGCAACAATTTTTTCCTTTTTAAAAAGGTTGGAAAAAATCCATTGTAAACTAATACGATATGTGTTTAAGCAAATAATGTTTGATTTGTTTGTTAATGTTGTCTCTCTTTCGAAGAGATTGGATGAAGGTTCAAATCCGTGTTTTTCCAACTGTTTGATACATATTTCCATCTATATATATTTGGTTTACGTATCAGACAACTAGAAATGCATACATATTTGTTAAGAAGTCGACCTCTTGAAGCTATCACTAAGGGTAAACAAGATAAAACGACAAAAGTGAAATAAAATAACTTAGTACAAGTACTTATTCCATTCAAATACATGTATTGTATATACAGCCAATCAAAGCTTGTATCTTGGTCAACTGGAGTAGGGCTGTAAACGATCCGAGCCGAGCCGAGTAGTGAGAAGCTCGAGCTCGAGCTCGACTCACAACTCGGGGCTCGATACTCGGCTCGAGCTCGATCGAGTTTTATTTTTCAAGCTCGAGCTCGATTCGTGATCGAATTCGAGCTACTCGAACTCGCTCAATTAAGCTCGATTAATATGTAAAAATAAGCTCGATTCGTATATTCGACAAGAGTTCGATTATTTATGCTCGAACTCGAACTCGAACTCGGACTCGAAATATTTTATTAATTAAAATAATAAAAATATATTTAAATATAAAAGCTCGATTAGGCTCGCGAGCTATTCGAGTCAGAGATAAGAATACTCGAATTCGGCTCGATCGATAAGTCGAGCTACTCGAGCTCGAGCTCGACTCGATAATAATCGAACCGAATTCGAGTTTTTTTCGAATCGAACCCGAGTAGCTTGCGAGTACTAATGTATCATTTACACCCCTAAATTGGAGCAAACATTTTTATTATTAATAAGCTTACGCTAATTAATAAGGAAATAGTTTAAAATATTACATCCATGTCATTTTAACATGATGACTATGAACTATATAGTATTATTATTAGTTTATTTTAGAACAAACCCTGCGGATTTCACCTTCAGTTCCTATCTTCACTCCAGTGTTACTCATCTTCACCATTGACCTTCCAAATTCCACATTAAAGTTCTGTGCTCGCAACCCTCCGACACCCAAGAATTGTTGGACGATGGGTCTTGTTGTGGCATCTGTCCACAACTTCTGGTCAGACTCTAGTATTCCACGCCCATTTCTCAAGTTGGTGAAGAATGATGTATCGAATCTGTTGCCGCTGCCAGTATCAAGGTCGACACTCCTACTGGCGTCTCCATTTTCAGGACAGAGTGATTTTAGTTGAGAGACAAATGTTGAGTCGATTGTTGGGTCAGGGCCATTGGCGGTGAAGTTGTATAGCCTATACCTGAAGACCTGGCAAGCTGAAGTCCCTATGGTGTGTCCTCCTGTTCATTATAAAGGTGAATGTTAATTCAGATATATATTAGACAAAAGTAATCTTATGAACTGGTTTTCATGTTAAATGTAAAACATAGGTTCAAACATAGAATTGCTTACCAACAAGGGCGACAAGGTCCTGTGTGTTGAGACCCAAAGCAGCAAACTTTTGCTTCTGTGAATCAATGGACTCCCTGAAACCAGACAAATTAGAGGTATCCGATGCCAATGAGACCCTCCCATCTTTGCGTCCAGTAGGCACCTGCCAGCTTCGTCCACTTGTCTGCATAATATATTTGTGCAAAGCATATAATTAGAGACTATTTATACGATATAAAAACATACATTAAAAAACATAGAATAACTCCAGGGCAATGTTTAGATATTATACTAAAAATTACCAGAACAACGGAGTCACGGGCAGCAAGAGCAAGAATATCAGCACATGAGACAACTCCAGGGCATACTGCTTCCAGTTGTGTCTTGGTATCATCAATAACTTCATAGCCTCTTAACAAAAGATTTGGAGGGGCAATTTTCTCAGTGTTAGGGCCGTCAATGAGGATAGAGGCATCACAGCCATGAACGAAACAGTCATGGAAGTGCATCCTTAGCAAGCAAGGGGCAATTGTAGGATTTGACTGGAAATGGGATTGAACTGTTGACCTAATAATTGATTCAGCACGGGGACATGTACGTGAATAGAACCCAACACGGGTGCCTTGCCCTTGCACCAATGTAGTTGCCATGGCAACCAAAAGAAACACTAAAGCAAATGTCTGCTTACAACCACCACCACCCTCCATTTTTGTGAAGAAACAATTACTTATACGAAGAAAAGAGGACTGCAATGCCATCTATACGAAGAAAAAGAAGAAGGATGGCTTTGGGATTATTGCTAACGAGAAGTTTTTAGTAATTGCTTTGGCTAGCTTGTTACCTTGAGGTGTTCTATTTGATGCAATTTATAGGCTCAAAAGGTCAGGTTCTGAGAAGAAAAGTCAGCAAAGGCGGCTACAACGGAAGTACCACCGAGGGGGCGGGGGGACAGAGAAATATATATTCCAAGTTACGTGGGTGCTGAGTTGGGATTCAGTCATTCAGATTTTGGTGGGGGAGCAAGGGGGCCTTTAAACTAAATCAGCTGGTCATATATGCTTCACGTGAAGAATTAGTCTACGGAAGAAAGAAAATGTTTAATCATTATTTTAGGCACCACAACAAAGTGGAGCGTGCGTCCATCGCGTGATGTTGGTATCTATCATTATTGGATTAGTGAAGCAACAAAGTGGTAGTGGAAAGTTAAAAACGATATATAGATTGACCAAAGGGTAGTGGAAATTATGAAAAAGACTTAGATAAGAAAATAGGCCAAGTCTTAAAGGCATCTCTTTTTTTCCCTCAACTTAATCATTAAATTAAGAAAATACTAGTAAATTGTTTTATAGGTCTAAGCATATGCATATATATAATATATATATATATATATATAACACAGTTAAGCATAATTAAAACTTCCTTTGAACATAAATAGGCTAAGTTTTAAAGGCATCTCTTTTTGATTGAGTCTGGTTTCACTGCACAAGCTTCCTTAGAAGCATTGTATTCGTGCGGTTTTTAGCCCTTATATTAGTCAATATTGATTCTAAAATAAAATTATTCTAACATGAATAATTATGGGATCTTTATATGTCTTCACAAGAATTAGTTCATTTGGTAAGTAAATTAGTGATTAATTATATAGGTTTTTTTAATTAAAATTTGATTTCTGTGAAAAATATTTATAAAATAAAGTTTTGAATGCACATATAAAAAAAATACGTGTTTAAAATTATTAAAAAATAGATTTATAAAAACACACACGCACACTGGATTGGTTCCATGGTTGTATACATATCCAGATCATCAAAAGGATAAAAGGGAAGAGGAATTACTCATTTTGCCTTATCCAGATATCCCAATGGAGAGTAGTACTCCTTGGTGAAGGACCAAAAAAAAAAAAAAAAAAAACAAGATGGAAGACCCCTGAGTTGACCACCCAGGCGCAGTGCGCCAGCCAGACCAGCAAAAGATAGTGGCACAATAACGTGGGATCGATGAAGTCATACTTTGACATTTGGAATCAGTGCTTCTACAATTTGTTTTGTAAGAATATATTGTTCATTTTTTTTTTGGTTGAGTGCATTAATAAAAATTTTTTACTGATATATAAATAATTGGTAGAAGATTTTTAATATACACTACTGATCTACTATTGATTTGCCTCAAATTAAATGTAGGTCCAGTTTCATGTGATAGAAATATATAAGATTTTGTCAATGGCGTACTTTGTGAAGAAGATTTTAGTTAACAGGCACTACGAACTTTGCAGGAAACATGATGTATACGAGACAGTACTTGTCATGTGTTGCGTGTATAAACATATTTTATACGAAAATGATTCCTGTAGGAATGAATTCCATGAGCATGTTATTGGAAGCCTTCAATTTCAACTTCTTTTTCTACACATTTTCAACTCATTTGATTGAAAGGATTAAACAAATTAATAGAAAGGATTAAAATTGATATTTATTTCCAGTTCCTTACCATATCCACTCAACCTTCCCCATTAAAATTTGGGGCCATAGTCTTCCTTTCATTTCATTGTATCATCAATACACTGACTTCGTTCTTCTGGATAAAATGTTTGCCAGCGGGAGACACAGACAGAATAAAAAGTTGGTAGCAGAAGAATTTCATTACATAATTAATTGTTTTGTTGAAGATCATTTTATTGTTCTCCACTTTTTGACTGCTCCACTCGTATAGTCGTCCAAACCCAATATAATATCGGTGGCACACTATATATAAGCTTAGATGCCTGTCTCTTTCTTTCTTTCTTTCTTTCTTTTCTTTTCTATTTACTAAACATTTGCTGCTTAATAATTTTGTAACTTAATTACGCTCGTAATTTCATGCAATTTCATGAAGCAATTGCCAAACTCAAACGACGAATGCATGTATAGTTAATAATAGAGCAACTATATTAAACTTAAAGTATAAGAAAGATTAATTATAGAGACATAAGTCAAATCTTCTTTTCAAATAAAGATAGAATTATAAGAGTGAACATTATTATTATTATTATTAGTAGTAGCTTCTGTCTTCTAACTTCTGAGCTTTCCCTAATCAATAAAAGAACCATCATCCATCGTCATCAATTGATACTTTTCAAACATCATTAGCAAATCCTAATACTGTACTTAATTACTATTGGTTTATGACGGAGCAGATTCTTCGAATTTCTCCATTAGTATCCGTCTTCACACCAAAATTACTCATCTTCACCATGGACCTCGTAAATTCCACGTTAAAGTTCAATGGCGGCAAGCCTCTCTCACCCAAGAAACGATGGACAAAAGTTCTTGTCGATGCGTCCGTCCGCAACTTCTGATCAGACTCCAGGACTCCCCGACCATTTCTTAAGTTTGCGAAGAATGCTGCATCGAACCTGTTGCCACTGCCGGTGTCCAAATCAATGCGCCTGGAGCCATCACTGTTTTGTGGGCAAAGTGATCGCAGTTGAGGGACGAATGCTGGGTTGATTGTGGGGTCAGGACCACGGTTAGTGAAGTTGTAATTTCCCCTTTCTTAGTGTTCAATAATTTTAGCAAAAAATGTTTCACTCAAAGCAAATATTCAAACATCTTTTGTTTTTGTGTCTGTCTAATTTAATGTAGGAAAGTTCTACCATTTTCATTAGTTCTTAAAATTGTTAATATTGACGTGTATTGTATTACAAATTCTGTCCACGTGAACTATAAAAAATTCATGTCAAATATCTCAAATATTTCTTAAATTTAATAATATCATTAAAAAAAATTACTATGAAAACCAAAGTAAAACAAACAATTGTAAATATGAAACCTGAAGAAATTTTTGCGCTTGAAAAAATCCCCAAATCTTCAACCCTAATCAGAATCTAAAAGCTGGCCAAATTCTTCGGATTTTATGGAGTTTGGCGGCGACTCCAACTATAAGCTTAGTTGCAGTATAAGACTTTGCTTTCGTCACTAAAATTTTGTGAATTGAAGAACCTCTGCATATCTTAAGTTTAAGATCCACCCGCAATATGATCACTAAAAGCCAACTCTCTTGAAGTCTTAAATTTGGTCTGGAAATGTTGAATCAATTATTCTTAGCATTGTAGCTAACTGTAAGCTGGAAAAGGCCAAATTACCATGTCTGATTCTCCTTCATTTTCCAATTGACCAAACAGAGAAATATGAGATTAACAAATTTGTTATTGAAAAAAGGATAAAAGCATAGAAAGAGTACAGGTGAGCAAGAAACTGAACCTGTTTCAAATTACAGAATCCCTAATAAACACCAAGAACAGAGTTAAACGCTTTGACAAGCGATAAAAGCGAAGACTTCCCATCTCGATCCACAATTTCTACATACAAAAAAACAACTCCCACTTCATTAAAGCACCAAAAAAAATTAAACCCCACAAAAATTTTGAAAAAAATAAAATAAAACCCCGAAATAGGAACATTGTTACCAAGAACATGAAGAGCAATCAGAGAGTCACCAGGTTGAGCCATCTTAACCAAAGCCCATGTCAAAAGCTCTTTACTTGGTGAATCAAGCTTCACCCCAACAACCACCGTTCCACCACCAGAACTCACCGTTTTTTCTGCTTCTTCTCCAACAAAACCATTTTGCACCATTTTCATTTTTGTCTTTTGCTGTCTGATCAGACAGACTCCCAGGTTTTGGTCAGGTTTCCGCCGCCAAACTCTATAAAATCCGAAGAATTTGGTCAGCTTTTTTATTCTGATTAGGGTCGAAGATATGCGGATATTTCCAAGCTTTAACAATATTAAGAATTAATGAAAATTTAATATTATTAACTATTAGACTGAATTTCTTTAAATATAATAATACAAGAATTAAATTTTTTAAATTATATTAGAAAGATTAAATTTTAAAAATTCGAGGAGTACTAAAAATTATGACACGTTTTAACCAAAATTGTATTGACAATTTCCGAAGTTTTTGAATTTCTTTATTATTGTTTCAAATGTTTATACTTGACTTTGAAACTAAAGCCTTCAAATCAACAGAAACACAAAAAAAAAATGTTGCATATCACGAAACTTTTGAAAATTTTGATTGTAAGTACAAATGTTTGTTTGTTTTTTGCTACAGATACTTACTATTCCTGTTATATTCTAATTATGAAATACAATTTTTTATCACAATACATTATTTAAGCATAATTGCTTTGAAATATACATTGTTTAATTAATAATCTTACTCAAAAAATCTGTTCTTTCGATGTCCAGTTGATTGAATATTGAAAGTCCCAACAAAATTCCAACTACAACTTTGAATCAAAAACAATCCAGGTATGTTAAAATTTTCTAATGAAATAATATTTATTCTGAAAAATATTAAGAACCAGGTATGTTAATATTTGCTTCTAATTTGTTTCTATGGTCATTGCTTTTTATAAATCCTGGGTAACCTGCGTATGGTATATGGAACTTAGTGCCAATCAAATATTAGCCACCCATGATATATTAGCTTTGCGTTCAGTTTGCAGAAAATCAAAAAACAAGCTACGCGGGATATCTTCTGTTCCAGTGCAGGCAATCTAGGCTTCCAACTCTATGGATTCTTGGCAGTTACTCTTATCCGAGTTCTCAAGTTAGCTCAGGACGGGAGGCTATGAAATAATTGAAAGCAGATGTAGAATTTGAGACAGTAGATCCAGTGTCTCATACAGAAGAAAATCAAAGTTGAGATAATTATAATTATAATTGTAAGGTATTTAATTTTTTAAAAATTAAAGATACATGAATTAGCTTTGCAATCTACATTGCATATGAATTTAAGTTTGTTGAATAGTTTTTGTTCAATGTAATTTTTGGGTTTACTTTGTTTATTATGCCTTTTTAGTTTAATTATGGGAAGAAAAGCAATGAAGCTAGAATTCATATTGTTAATTAAAATGATTATTGGATTGCTTTGGAACATTGTTGCTTTGTTATTCAATGACCCGACAGGAAGTGAGGGGTGCATCCTAATTATTATTAGCGTCTCTCTTCTAACTTCTAAGCTTTCGCTAATCAATAAAAGAACCATCATCCATCGTCATCAATTGATACTTTTCAAACTTCATTAGCAAATCCTAATACTGTAATTAATTACTATTAGTTTACGGCGGAGCAAATTCTTTTAATTTCACCATTAGTTCCCGTCTTCACACCAATATTACTCATCTTCACAGTGGACCTCGCAAATTCCACGTTAAAGTTCAATGGTGGCAAGCCTTTCTCACCCAAGAAACGCTGGACAAAAGTTCTTGTCGATGCATCCGTCCATAACTTCTGATCAGACTCCAGGATTCCCCAACCATTTCTTAAGTTGGCGAAGAATGATGCATCGAACCTGTTATCACTACCAGTGTCCAAATCAACGCGCCTGGAGCCATCACCGTTTTGCGGGAAAAGTGATTGCAGTTGAGGGACGAATGCTAGGTTGATTGTGGGTTCAGGAGTCAGGACCACCGTTGGTGAAGTTGTATAATCTGTAGCTAAAAAATTGGCAAGCTGAAGTCCCTATGGTGTCAAGGTGTGTCCTCCTGCAATAAGAGGGAAAAATAAAAAGGTTCAAAGTTAAGACGAGGAAATATTAATGGGATAAAAACCTTTGAACATAGATGTAAAACATAAGGCTAAACAAAATGGCTTTCCAACAAGGGCAACAAGGTCTTCAGTGTTGAGACCGAAGTTAGAGAACTTTTGCTTTTGTGAGTCAATGGACTCCCTAAAGCCAGGTAAATTAGAGGTATCAGATGCCAATGAAACCCCCCCGCCCCATCTCTTCGTCCTGTGGGCACCTGCCAGTTTAATTCCCCTCGTCTGCATTTAATTATATACGTATGGGGCATTATTAGAGATTATTTCTAGAAATGATAACCATCGATTCGAATAAAGATAAAATGACAAAATTTCCAGTAGTCTATGATAACAACATTTGAGTAGCGCTATACCAGAACAACAGAGTCAGAGCAGCAAGAGCTAGAACATCAGCACATGAAATGACGCCAGGGCATGCAGCTTCAAGCTGAGTTTTGGCATCATCAATAACTTCATAGCTTCTCAACAAAAGGTTTGGAGGGGCTGTTTTCTCCGTATTAGCACCATCAATGAGGATAGAGGCATCCTCAGCAAGCCGGATGCAACGGCAGGATTAGAGCGGAAATGAGAATTCACCGTTGACCTAATAATGGATTCAGCTCGAGGGCATGTTCTTGCATAGAACCCAATTCGAGTGCCCTGGCCTTGCACTAATGCAGCAGCCATGGCAAACATAAGAATCATTGCTAGGAATCCCTTCATTCTGATCTGCAGCGCCTGAACAATGGGATTTGGGTCTATAAGAGATGAAGAGAAAATGCAAAGATATTAGTATGTCAAATGGCTTGGTGTATTCGTTATTCTGCTTGTGATTTTGTAGGATTGTGAGCAATTCTATTTATAGGCAAAAGTTTTAGTAGAATAAGTAAAGAAAGCCGGCTAAAAAGAACGGCCATTGAAAAGGAGAAAGAATATTAATGGGAGGATGAGGAGTTAGGATACAATTAGTAGTATGTATATGTGAAGTACGCCTGGAGGACACGACTTGCAAATTGCAATACAATAATAGGTGAATAACTAGTCTTTTTTTTTTTTTTTTTTTTAAGGAACGCAGAGAACTGGTCTTTTGTCGAAGGTTTTTTTAAGGCAAACAATTTTTCTTGTAGAGTGCATTTGATTTGAGAAAATTTATAAATTTTCTTTTTTAAATTTTAACGGTGAGTATTTATTTTTTATATTTGATTTAAAATAATTTGATTATAAAAAAAAATATCATATTTTTAATAGTATCAAAGTTTTGGAATCAAAAATCTACTTCTCATTATGATATTTTAAGATTTATGAAAAAAAGTTACTTATTTCTAAATTTGAATTTAATAAAAAATTTATCATATATCTTTACCTTTTTGAAAAATAAATCTAAAACTTAATTTTAATTTTTTTGATTTAATTTATTTTTAATTTAGTTTTAATATGTAATAATTAAGATGTTTGTAGGAAGAAATGCCTTAATTAATATCAATTAAGGTATTTCTTTTTACAAATGCCTTATTTGATGCTTTTTTCATAATTTTTATAGAAGCATCAAATAAGGTATTTCCTTAAACAAATACCTTATTAGACCCATTCAAATAAGGCCTTTTTTTTTTTTTTTTATGAAAGTCTTATTTGATAGATGATTTTTTAAAATCTTTATAAAAACAAAAACAAATGTCTTACTTGATGCTTTTTCTAATATATTTACAAAAATAAATAAGGCGTTTAACTCTTCTAAATGTCATAATTGATTTTTTAATATTTTAATACAATAATTAGGACTTGATGTCTAGTTAAACATCATAATTGAGTATATTTAATTAAAAAATTAAAATTTTTCTTTTTTTTTGTTGTTAAAAACATCATTTGTTGTTTGAGTTTTTTTATTAAAACAAAATGGAATTTTATCTATACCTTATCAATGAGATTATGATAATTATATATGAATTAATAAGCCAAGATTTTCTCCAACCAAACAACTGAATTTGATGACAGGGAACAAAACTCCAAGTATCAAATTTTTTTGAAATCTAACATTTTACGAACCAATCGCCTTCTAAATATTTTATGGTAAAACATAAATTTTAATATAAATACACAAAAATTTAATTAAATTTTTTTATATTAATGAAGTATCACTATTTGATTTACTGCTAACATATAAATATAAATAAAATCTATAAATTAACAGTAATATGGATTTAGATTACTTAGATTAGATAAAATGACTCAAATGTACCTGACTCAAAAGTGACAGCCAACCGCTAGCTTCCCTGATATGTATAACTTTATTAAGCTGTGACGAAATTAAAGTTAGTAAACCAACTCATTCGAACAAATCAAATTAAGAGGATTCGTCTCATTTCTATTATTAATATTTTTGTTTATTAATTTTTATTTACATTATTTTTTAATGTTTGTATTTAAATGATCCAAAAGAAATGTATTTAATGTACCTTCTTAAGCGATATTTAGATCCAATGATTCAAGAGCTCCGTTAAAAATAACATTACTACGTATATATTTTTTAAAAAAGATTTTGTCTACGGTAAAATTTTTATTAAAAATATTTATCTAAATATATATAAGTTTATTAATTTTTTTTAAAATTTTACTCACTTGATTTATAAAACAAGATATTTTAATCTATTAATTTAAATTTTTATTTAATAATTTTTAATTAAAAATTTCATAAATTTCACCTAAATGTTTTCCTTTATAATTTTTAGTCTACACTTAATTAAATAAAAAAAAATCAATTTGCATTATCCAATAGTAACCCAAAATGTCAAATTTCATTGACAACCTTAGAAGGAAAACCATAATTAAAGTAATGAAAAGGCGTTGTTGTACGTCCAGTCCTTTAGTTGCTTCATTTCCGCAAATTCAAAATTGAAAAAAAAAAAACTGAATTAATAGTAGTAATTTTGTTAATCTAATCATTTGAAAAGAGATTGGACTCTCCTCTATCATTGACGGTAAAGAAAATAGTGGATAAATAGAAGCCGTTGACATTCCGCAAATAGAAGCCGTTGACATTTTACCAAACATTATTTTCCACTTTTGAACTTTTCTTACTTATTAACCCTTTCCGCCTCTTTTTAGGTTGACTTTGATTGCCTATTGTTTACACCGCTATCATCACAAACCAAAAATTAATCGATTCTAGAGCCATTTATTTTAGTTTTTATTTATAGTAAGTTACAGCTGTAGTTGTTTGTCGAATTAATTCTAATTAATTACGTATGTACTTTTCTAAAACTATCTTTTTGTCTATAGAAATTTTCATATTTGTCCTTTTACTCTTACTTGGTCCCTTAATTTTATGAAATTAATTACTAATATTATTAATATTGTATTCAAATGCATGTATATAATACAAATTATATGTACAGAATCAAACTTCGACTGTCTGCATCAATAATTCTCTGTTGGTCAACTTGAGAAGAAGTATTTTTTTTTTATTATTATTCATAAGCTTACGCTGATTAATAAATTAAGAAATACTTACTAATATTACATTCATGTCGTCTTAACACGATGACTATTGGTTTATTGCAGAACAAACCCTGCGGATTTCACCTTCAGTTCCTGTCTTCACTCCAATGTTACTCATTTTCACCATTGACCTTCCAAATTCCACATTAAAGTTCAGTGCTTGCAACCCTCTGACACCCAAGAATTGTTGGACGATGGGTCTTGTTGTAGCATCTGTCCACAACTTCTGATCAGACTCTAGTATTCCACGCCCATTTCTCAAGTTGGTGAAGAATGATGTATCGAATCTGTTGCCGCTGCCAGTATCGAGGTCGACACGCCTACTGGCGTCTCCATTTTCAGGACAGAGTGATTGTAGTTGAGAGACAAATGTTGAGTCGATTGTTGGGTCAGGACCATTGCCGGTGAAGTTGTAGAGCCTATACCTGAAGACCTGACAAGCTGAAGTCCCTATGGTGTGTCCTCCTGTTCATTATAAAGGTGAATGTTAATTCAGATATATATTACACAAAAGTACTCTTATGAACTGGTTTTCATATTAAACGTACAACATAGGTTCAAAGGTAGAATTGCTTACCAACAAGGGCGACAAGATCCTGTGTGTTGAGACCAAAAGCAGCAAACTTTTGCTTCTGTGAATCAATGGACTCCATGAAACCAGGCAAATTAGAGGTATCCGATGCCAATGAGACCCTCCCATCTCTGCGTCCAGTAGGCACCTGCCAGCTTCGTCCACTTGTCTGCATAATATATTTGTGCAAAGCATATAATTAGAGACTATTTATACAATTCAAAAACATACATTAATAAACTTAACAAAGCGGCAACAGATTCGAGAGCAAGAATAACTCCAGGGCAACATTTATATATTATACTAAAAATTACCAGAACAACGGAGTCACGGGCAGCAAGAGCAAGAATATCAGCACATGAGACAACTCCAGGGCATGCTGCTTCCAGTCGTGTCTTGGCATCATCAATAACTTCATAACCTCTTAACAAAAGATTTGGAGGGGCAGTTTTCTCAGTGTTAGGGCCGTCAATGAGGATAGAGGCATCACAGCCATGGACGAAACAGTCATGGAAGTGCATCCTCAGCAAGCCAGGGGCAATTTTAGGATTAGCCTGGAAATGGGATTGAACTGTTGACCTAACAATTGATTCAGCACGGGGACATGTACGTGAATAGAACCCAACACGGATGCCTTGCCCTTGCACCATTGTAGTTGCCATGGCAACCAAAAGAAAAACTAAAGCAAGTTTCTGCTGAAAACCACCACCCCCCATTTTATGAAGAAACAAATTACTATAAAGAAAAGAGGATTGCAATGCGATCTATACGAAGAAAAACGGGAAGGATGGCTTTGGGATTATTGCTAACGAGAAGGTTTTGGTAATTGCTTTGGCTAGCTTGTGAGTTGTCACATATTAGGTGTTCTAATCGATGCAATTTATAGGCTCAAAAAGTCAGTTCTGAGAAAAAAAGTCAGCGAAGGCGGCTACAAGGGAAGCATCATTGAGGGGGCGCTGGGCAAAGAAATATTCCAAGTTATGTGGGTGATGGGTTGGGATTCGGATTTCGGTGGGGGTCACGGTGTCCTTTAACGTTCACGTGAATAATTAGTCTCAGGAAGAAAGAAAATGTAGATCATTATTTTGCGCACCAGACGAAGTGGAGCGTGCGTTGCCTTTTAGGATGTAAATTTTATTCATAGCCAATAGGAAAATTGATTTTTTATTTAAATAAAAATAAAATAAATATTATATTATGAATATAAATATATATATTTAAATTTTTATTGAGCATAAAAATAGAGATAGATAATATAGCAATATTTTTATATTTGTACCTTAGATATATGTTTATATATATCTAGTAAATAAATTTTTTATTGAATAATATAAATTATTATTTTAAATTAATTAATATTAATATATTTTACAAAAAAAATCTAAATATACAATAAAAAAATAAAAAATATATTTTTTGTTTTTCTTTTAAATTATTGGTATCAAGATTACTTATATCCATTAAATACTCACAAAAATAGAAATAAAAATAAATTAAAAATATCCGTTTATATAAATATAGAGATTAATATAATATGAAAATCGATAAATAAAGATGAAAAATACTCTATTCTTTCTATACTTTATCCATTGACATCTCTAATTATGTGATCTAAATATATATCATTATTGGATTAGTGAGATAAAAAAATGGTAATAGAAATACATTTATTTTTGTATATAATACTATTGATTTAGAGGTAATTAATTCTGAAATTTTCAACAATATCCAATTAATGAAATAATGTTGGATGTTTTCTTGCCAAAAACAAGTGGGTTTCTGTTACTAGCTTGCTTGCTTCTTGTTATATGATCTGATCATATCAGGTTTTTGATTGAGTCCGGTTTCACTGCTCTTGCTTCCTTAGCAGCATTGTAATCGTGGGATTTTTGGCCTTTATTATTGAATATTGACTGTAAAATAAAATTATAAAATAAAATTATTCTGACATGAATAATTATTTGGTCTTTATATGTCCCTGCAATGATTAATTCGGTTGCTAAGTAAATAATTAATTTCTTTTTTTATCAATCAAAATTTGATTTTTAAAAAAATATTTTCATGTAAAATTTTGAATACCAACCAAAATAGATTAGCTTCGTTTAAAATCATTCAAGAACAAGATTAGGTTTATAAAAGAGAAGAGGAATTACTCCTTTTGGCTTATCCAGATATTCCAAGGGAGAGTAGTACCTGGTGAAGGAAAAAAAAAAAAAGATGGGAGACCCCCGAGTCGTCGCCAGACCAACACAATTTTTTATGGACAGACTAATAATTGGTAGAGGATTTTTAATATACACTAGTGATCTATTATTTATTGATTTGCATCAAATTAAATGCATGGTCCTATTTCGTGTGAGAGAAATATATACGATTTGGTCAATAACGTTTTTAGTCCAAAGAAGCCATGGACATATAGGAGGAACACGATTGTGGGAAGCCTTCAATTTGAACTTCTTTCTCTACAGATGTTCAATATATATATTAGTAAGAGTACTGATCAATTACCTTGCTAATTGATAGAAAGGGTTAAAATTGACAATTAATTGCAGTTCGTTCACCATATCAACTCAAGCTTCCTTTTGTTTCATTGTATCATCAATACAAAATGTTTGCCAGCGGGGGACAGACACAGAAAAAAAAGTTAGTAGTAGAAGAATTTCATTACATAATTAATTGTTTTGTTGAAGAACATTTTATTGTTGTCCACTTTTTGAATGCTCCACTCATAGTCGTCCAAACCCACTATATAATATTGGTGGCATACTATATATAAGGTTAAGTGCCTGTCTCTTTCTTTTTCTTTTCTACTCTATCAAGTTTCTAACGTCGCTGTTTAATAATTTTGCACCTTCAGCACGCACGTAATTTAATGCAATTTAATTGAGCAATTGTCAAACTCAAATGATAATGCATGTATAGTTAATAATAGAGCAACTAGAGTAATCTTAAAGTATAAGGAAGATTAATTATAGAGCAAAAGTCAAATATTCCATTCAAATAAAGATATAATTATAAAAATATATCATAATTACTAATAATACAAGTTAAGTGTAGACAAATCCCATTTTTGGAATTGCTGCTTCACACCACTGCTTTCTCTCTTTGTCGAAAGGAGCGAACATTATTATTATTATTATTATCAGCTTCTATCTTCTAATTAACTTTTAAGCTTTCGCTAATCAATAAAATAACCATTATCTATCGTTATCAATTGAAACTTTTCAAACGTCATTATGAAATCTTAATCCTTTAATTAATTACTATTAGTTTACGGCGGAGCAAATTCTTCGAATTTCACCATTAGTACCCGTCTTCACGCCAATATTACTCATCTTCACCATGGACCTTGCAAATTCCACGTTAAAGTTCAATGGTGGCAAACCTCTCGCACCCAAGAAACGCTGGACAAAAGCTCTTGTCGATGCATCCGTCCACAACTTCTGATCAGACTCCAGGATTCCCCGGCCATTTCTTAAGTTGGTGAAGAATGATGCATCGAACCTATTACCACTACCGGTGTCCAAATCAATGCGCCTGGAGCCATCACCTTTTTGTGGGCAAAGTGCTTGCAGTTGAGGGACGAATGCTGGGTTGATTGTGGGGTCAGGACCACCGTTGGTGAAGTTGTATAATCTGTAGCTAAAAAACTGGCAAGCTGAAGTCCCTATGGTGTGTCCTCCTGCAGTAAGAGGGAAAAATAAAATGCTAAGACTTAAGACCAGAGGAATATTAACGGGATAAAAACCCTTGAACATAGATGTAAAACATAAGGCTAAGTAAAATGGCTTACCAACAAGGGCAACAAGGTCTTGCGTGTTGAGACCAAAGTTAGAGAACTTTTGCTTTTGTGAGTCAATGGACTCCCTAAAGCCAGGCAAATTGGAGGTATCAGATGCCAATGAAACCCTCCCATCTCTTCGTCCTGTAGGCACCTGCCAGTTTATTCCCCTTGTCTGCATTTAATTGTATACGTATGAGGCATTATTAGAGATTATTTCTATATATGATAACAATCGAATAAAAGATAAAATGACAAAATTTCCATTAGTCTATGATAACAATATTAGAGTTATGCTATACCAGAACGACAGAGTCACGAGCAGCAAGAGCTAGAATATCAGCACATGAAACGACGCCGGGGCATGCAGTTTCAAGCTGAGTTTTGGCATCATCAATGACGTCATAACCTCTCAACAAAAGGTTTGGAGGGGCTGTTTTCTCCGTATCAGCACCATCAATGAGAATAGAGGCGTCACAGCCTTGAACAAAGCAATCATGGAAGTGCATCCTCAGCAAGCCCGGTGCAATGGCAGGATTAGAGCGGAAATGAGATTGCACCGTTGACCTAACAATGGATTCAGCTCGAGGGCATGTTCTTTTATAGAACCCAACTCGAGTGCCCTGGCCTTGCACTAACGCAGCAGCCATGGCAAACATAAGAATCATTGCTAGGAATCCCTTCATTCTGATCTGCAGAGCCTGAACAATGGGATTTGGACTATAAGAGATGAAGAGAAAATGCAAAGATATTAGTATGTGAAATGACTTGGTATGTTCGCTATTCTTCTTGTGATTTTGTGGGATTGTAAGCAATTGTATTTATAGGCAAAACTTTTAGTCAACAGTGAGAATAAGTAAAGAAAGCCGGCTAAAAGAACCGCCATCGAAAAGCAGACGAAATATTAATGGGGGATGATGAGTTGGGATACAATTGGCAGTGTGCATGTCAAGTACGCCTGGAGGAAAAGACTTGCATATTGCAATACAATAACGCGTGAGGAACTAGTCTTTTGTCAAAGATTCTTTTAAGACAAATAAATTTTTTTATTTAACGTGACAGTATAATAATTAATTAGGGATTTGTCTTTAGACTACTTGGATTAGTTAAAATGACTAGAATGAACCTTCAAATGCGAAATGACAGCCAACCGCTAGCTGGTCTGATAACATTATTAAGATTTTGGACCGAATTAAAGTTTGTAAACCAACTCAAAGAGGCTTCGTCTCATTTTTGAGGCAATGATTTTTTTCGGTTTTGTTTATTAATTTTCACTTAATTTTTGTTTGTCTAATCTTGAATTTGTGCCATAAATGTTAACGATGATAATGATTTATATTCAAAACAATAATGGAAGAAATTTTTAATTTGATTAAGATTAAAATAACAAAAAAATTCATGAACTTAGATAAATTATTATATTCACATTGTAATTAAATAAATTTTTAACATTTAATTTATATCTCAATAAATTTTTACTTCAAACAAAAGGTTGACTTTTTTTATAGTCAATGCAAATTAGTTTTTTTTTTTACAAAGAGATTACAGTCTAGAGATGAAGGAAGTAATTTAGGTATTGAGATTTAAATTTTAAATTTACTAAATGTTATCTTTTAAGTATGATTACATAAATTAATTAAATTAAAATTAAAATTTTTATTATTTGATTTGGGATTGGTTCTCTTTTTTTTTTTTTTTTGTACATGTGGCTTGATATTGTGAATCAATTTGGTCAATTTTTCAAAAAAAAATTTTTTTTTGATCATTTTTCAAAAGATAATTTCTTTTAATTTTAGGTCACATCATTAGGCTTAAAATTTGATTATCGTTAATTATAACAAAATTGAATATTTCATTTAAATAAGGATTTATTAGAGTAAAAATTAAAACTTAATAATTTATTTGGATATAATAAAAACATGTAAATTTATTTAGAAAAAAATGAAAATGTTGTTAATACTTAATTCCACTTCGAGATAAAAGCCTTGCTATAACGATCTTCTCAACTTTTTATATATTTTTTAAATAATAAAATTAATTAGTGATTTAACAACCATTATGTTTTTAAAAATATTAATGCTACATTAAATTATAAAAAATATAAAACTGATTAGTCTTATAACGGTGTAATATGATTTAAAATGTACTTTTACTGGCTTCATAATATATATTGTCCTGAAAAACAAAAATCTGTCTGACTTCCCTTTTGTTAAATTATCTTATAGCTGAAGCAATTCCCTTTTTTATAATTATAAATATTTTTATATAAAAGAGATTGTAATTTGAAAATAAAAAATTTATAAGTATTAAAATTTAAATCTCATATCTATTAAATATTATTTTTTATCTGAATCAATTAAATTAATTTTAAATTTAAATTTATTTTAATATGGCGGTGAAAAAAACGGTATATAAATTCAACATTAAAAAGATAAAATAGGCGTTGACATTTGACAAAAGACCGCGTGAAATCCTCAACAAGCAATCGATTCCCACTCAAAGTCATCACACTTCACATGACAACAGTTTGCCTCCTCACGCTTTCGTTTACTTCTTCCCTTTTTCAACTTTTCTTGTTCCCTTATCCTTCCCCTGTTTTTGAAGTTTGCCCTTCTATGCTTTAGTTAACTTGCATGCATGCACCACGTCAGATCATCACAACCCAAGAATTAATCAATTGATCTAAACCATTAATTTTATTTTCTAATTATAAACTTGAATTTTCCTTTAATTATGTGTTAGACTTTAACCCATATTTTAATTAAAATTAGTTTGGATTTCGATGAAATTTTATTAGTTGAAAAATCATTTGGTGATTAAATTTAATACTAAAATTAATTTTTTATAAAAATAAATTTTAATGATTTTAATATTAAAAAAATAAAAAAATGAAATAGTAAACGATTTACTATATATTTTTATATATATTTTTTCAAAAAATCTTATCAATTAAGAACTAATTTACGCCAAAAATCCGGCAATCTTGGGCATTATTGGGGATATAAACAAACTATATATTTAATTCAATGATTTAATTTGAACATCGTCAAGAGCATTATTGCCTATTATTTGGTTATTAAAAGAGTCATTCTGCACTTTATACATATTCACAATTTTTACTCTCATTTCGTTTAATTTTATATGATTTTATAATTTTATCCTATATATATATATTTGTTGAATCGGTTGAATCCGACCATTGTATTAACTCATAGTCCATTTATGTAGATTATGCATGTAAAATTTTGAATTAATTAAAAAAGTCTACTCATTTGTTTTATATAAAAATTTCCAACAGTTAAATATTTTTTAAAAACAGTATTCTCAATTGATATGATAGTGATAGCAAATTGGTTTGAAAATTACTCAGCAATGACGGATGTTGTTAAATTCAATGATTATGTTTATTAAAATATTAATCATATATTAAATTACAAAAATATAAAATTAATTATTGATTTAACAAACATTATGTATTTTAAAATATTAATGCTTACATTAAATTATAAAAATATAAAACTAATTAGTTTTATATTAATTAATACTAAAATTCCTACAAATCTTTTAAAAAGAATGAAATAATAATAATAATAATAATAATAATAATAATAATTTAAACATGCATCATGGTGTTTACTATCGTTAATCTGTACTTAATTAAGTAAAAACATCAATTAACCCAAAATGTCAAAAAAAAGTTACCCAAAAGGTCAAATTTTGAGAATCCATATATTAAAAACTATGAAAAAACCATGGTTTACTTCTAGTCCCTAGCTTCATTTTTTTTTTTTTTTGCATTGTCAAATTTGAAAATACTTAATTAGTAGTAATATTTTGTTAATCTAATCATTTTATTAATATTCAGTTTAATTAATACTTTACTTTTATTTTTAAATTATCTTATAGCCGAAGCAATTCCCTTTTTTTTTATAATTATGAATATTTTTATACAAAAAATATTGTAATTTAGATATAAAAAAATTGTAAATATTAAAATTCAAATCTCATATCCATTAAATATTATCTTTTACATAAATCAATTCAATTAATTTTTAAATTTAAATTTATATGATGGTGAGAGAAATAGTATATAAATTCAACATTAAAAAGGCCAAATAGGCGTTGACATTTGACAAAAAGCAATCGATTCCCACTCAAAGTCATCACACTTCACATGCCAACAGTTTGCCTCCTCACTTTGGTTTGCTCATCTTAATTTACAACATTAGGCCGCTTTTGTTTACTTCTTTCCTTTTTCAACTTTTCTAATTCCTTTATCCTTCCCCTGTTTTTGAAGTTTGCCCTCCTATGCTTTAATTAACTTGCATGCGCCACAAACCAAAAATTAATCAATTTATCTAAACCATTCATTTTATTTACTAATTATATACTCGAATTTTCCTTTAAGTATGTGTTAGACTTTAACCCAAATTTTAATTAAAATTAGTTTGGATTTCAATGAAATTTTATTAGTTAAAAAATTATTTGGTGATTAAATTTAATATTAAAATTAATTTTTTATAAAAAGTAATTTTCATGATTTTAACATTAAAAAAATAAAAATAGTAAATAGTAAAATATCATGATTTTAATAGTAAATAGTAACATATTTGTATGTACATATATATCTGTACACATATGTATATCTATGAATGTATACATACATATATATACATAGATATATATGTACATACATATTTATATATATACAAATATATGTATATATATGTAAATATATGTATATATGTGTATGCACCTATATATATGTATGCATATATATATGTATATGTATGTCGGTATATATGCAAACATGCACATATATGTATACATCCATACATATACATATATATATGCATACACATATATAGGTACATACATATATATACATTTATATATACATATATGTAAATACATATATATATACATATATGTTCGTACATACATATATATATACATATATATGTATGTATATATATATGTTTATATGTATATGTTTACATATATATGTATATGTATGTATGTACATATATGTATATATATGTATATATTTGTATTTACTTATATATATATATGTATATATATATATGTACACATATGTATATGTATATATACATATGTGTTTATATGTATATGTATATATATATATATATGTATATATGTATATATATGTATTATATAAATGAAAGCTGTGGATATAATGCGACAAAAAATAAATTTAAAAAATAGGTTTTGTCTTCAAATGACACATCATCCATAAAAAGCTTTCAATTTTGAGATATCATTATTTGTTTTTTTTTTTTTTTTTGAGAAATGATAAATAAATTTATGGAATAAAACAGTTTCTTTCCTCATATTGATATATTATCAAAATCTACAGGTGCATGAAAAATATAAAAAAATGTGCGATTTTCAATAGGCCAAAAGCCAGACATGACAAGAAGTCAAATATTAACTGCAATTGACATCTTCTAGATTGATGGATTATTATTCATTATCATTATAGAAAAAAGAAAGACAGTCCAATTTCGATTGCCCACTTTACACACTATATATTAGTCAACAAGAGTGAGCGATTACTGTGTATCACTTTATCAGCTTGTGCCAATAAAGCTAGCAAACCATCAAAACCCTCAACATCGATCGTCTGTATCAGTTTACTGCAGAACAAACTCTGCGGATTTCACCATTAGTACCCGTCTTCACTCCAATGTTACTCATTTTAACCATAGACCTCCCAAACTCGACGCTAAAAGTCAGTGGTTGAACACCCGCCACGCCCAAGTAGCCTTGAACAATACTTCTCGTTGAAGCATCAGTCCACAGCTTTTGATCAGATTCAAGTATCCCTCGCCCATTCCTCAAATTATTAAAAAAGGATGTGTCAAACCTGCCACCGCTACCGGTGTCGAGATCAACGCGCCTGTTGCCATCACCATTTTGTGGGCAAAGTGATTGTAGTTGAGGGACAAAGGATGGGTCAATTGATGGGTCGGGACCATTTGCAGTGAAGTTGTATAGTCTATAACTGAAGAACTGGCAAGCTGAAGTCCCTATGGTGTGACCTCCTATTAAAAATGAAAGGGTAAAGATTTGGTTAATGAATTGAATTCATATATTATTAGACAACGAAGTTTTGAACTAGTTTTCGCTGATGTACGCATATTAATAAAGGGCTCACCGACAAGGGTAACAAGATCCCGAGTGTTGAGACCAACTGCAGCAAACTTTTGTTTTTGTGAATCAATGGACTCTGTGAAGCCAGGCAAATTGGAGGCATCGGATGCTTGAGAAACCCTCCCATCTCTGCGTCCCGTAGGCACCAACCAGCTCGCTCCACTTGTCTGACAGATGCATGAAGAAACATTAATTTAATTACTGATAACTACTTTATATGAAAAATTAAGTGGTAGTAATTAATTAGTAGCCTCTCTTTTCAATATTACAATTACCAGAACTACAGCATCACGGGCAGCAAGGGCAAGTATATCAGCGCATGAGACTACACCAGGGCATGCTGCTTCGATTTGAGTCTTGGCATCATCAATAACTTCATAGCCTCTCAACAAAAGGTTTGGCCCGGCAGTTTTCTCAGTGTTAGGGCCATCGATAAGGATTGAGGCATCACAACCCTGCACAAAGCAATCATGGAAGTGCATCCTCAGCAAGCCTGGAGCAATGGCTGGATTAGAACGGAAATGAGATTGGACTGTTAAAGTAACAATAGATTCAGCTCGAGGACATGAAGTTGAATAGAATCCAACACGTGTCCCCTGGCCTTGCACTAATGTGGTAGCCATGGCAAATAAGAGAACCACTGCAAGGACTCTTGGGCTGCTGTAAGCGCCCTTCATTGTATAATGGATTTGAAGAAAGAGAGGCGAATAAAAAAAAAAAAAGCTCTAGGCTTTTGCTATGAGGAGTGTGTTTTTCTATTCTGCTTGTGATTTTAGGATACCATGGCAGTGTTATTTATAGGCACAATGCTAGTCAAAAATTGCGAAAATAAGTAAAGAATGCCGGCTGAAATGAGCCACCAGGGGCTGTTGCTTGATGAGTTGGAACACATTTGAAGTTTATTCTGGGATGATAATCACCTTTGTCGTTTACATGAACTTTGGAATCGAGTTTGCATGGCAATACGTGAATGTCATGTCTTTGTCAAAGGTTTTATATTCTTATTTTTTTATTCAAAGACTTTTAGGTCTTCTATTGCCGCAAATGAAGGGGACATGATTAATTACAGTTATTGGCACTATGGATAAATAGTATTAGATGATGAATTATCAAATGCCAACTGGTAGTAATTGACTCGAAAGTGACAACTATATAATTGGATTCATTGATAGCATTCTTAATTTAGATCTACTTGCCACAAAAAGATAAAGAAAAAACCCTAATTTTCAAATTTAGGTAATTTTTTTCTCACAATTTTCAAACATACTAACTAAAGAAATATTAATTAGGCGTCACTCTCTATTTCGAGTCAAAAGAAAACGCTAGAAAGCTATGCATGTTTAGGAAATCTTCTCTCTCGGCTTTCGTTTTTTGCAATAATATCTTATTAACCAAATTTTTTATTAATTTATTAAAATATAAACATACGTGTTTTTTAGTGTACATAACAATATAAACAAAGAGAGGAGGTGCTGGCACCGGTACCTTAGGGTTCTAAAAAGTTCTACAGGAATAAGAATATTCTGTGACATGTAAAAAGATAAAGGCAGGAATTGTTTCTGTTTTAAAAAATAAGGTTAGCAGAATATTTCATTGATCGCCATGGAATGCATGCAATTTGTTATACGTCTGAATACATCTTTTATATTTTTAATTTCATCTAATTTCTTTGAAAAGGAGAAAAGGCAAAATTAGTTCCTACACAAACTATAGTCCGAAAATGTTGACTCCATCTTGGGATTCAGATGTCTTTTAATTGCATCAATGGCAAAAAAAAAGGGTGTCCGTATGAGACTGTACCATATGGCACAAGCCTTAGCAAAGGTTGGCAAATCCAACGATGGAAGTTTCTGAGGACTTTGCAGTAGTCGAAAGAGGGCTATTGATCATGTTAATTTATATCAGAAAGCCAAGAAAGTAATAATAATAACTTCATCATCGTCCACGCTGTGAGCGTTTTGCCGGTTTCTTCTCTAATTTTGGATATTTGAACTCAGCACTCCTAACATAAACTAAAGAAGAAAAGAATGGGGAGGATGATAAATTAAAGCAAATTAATATTTTTCATTTGCATACTTGATCAACTAAAATCACCAAAAGCAGAACTCCAACCTAACCAAAGTGCCCAAAACATGTCATTTTCATCTATGTTTCTCTTTTGAGTATCTCACTTTCCGGTCCATGCATGGCCCCACGATCCTTCAAAAAAGTAATTCTTGGATGGAAAGAAAATCGATGCCTCGAGCATGCAGGCGCAACATCATGAGGTGGATTCCACTTAAAATTTGTTAAATGCATGCTCCAATGCATATATCTAACCATTTAATTAATATAATTTGTCCACTACTCTTGCAAAAGCAAGGCCTTTGGTAATGAATAATTTGGATATAGAAACTTGGATTCCTTCCTTTTCCTGGAAACAGCCTTCGTCAAAAAGATTCTTTTTTTTATTCCTCCCATCATTCTATAATCATCAAGAGCAGTGCAAAAGATAATACAACAGTATTTCGTTGACGACGACTTTTGTCTCTTCGTTAGAAGTATTTCCATGCAACTCACGTGCATGCAAGTTGATAATGGGATTGAGAGGGAATTGGTGTGCTTCGTTTGGCTTACTATAGCATACCCCAAAGTCTGAACCGGTCCAAGTTTGAATCGATCTGTCTCTTTTACACATCATGTATAGCAGCCGGCTTTACTTTGTAAAAGTCTCTTACTTCTTGGTTCTTATGCCTATAAGAGCTACTCAATTGCCAAACCAGAAATCACAAGCCTAAATTAGCTCTCAAAAACTGAACTTTCAAAGTTTTTTGTCAGCCTAGATAAGATCTTAGAGTAGTGTCTCTTCTTCTCATTTTTTGTTTACGGCAATGGAGGGTAGTTGTTTCAACCAAAGAGTCTTCTTAGTTACCCTATTGCTTGCCATGGCTTCCAGGTTGGTGGAAAGTCAGGGAACGCGAGTTGGATTCTATTCAAGTACATGTCCTCAAGCTGAGTCCATTGTAAGGTCTACGGTTCAATCTCATTTCAGTTCTGATCCACTGTTGCTCCTGGATTGCTCCGTATGCACTTCCATGACTGCTTTGTCCAGGGCTGTGATGCTTCTATCCTTATTGATGGGCCTAACACTGAGAAAACCGCCCCACCAAACCTTTTGTTGAGAGGATATGAAGTCATCGATGACGCCAAGACTCAAATTGAAGCTTCTTGCCCTGGAGTTGTTTCATGTGCTGATATTCAGGCCCTCGCTGCTCGTGATTCTGTAGTTCTGGTAATTATATTTTTGTTTGATTACATTTTCAGATGAATGGATTATAAGTAGCTTAGTCATTAACAATGTTTTTAATAATATGTCACGCAGACCAGTGGAGCTAGCTGGACAGTACCTACAGGACGCAGAGATGGAAGGATTTCACAGGCATCTGATGCTGCCAATTTACCAGGCTTTCGTGACTCTGTAGATGTGCAGAAGCAAAAATTTGCAGCAAAGGGTCTTAACACTCAAGATCTTGTAGCCCTTGTTGGTAAGCATTAGATTATGATCTGCACTCAAAATTAACTGTGAAACAATAAAGTTGCCGTTAATTCAGTGCAACATATGTAAATTTCACACCCAATTGATGAAGTATACTGCATTTTTGGACTACAGGAGGACATACGATCGGTACTACAGCCTGCCAATTCTTTAGTTACAGGCTTTACAACTTCACTACAACCGGAAATGGAGCTGATCCTTCCATCCATGCTGCATTTGTTTCCCAGCTTCAGGCGCTTTGTCCACAGAGCGGCGATGGATCAAGGAGGACTGGACTGGACACTGGTAGTGCTAACAGATTTGACAATTCTTTCTTCGCAAACTTGAGGGATGGCAAAGGAATACTCGAGTCTGACCAAAATTTATGGACAGACGCTTCCACCAGGACCCTTGTCCAACGTTTCTTGGGCGTCAGAGGCTTACTTGGATTGACCTTCAACGTTGAATTTGGAAGGTCCATGGTCAAGACGAGCAACATCGAAGTAAAGACAGGCACTGTGGGTGAAATCCGCAGAGTTTGTTCCAAAGTTAATTAACTTATCGAACATATATATGATTTCTTCACCAGCGTAAGCTGATAAAAGATAATCCATTCTAGATGAAAAATAATCTGATAGAGATATACGGATATATACTCAAGTGGCTTTCGTTTTTTTTTTTTTTTTTTTTTCCAAAAGCGAATCATTTAGGATAAGATTTCATATCTTGTCTCTAGTTACGTTGTCACTGTCTGAATTATATATATCCAGTGAGTGTGTAACTGCAGCCCTCATTCACTGATAGCTGGAATTGTTGACATTTTGTTTTGAAAAACTATGGATTTTATCTACCTTAATTAATTCGATGGATCCACAAAACATACAAGTTTAAGTACTCCATCGTTTACAAAGGCAACATGGTATATAATTATTGAGTAAATTCTTCCCAACGGCTCTCTGGCTGCTGACGTATGCTTCTTTCTACTCTTAAGGTAGAGACATGCCTAGGCACTTCAAAACTGCAAAACATCTTGATTAGATATATCATTTAATTATGAATATTTACAACTGAATATTACCTCGGAAATGAGGTGGCGGTGCATGAAAATTTCATCCGTAGTTTTTTTTTTTTTAAGTAAATTTTTATTATCGAAATTTAAACAATATTAACGGAACTTTTCCGCCAAAAAAGTACGCCGTAAATACCCTTATCGATTAGTAAAGGTTTTTGATGTGCCCAGTTAAAAAAAAGGAAAGGTAACAACATTAAAAGCGCCGCCCATGTACCAGGGTAGCCACATACTAATCATTGTTTGGCCCAAAAAGAAATCTACTGCGAATATGATCAAGAGGCCATATGTTTTAGCCCAAACAAGGGGGGAAAAAGCAACAAGAAAATCCAAGCTGGACGGAACCTATCATACCACACTTGCCAGGATTGCTAAGCTCGGAGCCCAAGAATCTTCATGTCATTCCTTCTTTTAGGACCATTTTGTTTTGGCATATCTGTTTATGTATGGACCTTTTTCCAAACGCAAGTTGGTTTTCTAACGACAACCGTATTAAGCAAAAATGTGGTTTTTCTTTGACTAATGCAAGTTCTTTCCGCGACAAAAATTTTGTTATCTACTCTCTTGTGCAAGACCTGCTATGGGTGCTCCAAGATGACTTATTATCGTTGAACTTATAACCTTTATGACTCCCAGGGTGACTTCTTGGGGTTGTAAATATTAATGTGTTGGTCTAAGCAGGAAAGGTAAGAACAAAAATCAGCATCTCCACCACCAAATATTACTACTACTAGATAATAAGAATCAAAAAGCCATAAAATGATATTGAAAAGTACTAAACATGGGGGCATCGTGTTTATGTTTGTTGAACCTGACCACTGCCAGAATAGAAATGGGCGCATCAAATAGCACGCATACGTGCTATGAGTGTGTGTGTGTGTGTGTGTGAAGGGACTGGTGTCCAACCAAAATTTCTATTTCTCAATGGATGGCCATTCTCAAGAATGGCCTCATTATACCACGCTATGATAAAGCTTTCTGTTCCTGTTACTGCAAAGCGACATAGCCAGTTTGAACTTTTTAAGTATGCCACAATCATCCATCTTCCCAGCCATCCTCCATAATATAAAAAATCAACAAACCCCTTAAAAATACAAAATCATTTAACAAGAAAATTATTTTTAAATTCATAACAGCTTCTTCCTATTTTCTGATAACACTATGCAAACAATATACATATATGTAAAGAATTCGAATGCATTAGCAGCAACTTAAATTAGTTGTATGAGTCCTTTTATTCACATGTTTCCTATTTGCTTTTTGCATTTTTTATACAAAGTTAAAAAGCAAAAAAAAAAAAAAAACAAGGGACAAGTAACAAAAAGTAAAAGCACCAATCAGAGCCCAAACTTTTAGTCTTTTACAGCATCATAATCATCACATACATAGAAAGACAAATATGCAGCAATCCAAGTAGAGCTCGTGGATGTACATGGGCATACACACATCCAAAGATGTAAATAGGTGGGCTTGGTCTAACAGGTAAAGCTTTAGGTAAAGATCCCAGAGAAAGAAAAAGCTGTTCTTGATTGGGAAAATGAAAAATAACTTGGTATATCATACCACAGAAAAACGTGGGAAATTCTATAATAAGGGTAATCACAATTAAGGAGCTTATATCCAAGATATTATACCGTTTCTTCTTCACAACACCATGGCACAAGCCTATAACACTGCTTTTTATTTTTATATTTTTCTAAAAAATAGGATTCCATGTATACAGTTAAACAGCACTGAATCTATATATGACTTTGCATTTCTTCTACTGTCAAAACAACATTCACCATTTCACTTCTCCCTGAAAATAAACAGTAATCTAGCAAAGTGGTCCTTTCTTTAATCTCTAGGGTGTGTTATATTCTCACCTACCACTCGAAGTCTTATGCTTTAATCAAAACAGTCTTTGCATGTAAAGCATTTGAAATATCTGAAAGTCTAATCTTCACACAGAGATGGAATTCCTTTGGCCTCCAAATTCCTAAGGCCACTATTCTAATGTGAATTTGTTGAATTCAGGCTTTAGAAGAAGGCAGTTTAATCATCAGTATCTCTGAAGGCCTCAAAATCTTAGGCACTATTTTTGGTACCCACATCTTGATGATATTCTCAGAGAATACTTAATTGCATGGTTCTCCTTTTCCTCTTCTTTCTTGCCATGTCATAATTTCCTACAGCCTGTATAAACTCCTTTCCAATAATCTTGAATGTTAAACTACTAAACTGGCACATACTTTCCCATCAAATCCATCACCAAACTAAACACCCTTCAGTCCATGGACCTCATGACTTCTCAATCATTTGATTCATAATCCTTACTAGTTTATGAATTCCTATCGGATAGCATATTTATATACAACATAAAGTGCTACAGAAGCAGAATTTGAATAGAACAATAGAAGAAATAATTATATGAAAGTTTCCCTATTTCATCTGACAAGTAATCCATCGAATAAGATTAATTCAAGTCATAAATTCATAATATTTGACAATGAACCAAACAAAAAGAAAATTGAGCCATCCCTCAGTCATATGATAGTAATAAAAGTAATAATGTCCGCAAGATATTATGGTGTAGACCTCAATAATTAGTGTTCATAAAATGATCCGTAATGCATACTAGGCTTTAGATTTCTATAAGGTAACATAATCATAAACAAACCAAGAAAAATATGTTTGAGAAAGTTACCCCAAAGCACAACATGTTTAGCAATAACGCAATAGTGTTATGCTAAAGAAGAAATATAACTCTCTAGTTATTGCAGCAATGTAAATATAAGGAACTTGGAAGAGAATAAGCTTAACAATGGTGGCCTACTCAGAACTAAAATTCAACAGGCGCAGAGTCTCTTAACAAGCAGTAACGTATATAGTGCTCAAAACACCAATCATAAGCTATAATGATGAAAAAAAGAGTATGCCTCAGTTAAAGATAAGAGACTCGTAATATATCATTCCTAGCAAAAATTACAAGACAACTTTACAAGAAAACCAAAAGCTTAACACACCCAAGCATTTGGCTCAATGGTTGCTGCATGAGCAGGTTCCAAGCCCCCTTCCCCAAATCAATAAAACAATCGCCTGATAGTACAGCTAGACGTAAATCCTCAATTGAAACCGATTCGAAATAAAAACACAAATCTTTTAAGCAATCAGAAAGCCATAAGCATCGAGACCTTACATATGCTACAACTCACTAAACATAAATAAAGAAAAAGGCATAATAAAAACAATTCTAAGGAAAATAAATTAACTAATAGTAGTAAAATTGATTATCCACGTAGTATAACTTATCCTACACAAAGATACCTGAGCTCAACTATACACATCCATTACCTGCAGAAGCAAAACCTTGAAATCACTTGGAAACCAAAAGGATTTCTGGCTTCTTAACCTTGCTAGGTGTGTTAGTATTCGAAGACCCGTTTGCCGCAGCCGTAGCAGCTGCCTTTGCTGCTGCTCTTGCGCTCTTATCAAGCCTAATCAGACTCTGCAACGCCAAGATCGCTTGTGGCGCCAAATCATGAGACGCCCTCGCGTATAGACACCTAATCGCAACCGAGGCAGCGTCCTTTACATCTTGCGAATTCGAAGGACCAAACAAACAATGCCCTAAAATTGTAACCACCGGCCTCAAGAGCTCCCAAGGTAGCGGGATCCTCACTCCCTTTTTTTCCAAATTCTCAGCATCTTCTATGTTAATCCCCAAATTGTCCATCTCCACCACCACATCCTTAATCACGTCATCTTCCACGTTCACGTCCACGTCATCATCGTCGCGGTTTTCCGTTCCGTTAATAAACCTCGAACCCTCCGCAAAAAAGAGGTCATGTCCGTTACTGTTTCCGTGGTGATCGTGATCATCCCCGTAAAATTTTGTCCTGCAAGGACAATCTTGCCCCGCCCAAGCGGCGGCGAATTTGCAAAATTCCAGCTTAGACCAAGCCGGCATTTGAGAAACTTGTTTGTAATAGCAATCAAGCGCGGTTCCAACGATGATGGCTCGCTTAGTTGACTTAACGGCTAAATGTGGCTCGAGCGGCGGTGATAAAACGCCGACGGATTGTCTAGATCTGTCATGAACGGGTTTGTTACGAGGAGTGTGGTACAGAGAGGGCTGAGAGAGGTCAGGAATTTGGACGAGGATAGGTTTTCCGGAACGGGACTTGGCTTCGGAAGAGTAAACAGCCAGGAGAACGGCTTCAAAGCCGGCGAGGGAAGGTAGCGAAGAGGAATCCGAGGAGTGGATACGGGAAAGGTAGATGCCGGAGAGGAGAGGAAGGAAAGAAAGGACGAGGAGGCGGAGATGAGCATCAGAGGACTGGAAAGTTTCGTAGAGCCATTGGCATAGAGGGTCAGAGCCAGAGCCAGAGGAAGGAGAGGAAAGGGCAGAGGAAATTAACGTGTAAGCGGCGGGTGAGGACAGGAGAGAAAGAGCGGGGCGGTCGGAATCGGCTAAGGAGGAAAGTGTGATTCCATCGGATGGGAGGAGATAGGAGAGAGAAAGGATGCGGGAACGTTGTTTGGAGACGGATTCCCACCAGGAGTGCATGGGATCGTTGTCGGTGGTGGTGTAGGGAAGAGGGTGGTGGGCAGCAGAGGATGAGGTGGAGGAGGACGAGGAGGAGGGGGATTTTGTGGAAGGGTTCTTGGGGAAGTCCATAGCGGAGTTGGAGGAGATGTGACTAGAGTGGGATTTTGCGGCGCGTATCTAGATTTGGGGATTTGGGAACCCGGCAGTATCGGGTCTGGGCTGGGCTTGGCTGCCTACAGGGACTCGTTTAAAATGATAATTCCCTCTTTACTTAGGCACTATTTAAAAAAATTTTAATGAAAATTTTATATTGACTTAATCTTATTAGAATTTATGTGTACATCTTATTAAAGATATAATAAATTTAATTATATTGTATCAAAAATATAATAAAATTAAAAAAAGTTACTAAAGCTTTGTCAATTGGAAATAATTTTTTGTAGTGAACATTTGTTATGTAACATAATAGAATAATAAGTTTTTAATTTTAATTTATAAAAAAACTCTTAATTATAACAATATAAATTCAACATATAAAAATTTTGCATAAACGGCATTGTAATATTAACAATATGTGCATACTTTTTTTTTTTTTATAAAACTTAAGCCAATATATGGAAAAGGTGCAATTTGATGATGAGTACTAACGTGCCAGATTGCCACCTACTAAGATAATCCTAATAATTTAGGTATACGCTTGAATCATAAATTATAGTGCCAACTACTTGTACAAACAAATCAATAACAACAACAACAAAATGAAGAATAATTAAGGCATGCACTGTTCATCATTATCCACTGTTCGTCCTTCAATTTATAACCTTGTTTTTCATGTTAACACACAATTTTTAAAGACAAAGTTCCAAAGTAAATGATGCTCTTAGAGCTTGTTTCTTATATAATTAAGATAAGTAGGCTTGGTGAGGATAAATCATTTACGTTGGAGCTTATTTAACTCGACTTAGTTTTTTTTTTTCTTCTTCTTTAATGCTACGCATACTAATCTTTTTGTTTATATAAAATATCACAGTACGAGAATTAATAAGAGATTTGTCATTTTGAGGAGAGTTAATCATCCTTTTTTTCCATGAATATTACCAGATGGTTCCTGAATCCTGCTGATGCTTTAGTTCGCACTGTCGGCTTTATTATTTGAGAAATTCCATGAAATGAATGGAGAATTTGGAACTCGCGGCTCCAGCAACCATTGACAACTGATACTGCATCAGTAGAATCTGTGTATAATCAATGAGATCAGAGGTTGCTCAGAATTACTAATTAGTAGTATGTGTCAGCAAACTCAATCCAGAAGAAAGAATTTTGAACTATTATTGGGGGGAACTCATCAGCAAAACGAACAATAAAATTTCCAGTTTTCTTGCCAGACTTTCCTTCCACCAGAACATAACTCGATTATCTACGTTAACATATCATTCATTGCTTTACAACCCAAGAGCACCGAGGGGTGTCTTCCCTTGGCCAGCCTCGAAGTAGAAAATCAACATGGCCAACATGGCAATTCTAGCATGCTTAATCTCAGCAAGCTTGAGTCTCTCAAGCTTGTCGTAATCAGGAACGTAAACACCATTCTGGATGGTTCCCGCAAGGCCTAATGGGTCAAAGAACTTGCCTCCTGGGTAGCCTTGCTCCCGTGTGGCGTTGGCGAAGTTCTCAGCGGTCTTGGACCATGGAGTGGCCCATTCTACCGATTGAGATTGTGGGTTGAAGAAGTCTACCCAGCGCTTGCTTTCGACCCAACCCATAAGGAGGAGCTGGGTACCCAGGAGTGAGCCGAAGGAGAATGGGGCTATTGTACCTGGGTCTGCTCCGGCCTCGAACCATGGAATGCCACTCCAGGCCTGGCCTACGAAGATGCCAACAACAGCGGCCATGGCCCAGCGACCGTGGATCAGCTCAGCTTCTCTGTACCATTTAAGGAATGCTGGATCCTTGCCTAGACCTAGTGGGTCGAATCTATAGTCTCCAGGAAGCCTGCAGTTTAAAACGGAGAAAATGAAAATTAGCGGCGAAGTACAATTACTGAAACATGGAAAAAAGAAGGTTCAGGAAGAGGGAACACATACGATCCATCGAGCCACTCAGGGTCAATGAAGAACACCAGGGATCCAAGACTTTTTAGGTGCAGCAGCAGCTACAACAACCAACTTCCTACTTCCAGCAACAGGGGTTGCCACTCTAGTTCCAATGCTAGCACCCAACAGGGCCTGACTCCTCTTTCCTCCACACAGAAATGAAGACCCCAAGCCATTTAGTACAGCCCCGGATGTTGCAGCCATTCTTCTTTGTTTCTCTAAGTTCTAACTCTCTCTCTCTTCGCTCGAACTATATGACGGTATGGCGCTCGAGCCTTTGGTAGAAATGGACAGTTGATCTTTTTTTGATGAGTATGTGAGTTGTGAGAGAATCAAACGAAGGATTTGTAGAGAGCCATGTGGGATAATGAAATCTAGAGAGGATATCTAAGTAAATAAGGACGATAGATTTCGGACCAATGGGGAGTTAAGGTCCATCCACATCTCCGCGTTGCTCCCAACCACGTGTACCTTTTCTTTGCCTCATTTTTTGGTCCTTTGGTTTGGTACAGCCAACAATATCAAATGATCCACGGATGTGTTTCTTCATTGTAACATAGGAGTTCTTTTGTGCTATAAGCTTTTAATTCAATCACATTAATAATAATAAAATTAAATAATAAATTAAATATATAAAATATAATAATTTAATATAATTCGATCCAATCAATTTATATTTATAAATAAAAAATAAAATTTATTAGTTATAAAAAATTATAAATATATATAAAATCATTAATTTTATTCAACAATCAATACTCATAAGATATTTTTAATCAGTTTTAATCCTATGAAGTATTTTTAACTTAAACAAACACAAACTCAAACTCTTGTGTACCATTTTAACATAATCAAATATATATTCATATATTTCTATGTATCATATTTATATAAATCCTTTCAGTCTTCTCTAGTTCACTCACAAACAAACATACACACTTATAAGACGTAAAGCCCTAATACTTCTATTTTACAAAATCTTGTAATTCTGTTACATTTTTTTTTATACCTAATCCTGTAAAGACTTTACATATTTATAACCATACAAATTTATCCATTAATAATCCATTTCCTCTTAAAATTCTTTTCTTATAAATCAAATTTATCTATTAAATTTTTTTTTAATTTTTCTCTTGTAAATTAAATTTACATATTAAAAAATATTTTTCTCTTAAAATTCTTATTTCACAAATTTTCTTATCCACAAATAATATCTAATAAATATTAAGTAAATCTCTGATAAATCTTAAATAAATTTTTTATAAGATTCGAATAATTATTCTCAAGAACCTCTTATACCGTTCAATTAGCGATTCAACTATAATTCAACATCCGCTTTTCGTTATCTTTTCTTGGTTGTTTTGAATTCAGGAAGTCTTTGGTCTTCTGGTTCCCTGTCATATTTTAAACGCAACTTGACTGTTTGTTTAATCCTACAATTCTCTAAATTATCTTTCTCATAGGCTGGTTTTTCTCAAAGTGTCGATGCCACTTCAAGTCTCCAACAACGAATGTATGGATGAGTGGCAAGTGAATCTCCAAGTGAAAACTGTGGAAGAAATTAAAGAACATGGTGGATTTTATTTACTTAGGGAATCGAATGTGTGTTAATTGATTACCAGTCAAAACAATTTTCCTGTTCAAAGGTGCCAAACCAAACCACCGACTCTAATTCAATTTTAACTCCAGGATCCTCCCCTTTGTCTCATCAAAGCAATTAGCAGCTATTGAAAATATATCTATCTACTCCCCTGAATCACCTAAATCTCAATGGAGAGCCCCATCTCACCGCTAGCATTTGTGATGCTCATGCTCCAGATTTCATTCTTCTGATTTTTCTTCGCTTGATGATTCATTTATAAAACAAAAGAAAAATTACAGTCTCATAAAATAATGTTTTAATTTGATTTTAAGGATTAATATTTTTCAAATTGTTTTTATTTTATTTTACATATATTACTAATCCAAATATTTTAAAAAATTTTAATAAAATATCAATAATCAATATTAATAATAATAAAAAAAAAAAAACTATGGCGGGAGAGTATTTAATGCTTAGATTTTTTCCACTACAATTTTCTTTTTTGACACGTGTCAAAATGTAGAATTGAACCTTCTATGGTCACCCGATCCCAGCCTATAATTTCCTTATCCATATTAAGCCACCAATACGAATGAATTCCTTGAAAAACGAGCATGGCCACGCTCTCCCTCCTCTTTCCCCAACCACCAATTCCGTCCTCATAAACTTTAGTATGGCTGCTCATCTCTTCTTCTTCGCCTCTCTTGAAGCTCGCTCCTTTATCTTCCCCTGCTGCAACCAATCGCTCTTCTGCCGCTTCCCCTTCCCTCCATTACCTTTTCACACGCTTCGACTCTCTGCTGTCAACCCCAAATTCAGTCCCAAGTTCGTCTCCAAATCCTCATTTTCCAATTCGGATTCCGTTTCTGGTGATTTAGATATCCTTTCCACAACCGGTACGCCCTTAAAAAGCTCTGATTCCTTCTGTTTGGTTACTTTCGAATGATCGAATCCACTGTTTTTTCTATCAACTCTGATGAAGAATAACATAATCCACGAATAGAATGCATAACTCTGCTTTTTTTGTTGTTTGAAAATTGAAAGTGCGCTTTATTTTATTAATTTCTTACTTGAATTAAATATATGGCTGTTGCTATTTTTTTTCCTTATAATTGTGAGCATTGATGAATGGGCAGAGTGTTCTGATGGCAGCATCATCTTCCGGTTTGGGGATGAGAGGGAAATGGAAATAAATAAAGCCGACCAATCTCAAGCAACCAATGAAAGTGCTAAGATTGTTGTCAAAGTTGGTGACCAAGATTTGGGCAAAGAAGACATAAGCAGTATTAATGAGGTTGATGTTTCTGATGGAGAGCCTGAAGCAGCAGAGCCTGTCAGCAAGAAAGTTGGCCATAGTTTGAAAGTTAAATCTCAACCTAAGAGAAAATCTAGACGTAATACAACCAAACTAGTTGACGTTGTTGGAGAGAAAGTTGCCTCTGTTATTATAGGTAATGACACAGAGCTTGAAAAAAAATCAGTTGATCCTTCTAAGAATATACATCCTAAAGACGGTTATGTTGAGCTTGATAATGTTGTTAAAGTACAACATGATAATGCCCCCGAGGGAAATGTTGAGAGTATTCGTAAAACCGAGGGTACTACTAATTTGAATATGGTGTTAAAAGAGGATATAGTTCCTGATTTAAAAAGGGTTTCTCCTCCATTGGCAGCTTCTGCTGTTGAAAGTGAAATTCTTACTCAATTAGCTTCTTCAGAGTCAGGTTCCAAAATTGAAGTGCCCCACGGTGTTAAGTTGCAGGAAGAAAATAGTGATTCTTCTGAGGGACATTGTGAGAATTTTGGTAAAATTCAAGGTAATGCATTGAATATGGTGTTAAAGATGAATTTAGCTCCTGAAATAGAGAAGGTTTCTCCTCCATTGGCAGCTTCTGCTGTTGAAAGTGAAACTACTACTGAATTAGCTTCTTTAGAGTCTGGTTTTGAAAGTGACGTGCCCCACGGTGTTAAATCCCAGGAAGACAATAGTGGTGCTTCTGATGGAAATGGTAAGAGTGTTGATAAAATTGAGGATGCTACTTTGAATATGGAGTCTAAGATGGATTTAGCAGTAGAAGAGGTTCGTGCTCAAGTGGCAGCTTCTGAAAGAGAAATCACAACTCAATCTACTTCTTTAGGGGCCTGCTCCAATATTGAAGTGCCTCATAGTCTTAAGTTCCAGGAAAGAGGCAAGGATAATGCTGGTAAAGAAGTTGCTCATCTATCTATGCCTTCCAAAGAACATAGCGAGGAACTTAGCATAAATGCATCAAAAATGTTAGTGATAATTGAGGATGCCAGTGTCGGTGATGTTAGTGAAGTTAAGCTGAACTCCACTTTATCTGAGGTTGAGTCAACTCTCAATGAGGCAACAGTCCACAAGACAGTGGATGAATCTGTTGATAATGACTTATTGAAGAGCTCAAAATTGGTTAGTTCTCTGTTTTTGTTTATTTGAGCAGTTACCACATGTTCCTTTGGGGTATTTATATTCGAGTATAGACATCCTAATCAACATTGTAGTAAATGTAATACTACAAATAATGAAAAAATTAATGATAAGATATCTAATGGTTTTCCCTCATATTGTGATTCAAATAATTTTACATAGAAAGTAATCTTCAACAATTATCCTTATTGCCTTTAGATGCCATCCAATTTTTTAAGACTTAAGGCCTAAGTAATGTCAAGTAAGAATTCTGTTTCTCTGCAACTAACCCAAGGTTAACAAAGACAAATATTGATAACCTTGTAGCATTAATCTAAATATTCTGGCTGTTTAGATGCTATAGACGTGCCTGCAAAGCTATAGAAATGGATTGTAAATTAGGATTTGACCATCTAAAGATGAATTACAATCTAAGGCTTTAGGCATGTTTTGGGTTTAATTTTCTGGCTATATGTCTTTTAAGTTGTGGAATTCTCATGAGCAGGACAAGTTCTTGGTAATATATTTTCTATTCTTCAGAGTTTTAAATTTTATTAAGTCGCAGAAACCTAGAACCAGCTTAAAGAATATTGATGTGGATTAAATATGGTTCCTTTCTCCTAATTGTCAAGTGCTGCCTGCCAATGCATGTCAGCAGCTATTGTCTGTGTCATACTTTATTTTGAAGCCAAATGCATTATCAATGCGAAAAACTCATTATAGGATCTAAATGTATGTCTCAAATTAAAGGACCTGAAGTTCTTTTGTATATGTGTTGTTTGTAGTCAGATGAGGGTGTGCCTTTCTCATATTTCAAAGAAGAGATAACTGAGGTTGATGCACAAAGTGGTAATAAAGTCAGAGCACCAATGCTTAAAGGTGTAGAGTTACAGTCAGGTGGTACAACTTTGGAAAGGTACACTGCTCTATTGCTTAATGAATATTCACACATGAGCAACAAGTTTATCCATCTCCCTTATGTTACCATACTTTGTGCAAAGAGGTTTCTGTCTATTGTAATTCTTATTCACAAAATTTTATGTGAAAGGTCAAACAGCTGGTTGAAAAGTTTTCTCCTCTTGTCTGTTCCATTGGTGTTGTCCTCATTTTGATTTTGCTTAAAATACTTGATTGATGTTTCACGTTCTTTTGGAAAATGTGAGGAAACAACAATCATTATTTCCCCTCCCCAAAAAAGGGCCAGAGGGTTTTGGGTAGGATGGGGGAGGGACTGCCAAACTACTAAACTTTGTATAGAAGTTACTAACATGCCAGACCAAAGATGATAACCAGGGCCAGCATCTGGATTACTTCTTGAGGAGTTCTCTTCCATCCTCATGTTTGTTTATATAAATGTGTGCAAACAGGGAGGAAGTCTCAACAGCAGGATTTTTCTTATATTCTGGTGCCGCTCTATTGCCAAATCCCAAAAAGGTACTTTACGATGACCATAAATTTACTTTCTGTGTTAATTGTTTTAATTTTCCAGAAAAGTTGTATTTTCTGTAATATTTTGGGAATTGTTCCCAAATTAGACAATGCAAAATAAAAATTCTCTGTTACTTAAATTTACAATCAGGTTTTGTCTAGTTTGACATTTTAATATTATTGATAAAATCTCTACCATGTTAGTGAGAGTAACTTTCTTAACTTTGAATGTAACAATGTTTCCTTTGAAAAATTGAATTCTGAAAGCCGTTGGTAGCCTGAACACTTTGATGCATGTTTGATTTGAGTTTGAAAATACTGTGTGAGTAATTCAAAAAGTAATAATTCCAGGCCTTCGCAGGTGGAGAGAATGCTTATTTTATTGCTTGCCAGAAGTGGCTCGGTGTTGCTGATGGAGTTGGTCATTGGTCACTTGAAGGTATTATTCATTTTAGTTTTCGCCTTTCTTTGTTTTCACTATGACTAATTCTTTGAATGGCATGAGTTTATGTTGCATTTTTGTCCTTGCATTTGCAAACTAGGAAAGAATTGCTTGGATATATAAAATTTATATTAAATATATGTTGAATCTCAGTCAGCATACTGAAACACGGAATAAGTGTCATCCTAGGTTTTGCAATGTCTAAACTGAATTATTTGTTTGCTATCTTGTTCTTCAGGGATGAGTGTTGGACTATATGCAAAAGAACTTATGGAAAACTGTGAAAAAATTGTGTCTGATAGAAATGGAGTTCCAATAACTGACCCAGAAGAGATCCTTAATAAAGCTGCTGCGAATACTCAATCTTATGGTTCATCTACGGTTTTGGTTGCTTCCTTTGATGATCAGGTATGTTGTCATTTATGATTCAACTTGACATGCGTTTATTATGTGCAAATTGCAAAAAGATGCTTATATTAGTCATTATATCATAGAATCTTTCTCCCCTCCCCCCCTTTCTAACTCGCTCAGTTATTAAATGAAAACTTACAACCCAACCCTAATCACCCAGGCTTACGGACCAACCAACATGACAACCAAATTCTATCAAAATCTAGGATTTATTAATGAGCCTTGAGTCAAGAAACTTAACAAACCTAATTAACTTCACTAGAGGCATGGTAACTTAATCAATATAGAAATAGACTCATTATTAAATATAATTGATTGCTGAAGATCTTGAATAAGCCCTGCAATTTTCTGTAAATTTTCTTTTCTCTGAACTTTTTGTTGTCTAAACGAAGTGCAAGGTTAACCAGTTAATGAACATTTGAATTCTTATTGAGAATCTTATTTGCATGCATGATGATTTCTCCATCAGATTGCTTTCAGGACTTAAGAATATTAATAATAATTTACAAAAAGATTCTTCATATTCAAACGATAGGGTACACTAGTGAGATTGAATCACTTAAATGTAAAAAGAGCAAACAAGTAAAAGTTCTGGTTATCAAAACATGCCTGGACTGAGGATTGATGCTGATTGTTTGGAAGTCAATCTATTTTCTGGGGACAAACAGATTACATTTTCTCAATGATTTCATAGCTTGGTTTTAATCAAGGGGCAAAAAAGAGCTCAGAATGTACTTGGTGCTCCATTTTGTCAATGACAATTTGAATCTGCAGGCTCTCCATGTGGCCAGTATTGGTGATTCAGGCTTCATGGTCATCAGAAACGGCACTGTATTTAAGAGGTCTTCTCGAATGGTTTACGAGTTCAATTTTCCCATACAGATTGAAAGAGGAGATCATCCCTCCGACTTTGTAGAGGTAGAATGCTTTGAATTCCATTTCTGATAAAAGTTACATCTAATTTTCTTATAATTGCATACAAAAGAAGAAAAGACATTTGTAATTCTGCCATCTTTGAAAATCTGATTTGAACAACACAACGTCTTCTTATCAAACATCTGTTGAATTTCTTTCTAGTTGCAAAGTGAAAGGTGAAAGCTTCATTCCCCTCCTCTCGAAAGGGAAAATTTTCAGGTCAAATTTTTTACAAGTGGCTGCTGATTTCTTCCAGGTTTACAGAATTGATTTGAATGAAGGTGATGTGATTATCACTGCAACTGATGGACTTTTTGATAATCTATATGAGCAAGATGTAGCTTCAGTTGTATTCAAATCATTGCAAGAGAATATGAGGCCTCAGGTGCTTATCACTGATGTTTCGTTTCCATTTCCTTTTCCCAATAGTAGTAACATGCAAAATGTAGGTGCATGGAACGACAAAATATGGTGTTATTACATGGTAACCCAACATTTCTTTCCTGGTTCTTGAACTAGATTTGAGCAGCAAATTCAAAATGATATACAATTGCAACAATGACCTTTCTTTTTTACTGTTGTCCACCCAAAATATTGCTGTATAACTTCAATTAATTAATTTGACTATTAAAATGAAATTCTGGTCTCAATCCCAAATAAGTACAGCTAAGTTTTCTAGTACTGACTATGTTTTTATCTTTTTTATGAAAATAAAAGCTGGTGTTTTAATCTTGGTAAAACTTACTTTGTTTTATAGATGCCTTTTCTTTGGTTGTAAGTGTATTTGTATTGCAGGAAATAGCAGAACTCTTGGCAACTAAAGCGCAGGAGGTTGGTCAGTTATCATCTGTTAGGAGCCCATTTGCAGATGAAGCACAGGCAGCTGGGTATGTGGGATATAGGGGAGGCAAGCTTGATGATGTGACTGTTATTGTGTCATTGGTGAAAAGGCGATTCAGCAATCATGTACAGTAAGTTTGGTCTCTCTGCTCTAGTTTAAAATTTAGCAGTATCATGTGAAAATTAACATATTTGTAACAGTCAGTTTGCCCATTTAAGATTCTATCTTGGCATTCTTGTCGTTCCTGTTATTTGAATTAATTTATCAGGAAGAGTGAAAACTATTCATTGACCCCATTCTTGTTGAATCCAGTTTTCTTGGTTCATTTTATTATTACATGTCATTGTGAGAAAGCAGTAGAAGTTATTCAGTTAAACCAAATTCAGTTTATAGCAACCTGTGGGATTGTCCACTCCATATTAGTTGACTAGGATACTTATGTAGTTTTTTTAGCAGTTTGGAGTCTCAAAAGCTTTGGTACTTCAGGGGCTTTGATAAATTATTTAAATTTGAATAATACTTGACGTGTGTACCTGAGGTTTACTGAAAAATAAAATGCACAGGTAGGTGCTGAAGCTCACTGAGTTGTGGTCTGAAGTAAAAGTAAAATTTCAGGCCAACAGAGATGCAGCCCTTCTTCCTTTGCTTAAATAATTAAGAAATTTTTTTTTATGGAACACTATACTGGAAATTATTTTCATGATGACATGCACTTTGTGCAGATGGATTAAACTAAAATCGTGGCGGTAGGAGTCTTCAGTATTAATTATTCTCTTTGAATAAATTTATAATAGACTGCTATTATCTCTGGTCTCTCCATAGCTCCATATCATCTCTGGCTATGGAAGGACGTGCAGGATCCAGTAGCTCAATTTTACCAACAACTAGCAAACTGGTTAGGTAATGAAACAGCATTTTCTGCACATGAATTGTCTCTAACCATATGTATTTTGTTACACAAGACATCCATGCATGTCGGTGTGCCATCTAATATCCATGTGGGTCTTGTGAAGTGATTGCTTCACGATTTTGCATTTTACCATGTGTAGTTGATTACTACCATTGTTAGTGACAGGTCTCCTAACATATCCTTTGTTTCTCTCTAATTGCTTTCCTGTCAAAGGAGCTAAGCCATAGATGGCCATTCCTGTGGGGCGTGGACTGCTATGGATTAATGTCGTCTACTAGCCGTTTGCTGAGAATGCAATTATTGAACATTGGTTGCCCCAGCACCAAGGGGATCAGCACAACTTCTGTAACCCTGGCACCTTCGATCATTGAAATACAGGCATATGGGGACTAACTGCATCTCTGAAGACAGAAAGATAGATATTTGCTTCAGCTGATAACTGAGTTTTTTTTTTTTTTTTTAAGAAATGTTGTTAAACCCGAGAAAAGAGCTTGCTTGCTACCCTGCCTGTAACATGGAGAACAAGTTGTTTGTGAGAAGTGATGTAAGATAATGCTTGGAAACAGCGTCAAATTTAGGGTAAGTTACTTTGTAACTTCGTACGGTTTAATCACATATCGGGATGTCCAGAATCCTTTGATGACCGTATTTGCTTGAAGAATTAATGATCATTACTTGATCATGATATATTTCAGCTGGAAATTTATTGTAGTATAACCAGTTGAAAATGGCAAATAATAACACAGATTAAGGGACAGATGATTTTAGGTATATATATATATATATATATATATATATATATATATATATATATATAATCGGGAATGGAGTTTAGTCCAAATACTTCATCCATCTCTCTTAAAAAACGAATTCTTGTAATGATGGTATTCGATCTCAACATTTATAAATTTTCTTTCATATTTCTCTTTGGGCCATGATCTCCTTTGTAAAAAGAAAAATTGAAAACGCATTTACCTTGAGATCAAGTTTAAGCTAAATGCTCTGCATTTGTGATGATGCTTTATGGCTGCCTTTAGACTAAACAATTTATTTTGTACTTATTCTAAGAAGGGATAATTTCGTATTTGGATTCCTTCACAGCACAACACAGAATTAGTAATCACATAAAAATTGATTCATAGTCAGTCAAACTAGAAACTTGAAATTAGAAACTGACTATCTATGCAAAGAAATAGTTAGATGAAACGTCTAAAAAATCTTTGTTGCAGGCATAAAAATAGGCATTCAGCCATTGACTCCATTAATGAAAGCTCCGTCTGCTATCAAATTCCTTGCTTTTTAGTTGAATTATTGGGTGTGATTCCAAAATTTGGGAATGATTCTTATAGTGATAGATCTTGACATTTAATTTTGAGGAGCTAATTAAATTATAATTTGATTGAAAGAATATCAAAATACAAGCAAGATGCATTCAAAATTAGTATCAAGGACAATTGATAAGATTGAATCCAAAATCATTTATATCAAGATATGAATTTTTTTATATTGAGTTAATCTTTTGGTGATTTTGAGATTAATTGTTGAGGAAATTAAAAATTAATTTGACTACTTTTAAATTTACATAGTTATGATTTAAACACTTGTGACTAATTTATGGATTTTAAGAGTTTATAATAAATAATGATTGATAAATACAGTAAATAGACAAATAACAATTGAATTTTAACTTCTATTAAATTATAAGACATAAAATTAGATTATGGGATCAAAAATAATAAATTTAACAATTTTAGATTGAGTGCCAATTAAATCTATTTAATATTTATAAGGATTTCTAAAATTTTGGGGCGTGAAATATGATCCGATTATTTAATTAATAAATTTTAAAATAATATTTATTATTATTTATTAAGTATAATAAATAAAAAAAAATTAAATATATTCACAATTTATTTATGGAACTTTCTCTTACAAATTGTTTATGCACTATCAAATAAGAAGTTTTAAATTTTAATAATTGTATTCTAAAAGTTAGAAGCTTTGGGAAGCTGTGTTTTTTTTTTTCTCCATTATCGTTGGTTGGAACAGTAGTATTGCTCATAAATAGACAAGAATTTGATGTGAACAAAAGCACTACCCCACCACCAAACAAAGCCTAATTTGGTGGATGAATGGGGGAATTCATAGATGATGTTCCCAGCAAAATTATGACAACGCTGGAAGAGAATCATCGACAAAATTCCAAATTTAACTGGGTTTGAAGACCACTTCTGGGATTTGTTTGACTAAAATGATAATATCCCATCATTACCTGATATAAATTGCTGCACTCTTTGTAACTGAAATTTTGTTTTTTTGGATTTTTTTTAAAGGTGTGAAAAATTTTAAAAAATCAAAAATTGATTCCAAATTATAAATTTTGATTTTGTCCAAATTAATTTTTTTATTCTATTCATATCACTAATTACGTACATTATTGAAAAAAATTAAATTTAAACTCTTTTAAATTCGTAATTTTTAAATGTTAATTTTAATAATATATCAATTAATTTAAAAGATAGTTAATAATTTAGATATATTAAGTTTAAATCAAATTTAAGATAAAAATGTAAAAAATTAAAAGAAATCAAACTAAATTATATATTTTTGTTAATTTTTATAAAATAAAAATAATTATTTTATATTTAAATATATTTAAAATCTTATTAAAATAATATATAAAGAATAAAAAATTAAATTTTAAAAATTGATAATTGAACCAAACTAAATTAGTAAATATTGATTTGAATCAAATTTATTACATGAAAAAATTAATTCGAATTCAAATCAAATTTTAAAAATTTATAATATTATTCATTATCCAAAAATTTTAAATCAAATTCGATTTAATGTAAACCATTATCAGCAAACATCTTCAGGGAATCGGTTCCCATTGCTTTAAAACAAGTCCAATGAATGGTGATTAATATTGGTGTGGGTCCCCTTCAAGCATGCCCTGCAAGCATCTGGAATCATACCTTCCGGTTAGCATGCAGGCCTAATGCCACAGCCCACTGGCCGAAAGGCGAAAAGGAAAGGGGAAGGTCTGTTTCATCATATTTTGCAACAAGAAAAAGCATATTTCATCGCCAAAAGTGGAAGAGAATCTGTGGAGAAATGGTATAAAGCTTATTGATTTTCGTGTTTTATTTTCATTCCAATTGTGTGAGTAGATTCAAGTTTTCATGTGATTCTAATAGTTTTGTGGAAGAAGGATTGATAAAATTTTGACAATGGTCACTGAATTTTAACTAAAATTTCATTTGGATAACCAAACTTTAATTTATTTCAATTAAGCCATTAAACTTTGTATATTATACCAAATTCAGTCATCCTAATAGATTTTATCTAAAAGATTGATAACAGAATGACATGATTAAAACGTAAGCTGTCATATAAATTACCACACCAACATGTTTTAGACAAAAAAAATAAACGAACATGGGAGCCCCATTATCAAATTATGGGATCACAACAGAAAAAGGGTATGAAATTTTGAAATACTTAATGTAAAAAATCAATATGGCAAGTTAGTGTAATGATGTATGGCAAGGCAAAGGCACAGCTCATTGGGTTTCCACTAAAACTTTTGAAACACCATGCCAAAACTTTTGGAAATTGGAGCAACATAGTTTAGTTACATGCATATGTCTATGGACCCCATTATATAAATTAAGCAAATCATTCCATGGAAATTAAACAATGGTAGTTGATTTGATTTGATTTATGTTTTTCACAATCAATTTTTATTTTTTTTATTTAAAAAATAATTTTTAATGATGAAAATTGAATCGATTATAATATTTTGAAATTATCGAATACATATTAATACATTTATTTAATTACAAATATACATCTTATTATAATTTAAGAGATTGAATAATCTATTTAACTCTAATTTTTTTTACCAAAAAAAAAAAAAAAAAAGATAACAGTCCGACAGCTTGGATTTAGAGCTTCAGTTTCGGCATCAATTTGCTACCGTGACTTGGTATGTTGAACTTAGAAACGACAAAGAAAGCCCATTCATCAGCAATCCACTTAAAGCTAAGCTTTAAATAGATAATGAAAAAAAAGGGGAAAGTAGAATTTTGTCACTCCACCAAGAGTTAATATTGAATTTTTATTATTATATTTTAATTTCGTTAAAATTTGTCATTGTAATTATTTTGTTGAAATTTTTACTGTACTTTCAATTTCATTAAATATTTTAAAAAATAATGAAACTGAAATAGTAGTATTAATATTTCACGAAATAATTTTGTTAATTCAAATGGTAAATTTTATTATTGTATTTTCATTTTTGTTGATTTTGAAAAAACCAATGAAATTTGAATAATTTGCATAATATTTTAATAATGAAAATGAAAAAATTAATAACATTGAAAGTATAATGGTAAAATTCAATGAAATTATAGGACAATAGCAAATTTTAATATTAACCTATAATAGAATGGTTAAATTCACCTTTATTAAAAAATTGATCCTCATACCTTTTTTTTTTCATGGATGTGTCCTTAACATAGGTAATATTTTTTATTTTATTTTTGCTTAATAAATGTAATTGATAAATATAATAACAAATTTTTTGTTTTAATTTTTTTATTAAATTATTAGTTAAACAAACAAATTAATTAACTGAGCTATATATAATTAAATAAATTTAAATATAAACTTTGATCAAATTTGCATACACTATGATTTGAATATGAAACGTTAAGATTTCAAAATTTTCTCTTTATCAAATTACATTTAGTTTGTTTGAAAATTTCATTAAAAGAAAAATGTTAGTAATGGCCAAATGTTCTTTCCTTTAACCTTTACTACCGTTTTGTACAAAATCCTAGGTTAGGTGAAAGAAACCAAAAAGTAAATGAAAAATGTTGAAGAAAATTATGTATTTTTTAATATACATTTGAAAAACAATAAATTTTTAAGAGTATTTATTCAATCAGTTTGATTAATTTTGAATTAAATTATTTAAAATTAAATTAATCAAATTATTTTATTTTATTTTCATTAATCGAAACTGTATTTTTTAATTTAAAAAATTAACTTATCAAAATTAATTCGATCAGTTTGATTAATTTTTTGGTTAACTAAATGATAAAATATATTAAGTTAAATTATATTTCTAATTTCTTATATTTAAAACAAACTAAATAATATCATCTAACAAAAATATTTAAATATCAAAATATTAAATTAAAAACTTTAATAACTTGAATTTAAATAAATAATTTTATATATAGATTTTATTATATTTTAGTTAATTTGATTTTCAAATTAAATTAATTAGAAATCAAAATTATTTTAAAATTATTTTTTATAATCAATTAAAATTAATTATTTACCAACCATTAATCAAATTTTGATCATCCTTTGTGCCCTTTTTGCCATTTCTCACTCTCATGGAAATCATAGAATTACTAACATAAATATTCAATTCAAATACACTTTTCTAGAATTCTCTGTACCCAAACAATTGCTGCATGTGATGTGAGAGTGTTTTGTTCTCATCTTCTCAATTTCCTTTTTTTTTTTTTTTTTAATTCCTTAGGCAAACAATTTTGTAAATTTTATTCTTCGGAAAAACATCTCAACTAAGGCCATGTTCGTTAAGGGTGCCCAGTCTGCACTGAAAGGGTTGGGACGAAAACGACAAAGACAAACTTGACTTAAGAATTATTTTGTTCATTAAACTAAAGAGATACTAATTATGGTTTATCTATTTATATTCTATACCAATAATCAATGGGCATTAATTTTAACTATTCATATTTTTATTTTTAAAATTATCAAAAATTAAATTTTAATTACAAAAATTACAATATTAAATTTTAATTATTAAAATTTAATTTTAATTAACAAATCATACGATATCAATATCAAATATTTAGTTTAGCTATTTATTAACTTTCCTTGGCCTGAGTAATATTCAAGACTATTTTCTCTATTAAATTTTCTTGTAGATAAAAAATTAAAAATACTCCTTTTGTTTTATTTTTTTATCTATCTTTCTTTTTTAGAATGCTTCAAAATTATACCTTTTTTATATTTAAAATTCTTATTTTTTATATTTTAAAATTATTTTTTATGATTTTTTATTTTTTAACATTAAAAATTATAAAATTTTAATTTTATAAAAATTTAAATTTTAATATTAAATATATTAAAATTAAAAATTTTTTTAACTTCATAAAAATGATAAATATTTTAAAATAAAAAAATAAAAAAATAATTTATTTTTAAATTCACCAACCTTCCTTTTTAAAAAAATACCTACTCAGCTAGTACAAATCTTATTATCATAATTTAAAAAAACAAAAAAGTACTTTCTCCGTATCCATCCTTATCATATTTTATTTTCATTTAAAAAATATGTTACTACTAAATAGATAGAAAAATAAAATACGAATTTCAAATTTCAAAAATAATTTTTTTTATATAAGGTAAGAAACTTGGATCATGGGAACTATGACACGTACACCATTTCCCTCCTCATCGCACCGATTACTGTGCCCACATGCAACTTTCCCCCTCTCTGTCATCCTTTTCAAAACCCAACTCTTTCACTCCCACTCTTCTCCCAATAAATCCCCCCACAGGCCACCATTACCAAAAACCTCCCATTTTCATCCCCTTCCCAAAACAGCCATAACCCACTTTTTTTTTTTGGTCTCTTCTGGTTCATCTACATACAATGGCAGCACCAAAATTCTCTCTTGCTTTTACACTTACAATTCTCTCTATATGGACCGTTGATGCTGCCCACCACCACGCGTCGGCGCCATCACCTTCCTCATCCTCTGTGGACTGCTCGTCCCTCATCTTGAACATGGCGGATTGTCTGTCCTTTGTGTCGAGTGGGAGTGAGGTGTCGAAGCCAGAAGGAACATGTTGTTCTGGCTTGAAAAGTGTGCTGAAAGCTGACCCCGAATGTTTGTGTGAGGCTTTTAAAAGCAGTGCTTCTCTGGGTGTTACTCTCAATGTCACCAAGGCCTTGACTTTGCCTGCTGTTTGCAAAGTCTCTGCTCCTTCTGCCACTAACTGCGCAAGTGAGTGACTTAGCTTTTCTTTCTTTTCCTTGCCTAACTTTTTCTTTTTCTTTTGGTTTCAAACACGTTATGGTGGAAAATGTGGTTAACTTTTTGTTCAAGATTTTGTTTGGGAAAGAAGTTTTCAATTGCATGGGGGTTTAAAGGGGTATGTTTTACATCTTGTTTTATAACATAACTCGTGAAATCTTCACCAAAATTGTAACTTTGTTGGGTGTATGATTTGCATAACTATTAAGATAAAAGACAGAGCCCCTATTGGTTATTGAGGGTAAACATGTGCCAATCTCATGGCCAAAATTTCTCTCCTTTGTCATTTGTTGTGAATTTTCCTTCTAGGCAAATGGTATATTTGAGTTTTTTGTATTAGTAATGATTTTTTTTTTCTTCATTTCCATTTGGAAAAGAAAGAAAAAAGAACAGATTTTGGGTTTTAGAACTGATGACTAATAATGTGCTTTTTTTTTTTGGCAGTATCGCTCACTCCTGCTGGTGCGCCAGGTATGTTATGATAAATCTGATCCTTATCTTGACAGAGATATCCTGGCTGTTGTTTCTCTCTTTGTTTGAATTTTTTAATGTCATTAATCCTCACAAAATGACAGATCCAACTTCAATCGTAATTTTAAAAATAAATCTCCAAAAAAAATTCTAATAGAAGGTGAATCCAGTTTCCCTTCAGAATTCGAATTGTCAACTCACATCTGTCAACCCTTTAATTCAACAGCCTTGTCCTTTCAGGTCCTTTTTGATAACCATCTTTTACTCTAGCATCAATTTGACAACCTTGATTTCCAATTCCCTGTCAAATCTGTAGGTGTGGAACCATCAACAACAGCAGGTGCGCCCACAGCATTCTCAGGAGCAAATGAAGTAGCACCGGCACTAGCTCCTGGTAGCTCAGGCTCTCCAATGCTTTCTGCTTCAATCGGATCTCTTGTCGTGGGCCTCATAATTATGTTAGTCTCTTGTTAAGTGTTAGCGATATTATGAGCGGAGGGAGGGTATCATATGAGACCATTTTGATGTTTAGTTTGTTCATGTGGGATTTACCTTTTGTTTTGATGTGTGGGTGGAGTAGAGAGCATTCATTTTGTGGGTTACAGGAAATTGTGTTTGAACTTTGGACCATCCTTTGGATATATTAGTCTGATATTTAGTAGTATTCTATTTCTGTTTCCCATCAATCTATCATTTCTTTTCTAGTAATGCTTTTAATTTAATTTTCTTCATAATCAAATTTAACTCAAATATAGTTTAAATCTTTATTGCATCTGAACTCATTGGGTGTTTAGACGGCACTGCAGCCTCGGGATGTCACTTTCCATATGCGCTTACCTTGTTGCTACGGGTCTTGCCCACCTGCCATTGTCAACGGCATGTTTGAACCTTCCTTCGGAAAAAAAAAAAAAGTTTTGTTGGCTTTTGGTCCGTTTTAAGTTTTAACATATTCTTCCTTCTGGCCAAAAATCAGAGCAGATTGTGGAGAAGTTGACAGCCTGAGAAATCCGTTTTACATTGAGAGCGTCGATGGTTTATTCAGTTTTAGACTTACACGCCATTGTTGACTCAAATTTAGGCTCGAAATGGAACCACTCTTCTAACCCATTCGCTGTGATACGTCTACTTAAACTGAAAAGGAAAATAGGATTATGCATTTAATTCCAAATAGACAATACTTAATGGTACGCATGGTGGAATAACAAAGGTTGAGTGCCAAATAAAGGTGGTTCTAATTGCATTTTTGGAGCACATGTTAGTACTGCATCTGCCACAATGAGGAATATATTATCCTCCCTTATCATCCCTGGAAAATTTAAGGCATGGAGCTTGTCAACCACAACTGGCCCTGGATTGCTAGAACAAGCTGCAGGAGAAGAATTTTCATAAAACCTGAGATATTACTCGATGATGCATAACACTACTATATGCAGTTTATGCCACTAGCGTCAATGTCAGTAACAGCGGTAAGAATGTAGATTTATAAGAAAGATTTCCTTTAACAAGCTTGATTCCAAAAAAAAAAAAAAGAATGAAAAAAATTGAAGATAGCTTACCTGACATTTCAACGATAAAATGGGTTGGGAATTTTCTTTCAGTTCTTCTAGAACTTCAGATAACCAAAAGGAAGATTCTAATTTGAAAAGGCCGATACCTTTCTTTTACATAGTTGGAGTTGGAAAAGTAAATTGCAGAATCAACTCTAACAATGAAGATGCCAGGAACTTTTGTTGCATCTGGATATTGAAGGATATTCCTGTAATGAGTAGTCCTTGGAAGCTTTCCAAGGATTGCTGTCCGAAGTCTTGTAACTTGTAAAAGGATTTTTGCAAATGATTTGAAACCTGTTGCAACAAAAAATGGATATTTAGTGGATATATTTAGCAAATCAAAACTTTAAAACGTCAATGATATCATTAAATTCTCACCGCAGCAAGAAGACCTATCTCAACAGAAGAGAAAACTACAATAAAGAAGGCTCCCATACAAGCAACAAAATCAAATTTATCGATCTTCCATACTAGGGTTACTGCTTCAATGCCAATTAAGCCAATCACTGCAGATAAAAAAATAGAAGCAAGTATTGCATTTGGAGTGTACTTGTACAGAGGAGTGATGAGTTCCGATGCTAGTAGCACAACACAGGACATCACTATATTAGACACAGCTGTATGGTATCCAGACATGTAATTGACAGCCGAGCGAGAGAAGGATCCTGCATAAGCATTAGATGATAAACATTAGAATGATTTATTTTATAATATAAATTGAAAGTATTTAACGAATCAATCTCCATTCGCCTTTCTGTTTTCACACCTGTGCCCACATAACAAGGTGTCATGGAACCAACAATATTCATTGTTCCTATGCAACCATTTCTTTGTTGCCATCCAACTGGTAGTCCTTCATGGAAGCAAATGTTCTTCCAATAGCTACAGCTTCCTAAAGAGAAAATATTAGGCTTTAGATAAAAGATATTGTGACTAGAGTCACCTTATGCCAAATCAAGAAATAAGGTTCTGAATTTGCATACCGTCAATGCTATCATAACTGCCGTGACAACGCCACCCAAAATAGTTTCTGCTTCTTTTTCCCCTGCTCCATTTTATACAGCATGATTAGATTTCATGTAAAACTTTCCACAAAGATAATGGAGGAAAGAATTTGACCTTACAATGTATTTTGCAACCAAGAGGATGGCCAGGAAGGACATTCCTATTTGTACAGTTTGCCAATTCCACTGTAAAACAGAGTAGACAGTAGGATTAGCCAAATTCAAACATGTTACATGCCACAAAATTAAAGCATCCCAAAAGTATGATAGTAATCACTTACACCATAATGCACCGAACTCCACACTGAGCGCTTGACAGACACAATATTAGTGTTCTTTGTAAATTTTTTTTTTATTCCAAGTAGACCTTTAAGTTGTTGAAGGGCAATGGTGATAGCAGCACCCGCCATAAAGCCAACCATGGCAGCATGAGATCGGAAGTCTATTAAAACCTCAACCAGAATGCAATCATACTAACCATTAAGCACGATATATATACCCAAAAAAATCCCATTGCAAGGATAGAGTAAAAGAGATATTTGATAAATCAGTTGGGACAGGAAGAAGGAAACTCATTATCTTTCATATGACTTAGGCCATTTACCTGAAAAATCCAAGTGTGACCTGAGTGATGCCAGCAAAGAATGTAGCAGTGAATGCAAGGCGTCGTTAGTCAACTGGATTATCAAATGAGTCAATCTCATCCTGCAGGAGATTGCCAGGCAATAGAGACACCAGAGCCACTGGTCCAATAGCAACATCCCGCGAGCTTCCCATGAATGCATAAACAAGAAGTGGAACAAAACTACCATTTTTGATGCAATTGAAATTAAGTTCCTCAAATCAGTAAGCAGTGATTCGCTCCTACCCCGCCAGAAAAAACAAACAATCTTAATACATAGCAGGAAGCTTACATAATCCTTATCGGTGCTCCATATTGGCCAGCTTTGCATACCCTATATCCTGATTTAAAATTCAAAAATTTAAGAAACACAAAACAACATTTCTACTACATTATCTCATGGATTGATGATACCTGTGGAATGCAAAGACTTGCAATAGTTAGTCCAGCAATCAAGTCGCCTTTGATTTTGGAAAGACCATAGTGCCTTCCCCATTCTTAAATAGGAAAAACCGCTTGGAGGCCTAGAAGAAACTTTCTTGACCTTGGTTGATCCTTAAAATGGCGTAAAGGATCATCTGCAAATAAAGTTTCCTTCACAGTACCCGCAATTTCTTTCAACAGGTTTTGCTTTGGAGGTACTCCTACCTTGTGAAGGTATGGTAAATTCTCTGAGTTGCGGTGTGATGAAGAAACACTAACAATATCCATCCCCTTGTGGCCAAGCTCATCAGTGACACCGTGACTCATTCTGTGTAGAGACTAGTTTATAACCTGCACTGTTCGAAGTAAATGTCATAAGAAGACCAATAAAGAAAACAACAGCAGCCCAGATCATAACATTTCTAAAGCCAAAGAAATTAATAGAGTTGGAAGGTACTTACAACATGTTGAACTCAAAGAGACGCATGCATATGAAATCAAAGACTAAGTAAAAGTACTAACTTGAAATGTCAGTGCTAATCAACGCAGCTATTTTATGACCATAAGAGTGAAAGAGAAGAGAGCCAAAGAAGATCTAAAGAGTGTCTGCATGGGAAAAAAGGGACGGTTCCCATTTATACGGGTCCAAGGAGCAGTATCTGTAAACTTTTTAAAGTCAAAAAGAGACTTCTCATCAGTAACAAAAAATGCATCTAGCTCTTATCTATTCTACATACGTAAGCCCCGATAAGTTGATTATAAATCAGGCTAAAGTCCTTAAACAAATGACACTTAGAATTGGTTTGGTATATTTTGAAAGAGATCATCCATGTTGAATCATAAATTTCTTCTGCTAGAAAAGTTTCACCCCTACTTTAAAGTAGTCAATTTATTCAATTTGTGAATTCTTTACAGGATAGTGGTGGATATTTAATTTCAGATTTGAATAACCAAAAAGATTAGAAGCGATTTCTATTCTCCACGCTCAACCGTCCGAAGTGTATTCCCTTTCTTCAGAACTTCAACACACACACACATTTATATGAATATGCATGTTATTAAGATATACGTGCATCAACTAGGCCAATTTTCGTTTTTATAGAAAAGCAAGGTTATTCCAACGGGCTGGTGGAAACCACAGGAAAGAAATTGCCCAACTGCCATGTTTCAATAAACAAACAGTTCCCTTAAGCCTTTAACTTCCAACACGCAAAAAAGAGAAATTGGGGTTCAGATTTTGCTTTCTGAAGACAATCGTAAAACTAATATTTTATTATTGTTAATTCAATAACCTTAAGGCAATATGAACTCTAGAGCCTGGACACGACTGAAACTAACTACAATCAACAAATCCACATTAAAAAAATAATAAACAGCAACCCAGATTATTATTTTTGTTAAAAAAAAAAAGAGCTTTCAGGAGTTGTTCCAGAAGATGGATCAATATCCCTTTCAACTTAGGATTTCAAAAAAAAAAAAAAAACCCATAAACTAATATATATATATATATATATATATATGAATAGGAAAGTCCAAGGAGAAATTGAGATTGAAGTGTTTAATAAAGGAGTTTACTTACAATTAGAAAGCTCTGCATTTACGTGCTGTGCTGGCAATGCAGCGCCACATTATCGTTATCATTATATCCAGCGCCTGCTGTCTGTATATACTTCAAATTTATATTTACTTTTGCTGGGATTCAACATTACACATAAATTTATATAGATATCTCAATGGAGAGACAATGAGGAATGTCAAGAGAGATTGAAGATCAAAGGATGTTTATGTTCTTTGCATCTGATCACAGAGAGTTGAATTTTCTTTTCCTTTTTCCTACTTGTTCGGATATCTTTGTAGTTTTGTTGAATATAAACTCTTGTAAATGGAAAGTAACAACTAGGAATTATTAAAAATAATAATAATAAATGACTTAGCTAACGAGGTCTTGAAGGCAGTGACAGTTTTATTTACATTGTTATATATACAAGCCCTCTGTTAATGCTTTCACATTCCTATATTTGTCTCTGGTTAATGTTGAAAAG